GTGGATATTGTGAAACCCTTGGAAGGACATTTTTGCCCCAAGCCACTTCAGATTTCACAAATGGAACCAAGAGGAGGGTGAATCCATTGCCCAATATGTTGCAGTGATAAAGAGACTAACTGAATATTGTGAGTTTAATGCAACATTGAATGACACTCTTTGTGATCGGCTTGTGTGTGGCTTAAGGAGTGAGGCAATACAGAAGTGCCTACTCACTGAATCAATGGAGCTAGCTGCAAAAGAAGCACAACATCTGGGGGCTGCATCAAGAGTGCACAGTGTAGCAGCAGTGCAGGATAGAAAAAAAGGGCACCATGGAGTGTTACTAATGTGGAAAACAGGGTCATCACCCATCTGAATGCTGGGCCAAAGAGCTGACATGTCGCCATTGTGAAAAGAAAGGACACATTGAGTGAACTTGTAAAACAAAAAGAGAGAAACAAGCGAAGGATAGCTATAAGGAAATATCTGGAAAAGGAAACACAGCCAGCTGCAACCCAAGGAGAAACACCTGCATGCTGTAAAGCAGGACCAGTCAAGCAACAGGGACACAGACTCTGAAGAGAAGCTACCGATCAAGGTATTGACAGTAAAAAGAGGCTCTACAGCCAACGGTGTCACACCACCGTTGAATGAACAGCCAATAAAGATGGAAATCGATACTGGAGCAGCTGTCTCACTTATGTCAGAAAAACGATTGAAAAAAAGGCTGAACCACCTTTCACAGACACATGCAAAACTCACACTAAAGACCTATACACTGCACCAGGCTGGGAAGACTGAATCTGCAATAGGTAAGCAGCTTGGTTTGAAGAAATCAACTGTGGGAGCAATTATTAGGAAATGGAAGACATACAAAACCACTGATAATCTCCCTCGATCTGGGGCTCCACGCAAGATCTCACCCTGTGGGGTCAAAATGATCACAAGAACGGTGAGCAAAAATCCCAGAACCACACGGGGGGACCTAGTGAATGACCTGCAGAGAGCTGGGACCAAAGTAACAAAGCCTACCATCAGTAACACACTACGCTGCCAGGGACTCAAATCCTGCAGTACAGACGTGTCCCCCTGCTTAAGCCAGTACATGTCCAGGCCCGTCTGAAGTTTGCTAGATTGCATTTGGATGATCCAGAAGAGGATTGGGAGAATGTCAGATGAAACCAAAATATAACTTTTTGGTAAAAACTCAACTCGTCGTGTTTGGAGGACAAAGAATACTGAGTTGCATCCAAAGAACACCATACCTACTGTGAAGCATGGGCGTGGAAACATCATGCTTTGGGGCTGTTTTTCTGCAAAGGGACCAGGACGACTGATCCGTGTAAAGGAAAGAATGAATGGGGCCATGTATCATGATATTTTGAGTGAAAACCTCCTTCCATCAGCAAGGGCATTGAAGATGAAACGTGGCTGGGTCTTTCAGCATGACAATGATCCCAAACACACCGCCCGGGCAACGAAGGAGTGGCTTCGTAAGAAGCATTTCAAGGTCCTGGAGTGGCCTAGCCAGTCTCCAGATCTCAACCCCATAGAAAATCTTTGGCGGGAGTTGAAAGTCCGTATTGCCCAGCGACAGCCCCAAAACATCACTGCTCTAGAGGAGATCTGCATGGAGGAATGGGCCAAAATACCAGCAACAGTGTGTGAAAACCTTGTGAAGACTTACAGAAAATGTTTGACCTGTGTCATTGCCAACAAAGGGTATATAACAAAGTATTAAGAAACTTGTGTTATTGACCAAATACTTATTTTCCAGAGACTGTCCCCATGGCGGAAAGGTAGATGTCCTGGTGGAACTAAACAGATAAAAATCCAAACTCCCCATCTACGTGGTCAAAGCGCTGATGGGCCGGCCATGGTTTGAAAAGATTTGTCTGGACTGGACGAAGGTGAATGCAGTGTCAGTTGAAGAAACAGGGTTGTCAGCTATGCTGACCCGACATGGAGCTGTTTTTAAGGATGAACTAGAAAAGTTCATGAAAGCTAGAAAAGTTCCATATGCCCTCAAACCGAAGGTGTATTCTGAGGCCGGTCCCACACAGCGAGTAGGCCACACCTGTAGTCCCTGTGATCAAGCATGATGGCTCCCTTCACCTGTTTGGAGATTTCAAGGTGACCATTAATCCTGTACTGACAGTGGAACAATTCCCGCTTCCTCCGATTATCGAGGAACTATGCGCAGGGTCGGCTGGTGGAAAGAAATTCAGCAAGATTGATCTCAACAAAACCTTCCTGAATATGCATGTAGATGAAGAGTCACAAAAGTACCTCACCATCACTACCCACATGGAACTTTACAGATACCGCCACTTGCCTTTTGGAATCACGTCGGCACCTGCCTTGTTCCAGAGGGCCATGGATAATGTCTTGAGCGACCACCCTAGGTCACACTGTTACCTTGATGACGAGGAGCATCTGCTGAACCTTTAAAAGGATGGCAGGTAGGGCGGCAGGTAGCCTCGTAGTTAACAGCGTTGGACCAGTAACCGAAAGGTCGCAGGTTTGAATCCCAGAGCCGACTAAGTGAAAAATCTGTTGACGTCCCCTTGAGCAAGGCACTTAACTCTAGTTGCTCTGGATAGGAGCGTCTGCTAAATTACTCTAAATCGACTCGAAGAGTAAGGCTGACATGTTCGCAAAAAGAGAAGTGCAACGTTTTCAAGCGTGGAGTCCTTAGGCCATTTGATTGATTCCGATGGTCTCCACACAGCACCATTGAAAGTGACAGTCATTGCAGAGGCTCCTGAGAATGTCAGTCAGCTGCGGTCATTCCTTGACCTCCTGAACTACTACGGCAAGTTCATCCCGCAGGTGAAGCCTTTGCATGAGCTAATGAGAGAGAGCAAACCCTGGTCGTGGACAAAGGAGTGTGACGCTACTTTCAAGAATGCGAAGGCAGTGTTGATTGATAAGTGTTGACTCACTTCGTCCTTGCCAATTTAACTGGCCTGCAACGCTTCCATATATGGAGTTGGGGCCGTCATATCACACATCACATCTGCAGGAGAAGAGAATCCCATTGCTTTCACATCAAAGACTGAAATACCTGCAGATTGAGAAAGAAGCGTTGGGTATTATCTTCGGGATCACCTAACTGTTCGGATGGAGGTTCACCTTGCTGACCGACCATTGTCCCCTGACATTCATCTTTGGTCCACACTCTGGCATTACAACTCTAGCAGTAAGCAGCATTGGGTGCTAATCCTGAGTGCTCACAACTATGACATCAGGTACCGGAGGTCTGAAGCGCAAGCCAATGCTGACTGCTTGTCACGGCTTCCCCTACGGGAAATGTCTCTGAATGTACTTGAGTGGCTCAGCCAGAGCTCGGACTTGAATTTGATGGAACATCTCTGGAGAGACCTGAAAATAGCTGTGCAACGACGCTTTGCTGATGGCTTGTCACGGCTTCCCCTACCTGACTCCCCTAAGAGCAGTGAACAGAAGATCTTCTACTTTGACATGATGGATAACATACCTGTGACAACTCACCAGATCAAGAAGGAAAGAAAAGGAGATCCAACACTTTCCAGAGTGTTCAACCAAGTGATGAGAGGCGGTCTTGCATTGCGGATGTGCCACGTGATCTCCAGCCTTACCTTTCACGGGGGAAGGTGTTTACAGTGACAGCTGAATGCTTACTCTGGGACATGCACATCATCATACCGCCAAAGCTGAGGAAACATGTCCTGAACAAGCTGCACTGTGGACATTGTGGGATAGTCTGGATAAAGGAGCTAGCACGTAGCTATTTTCTGTTGCCGGAACTAGACCATGACATTGAAGCCAAAGCCAGATCCTGCGTGTCATGTCAAACCATCAGAAACATGCCAAGCCTAACATCACTGCATCCCTGGCCAGCGAGCCTGTGGCAGCGCATTCACATGGATTTTGCAAGACCAGTGGAAGAAGCGATGTTCCTGGTTCCCGTTGACGCCCATTTGAAATTGCCAGAGGTGTCAGTCATCTCCACCATCAAATCTGAGAACACCATCCAGATCCTGAGGGAGATGTTTTGATGTCTCGGACTGCCTGAGCAGATAGTCACAGATAATATTTTGTTTCCAAGGAGATGGAACATTTCCTCCAGAGCAATGGAATCAAACACATCCTCTCAAGTCCTTGTCACTCATGGACTTGAAGAGATAATGGTTCAGATGAACATGCACTCAAAGTGGCCAGAAGTGAAGCACCACTGAAGCAGCGCCTCAACGTTTTCCTGCTGAAGTATTGCAATTACCCTCTTGGGACAACTGGAACGTCCTCTGCTTACTTGGTCATGAAAAGACATCTCAGGACTCGCCTTGACCTGTTGAGGCCAATATCCACCAAAATGTTGGTCCAAGACAAGCAGCAAGACCAAGTCAACCAGCGAGCGAAGCGGTCTAAAGACAGACAGTTCACTGTCGGAGATCCAGTCCTTGCAAGCAACTACACCACTAAATAAAAGTGGGCACCCCCATCTGTTCTCAAAAGACTGGACCTGTCTCATACAGAGTCTACACCCGAGACAACCAGACCTGACGAAGACATGTTGACCAGTTGCTCCCTCGAGAACCTGCAGCTACAATCCCTGAAGCAGAGGCACCTGAGTTCCCCTTCACAAGCGAGCTGACACACCACCAGAATAAGTCAGCACCCACACCAGCCTCTTCTTCACTGCCGCCAACAGAGGCTACACCTCCAACTGCACCTGAGGCTCAGCCTGAGCCTGTGCCTGAGCCTGATCCCGGGTTACGGCGCAACCCACCCAGAGAAAGAAAACCTCCTGAACAATGTACATAGTTCTAACCCTGGAAGCAAGGGGCAGAATATTGAGGCAGTCTACCCTCTCTCCCAAGTTAGAGAAAGTTTATGTTGCTTCTGTTAATGTGGTCATGTCATTTAAGGGGGATGAAATACTGTATTTTATATATTGGGACTAAGTATTTCTGTACTATGTGGGTTTCTGAAGCCATAGTTGTAACGCTAAGCATTATGGGTATTAAAGTTGGTTGTTAAAGGGACATCCTGAAGTAATGTAAGACACACAACTTTTCAGTAAACACTCGTTGCATCTAAAAGGATTTATCCGTCTCGGTCCCCAAACCTGAGTCTTAAGTTAATCTGAAGAGTCAAGATACAACATGGCCCTTTTGTATAAACTCCCCAGTCCCTGCTGATGACAAGCATACTATTAACATGATGCTGCCACGGCAATACTTGAAAATACAGAGGATCAACAACATAGCATTCACTCCATATTACTGGCCTGTATGAAACAGTGAAGGAAGCCAACTTTAATACAGTCCTTTTGCCCTCAACCCTACCAGCTTTTATATGGACCACTGGGCACTCCTATGACTTCTGTGAGGTGTTTGTCTGTGAGTTGTAGTTATATGTCCTAGTAACCGAGACTCTACCATAGAAATAGCTCACTGCCATCACAGTTAAAAGAGAGGGGGCTGGCCATGTGTTACAGCAGGGGGTCGCAGTTCCAGAGCGACCCACTAGGTGTCATCCTCCGACAACCTTAGGCACCTCCTACCTCCTCACTCACAGTCGGGACTAATCATCTTCCTATTGGTGTCACTTGTGTATTTATGCCCTCACTTCCCTGTGTTCCCTTGCTCAGTTTTCTCTGCTAGTTTCACTATGCCAAGCAATACTAATCAGTGTCTGATCGTGGGACGTATGGACAGGTACGTGAGAAGTGTTTTCCCTGTTTATTTATTATTTCAGTCATAGTTAGTATTTCGTATTTTTGGCTCTCTGCCTGTTTTTTGGAGTCTTATTTGCTCTGCCTTTCTTTTTCGTGTAAAGTCCGTTATTTTGTATCCTGGCTTCGGGACCATCAGTAAAGTTCCTTGTTTCACCATATCAGCCTACTGCCTACTGTCTAACCTGCACCACACATGGGTCACACCTCACACCAACCCTTACAGAAAACTGAGCCACTATGGACCCAGCGGAGGCAGCACAGTATCATAGCGCATTGGCAACACAGGGAGCCATGCTGAACCAGCCCGACCACAGCCTGCAGCAGATCACCAAGAATCTCTGCCAGCTGACGATCGCCGTGCAGAGCCGGGTGGACACCCAACCAGCACCGGCAGCAGGCGGAGCGGAAGCCGCGGCAGCGGGGTCTCCAGTCTCGCCTACGACATCGCGGGAACCCTGTCTACCACCTCCGGATAAGTAAGGCGGACGTCAACTCAGCTCTATATGTCACTGCAGACAAATATTGTACGACCCCCTTTGGTAAAAATCTACAGTGAATCAATAACAAACCACAAATGAGCGTAAATACAGGAATGATATTTATTATTTCTTTGCATTTACATGCAGGACCAAGGAAAACACAGCTGAATAGCATTTCACATTCTGTGAAGAAACGGTACATCTGTCCCCATGAAGATTTGTACAACCAACCGCTCACTAAGATCACAAAGTCATCTCACTGCTAACTACCGATAAGATTTTCAAAGCATGATGATAATGCTGTGTTCATAACAAAGTGGGAAGTTGGTAGTTACCAGTTGTGAAGTCGTAAATACAAGTTGGATGCATTCACATGCTTTGAACTCGTTGAAAAACGCTGATTGGCTAATGGCCAACAAGCTGCGTCAACCATAAACTATAAGTACAGCTACCATGTTTGTAAAAAAATGTGGGGTTCAAAAACATATTTGTAGACTGCTTTTTGTAAATAATGTTTTGTTGTTACATTTAACTGCTGAAAATATTGTTTAAAAGGTAATTTCCTTAGTAGGTGACTTTAGAGGTCAGCATATGGGAGAAGTCGGAGCTCAGGGATGATAGACGAGTTTCCCACTAGTAATTACCAGTTAGAGGGGCGTTCAAGTGGACTTTTACCAGTCGTATGTGGTAAATACCACCTTCCTACTTGCTTATTATCGCAACATAACTCCTATAGTCCTGCTGTATTGTCTCTGGTAGGCCTAACTATCTCAGTGTATCAGAAGTCTTTTATCAGATTCTGTATTTTCCAGTGCTGCCCACTGCACTCCTGAATGATGAGCTTGTAGTAGGTGTCGTCCCCTGAGGCAATCTCCAGACATCTCTTTGTCTGTCTATTCTGGATGGCTTTTCCCTGTAAAACACAGCAAACATTCTACTGTACTACATCACAATACAAAAACTTAAAATGTCATAGACATCTCCCTTGTTTCCAACAGTTTATAAGCATCTATTTCCCTATTTCATGTGGAGTGCTCACCTGTTGAAAGTCCCAGAGCATGTGGAATCCCTTCTGCTTGGCCACCTTGCACTCATACAGTCCTGGGGTTCGAGTGCCAGTGTCCACCAGACAGCGATTACTGTTGTACTTGTGAGACTTGATGCCTCCAATGTAGATTTCCCCACTGGCTCGATAATAACAGTTCTGGACAGAGAGGATAGATATTTTCGCTTTTCTGAGTTTGTGCTATTGACAATACTTTACATTGTGTTCTTGTGTTATGGGTTGAATCCTGGGTCTGCCATAGGATGGATCATATTACACATCTAGTTAAATTCTGAAATACTAAGCAATGATTCTACAAACCTGTGGACCAAAATAATGGCAGCCATACACAATAGGTGTGTTCCCTGGAACTGGGCCCTGATCTATACAGAGATCCGTCTTCAGGTCATTGACCAGCTGTTGATTTTATAGACAGAGATTAAACAGTTATAAAAGTGCAGATTCCTATCCTGATAATGAGTTGGATTCATGACCCTGCATCCTATTGAAAGAAGGATGCCATGAATGCCACCAAACACAGTTGGTGAGGAAATAATTCCAGAACAATGATAAATGTTTTCAGCATCACTCACAGCTCCATAACCAAGCAAGTCACCCAGGGGGTCTAACATGGGATACACGTTGTCCAGATACCACTGGAAGGGCTTGCAGTTCAACCTCTTTCTCAACTTCTTCCTCTCTGAAACATCCCCAATGTCTATGCCATGGTCCTGTGGTGAGAAAGAGGAAGATTTCTAAATCAGAAACACAGGCCATGTGAACAATCCACCTATTATCCATTTTTGTTTACCTCCATCATTTCACATAGATCCTATGATCTTTATTATGGCATTGAGTAATACACAGTTTTCATAATATTTATTGTCTAATCTACTTATTTTCAAACACAAAGCATGCATAACAGCGATTATTGTTATTCTATAGGAGCAGATGAACAAAACCTACTTTTTGAATGGTTTGTTCTGTACAGTACCTTCAGTGGGAGGTTCCAGGCGATGTTGACATTATGTTTGTATTCATCCATCCAGACCTCAGCCACTCTCAGAGCATTCCTCTTCATTGTAATGCTCAGGTCGGGGAGATAGGGTTTATGGGCCCTCTCGATGTGGGCTATTTTAGAACAAGGTATGACCTCAACACTTCCACCACACAGCCACACCTAGAAAAAACCACACACCAAGAGAGAAGGAAGAGTTTATAGATATGGACTGAAGTGTCTGGATGTTGGATGTAGATTGGTTTGTTCAAACTGAATGAGTCAAGAACAGAAAGTAATTCTGCAAACACAAGTCTGCTTTGATTTCAAACATTCATTTAGCAACTGTAGCAGAGGGGCTTACCCGAATGCCAAGTTCAACATTTTCACCTCCATAGATCTTCATACCACCGTCGAGAGCACCAATTTCCCCAAAGAACAGGCGATCAACCACTAGTATGCCCATAATGGAGGGGCTCCTGACAAACATACAGTACAAATCATGGTCATTTCTACACTGGGAGAAGTGACATTCATTTTAATGAATAGATAACGCAAAATAATAATCAAGGTGTAAATATTAGGTGAGATTTTTGTCCCAATGCTGTGCTTTCCTTATCGCCTATTCAAAAAGATTTGTGAAACTGGACTATCATCCTATGATGAAATCATGAACAACTCACTTTCCTGGCTGTGACTCATCTTTCAAGGCGTACCACTCAGGTCTGAAGGACTCGTACATACACCACAGGGCCCAGTCAAAGGCGTCTGCAGCAGGCCAATAACGTGAGACTGTCAAGTCATCGAAATGGACTTTGTCAAACACCGGTGTCAACACCAACGTGCGGTCCTCCTTTATCCGAGCTAACAGAGGCTCCGCCCTGTTCACACAAACACAGACTGAAAATACCATGTTGGGAGGAGGGATTCAAAAGCATATTTTATAACAAAAAACATTTAGACTACCATTCCACATGGACCTCTATGTGGGCATCCAAGATGGCCACCACATCTCCTTCAGCTTCCCTCCACCCTGAGAGGCGGGCCTGTGTGAGACCGAGCTGCTCTGAGTGTCTCACTCTCTTCACCAGGCCCGGACGCTCTTCTTGGATGAAGCTGATGTAGACGTCCAACTTCTCCTTTAGATCCTCTGTGAAAGCAGAAACTTGCAAATCAGTGAAACACAACAAAAGTTGAAAGCCACACCTTTCAATCAAGGTTCAATCTAAATGTTAACAAATATACTTTCAAATGTTTCTATGCATAGAAAAGGGAGCAATTAGGCGAACCATTGGAGCTGTGGTCATCCACCAGTATGATGTCTTTGAGCAGGCGTTGGGGGGTCTTGTCTATGATGCTGCGGACAGCTCTCTTGATGATGGACAGGGCCTCGTCCAAGTAGATCAACACCACGCTGATGGTGGGCAGGTCATGGGGGTACTGGTGATTAGCACACCTAACAGGCACAACAAAAACATTTGGTCTTGCTCATATCATTAATTCACTTCACCAAAGCTGTTGTTTCACTCTTAAAGTTATTGTCAATTTCAATGTCATTCATCAAACTGCATTAAAAGTGCTGGAGATGGAATTGACCTCGGATGACCTCGGATGCAACGGACTGTGGTTAGAATTCAGAAGTCTTGAGTTATACATCATTTATTGTGTAGAGGTGGAGGAGAGATGAGGAAAATGATTTACTTAGGATCGCGAGTATCAGGGATTTCCCTGTTCAGGGGTAGTCTGTCACTCAGGAAGGCATTGTATCCATACATCTGAAACAGCCCCTCTGCCTCTTTCTGCTCCTCCTCTGAGAGCTCGTCACCCCAGCTTGTAAACAGAGCTGAGTTGGGGTACAACTTCTTCACCACCTTCCTCTCCTTCTTGACCTCGGGAGCCTTCACAGCCTGCCCCTCTTTCAGACTGATCCCGTTGTTGATTGACTTCACTGTGGACACACGTCAGCTGTTCATCACACTGTAATAAATGTGTTATGACTGTATAATTCAGATTGTTTATGTCAAATCAAATCAAATTATATTTGTCACATGCGCCGAATACAACAGTTGTAGACCTTACAGTAAAATGCTTACTTACAAGCCCTTAACCAACAATGCAGTGTTAAGAAAAATAAGTGTTAAGTAAACAATAGATAAGTACAAAATAAAAGCAGTGAAATAACAGCAAAAATAACAGTAGCTAGGCTATGTACAGGTGGGTACCGGTACAGAATCAATGTGGGGGTGCACCGGTTAGTCGAGGTAATTGATGTAGTATGTACAGTTGAAGTCGGAGGTTTACATACACCTTAGCCAAATACATTTAAACTCAGTTTTTCACAATTCCTGACATTTAATCCTAGTAAAAATTCCCTGTCTTAGGTCAGTTAGGATCACAACTTTATTTTAAGAATGTGAAATGTCAGAATAATAGTAGAGTGATTTATTTCAGCTTTTATTTCTTTCATCACATTCCCAGTGGTTCAGAAGTTTACATACACTCAATTAGTATTTGGTAGCATTGCCTTTAAATTGTTTAACTTGGGTCAAACGTTTCGGGTAGCCTTCCACAAGCTTCCCACAATAAGTTGGGTGAATTTTGGCCCATTCCTCCTGACAGAGCTGGTATATCTAAGTCAGGTTTGTAGGCCTCCTTGCTCGCACACGCTTTTTCAGTTTTATAATAATATAATATAATATGCCATTTAGCAGACGCTTTTATCCAAAGCGACTTACGATGTGCATACATTTTTACATATGGGTGGTCCCGGGGATCGAACCCACTACCCTGGCGTTACAAGCGCCATGCTCTACCAATTGAGCTACAGAGGACCACAGTTCTGTCCACACATTTTCTATAGGATTGAGGTCAGGGCTTTGTGATGGCCACTCCAATACCTTGACTTTGTTATCCTTAAGACATTTTTCCACAACTTTGGAAGTATGATTGGGGTCATTGTCCATTTGGAAGACCCATTTGCGACCAAGCTTTAACTTCCTGACTGATGTCTTGAGATGTTGCTTCAATATATCTACATAACTTTCCTTACTCATGATGCCATCTATTTTGTGAAGTGCACCAGTCCCTCCTGCAGCAAAGCACCCCGCACAGCATGATGCTGCCACCCCCGTGCTTCACGGTTGGGATGGTGTTCTTCGGCTTGCAAGCCCCCCCCCCCCCCCCCCTTTTTCCTCCAAACATAACAATGGTCATTATGGCCAAACAGTTTTATTTTTATTTCATCAGACCAGAGGATATTTCTCCAAAAAGTACGATCTTTGTCCCCATGTGCAGTTGCAAACCGTAGTCTGGCTTTTTTACGGCGGTTTTGGAGCAGTGGCTTCTTCCTTGCTGAGCGACCTTTCAGGTTATGTCGATATAGGACTTGTTTTTCTGTGGATATAGATACTTTTGTACCTGTTTCCTCCAGCATCTTCACAAGGTCCTTTGCTGTTGTTCTGGGATTGATTTGCACTTTTCGCACCAAAGTACGTTCATCTCTAAAAGACAGAACGCGTCTCCTTCCTGAGTGGTATGACGGCTGCGTGGTCCCATGGTGTTTATACTTACGTACTATTGTTTGTACAGATGACCGTGGTACCTTCAGGCATTTGGAAATTGCTCCCAAGGATGAACCAGACTTGTGGAGGTCTACAATTTTTTTACTGAGGTCTTGGCTGATTTCGTTTGATTTTCCCATGATGTCAAGCAAAGAGGCACTGAGTTTGAAGGTAGGCCTTGAAATACATCCAAAGGTACACCTCCAATTGACTCAAATTATGTCAATTAGCCTATCAGAAGCTTTTAAAGCCATGACATCATTTTCTGGAATTTTCCAAGCTGTTTAAAGGCACAGTCAACTTAGTGTATGTAAACTTCTGACCCACTGTAATTGTGATTAAGTGAAATAATCTGTCTGTAAACAATTGTTGGAAAAATTACTAGATATATATAGATATATTGAAGCAACTCTCAAGACATCAGTCAGGAAGTTAAAGCTTGGTCGCAAATGGGTCTTCCAAATGGACAATGACCCCAAGCATACTTCCAAAGTTGTGGCAAAATGGCTTAAGGACAACAAAGTCAAGGTATTGGCGTGGCCATCACAAAGCCCTAACCTCAATCCTATAGGACATTTGTGGGCAGAACTGAAAAAGTGTGTGCGAGCAAGGAGGCCTACAAACCTGACTCAGTTACACCAGCTCTGTCAGGAGGAATGGGCCAAAATTCACCCAACTTATTGTGGGAAGCTTGTGGAAGGCTACCCAAAACGTTTGACCCAAGTTAAACAATTTAAAGGCAATGCTACCAAATACTATTTGAGTGTATCAACTTCTGACCCACTGGGAATGTGATGAAAGAAATAAAAGCTGAAATAAATCGTTCTCTCTACAATTATTTCAAATTCTTAAAATAAAGTGGTGATCCTAACTGACCTAAAACAGGGAATTTTTTACTAGGATTAAATGTCAGGAATTGTGAAAAACTGAGTTTAAATGTATTTGGCTATGGTGTATGTAAACTTCTGACTTCAACTGTATATAGCTATTAAAAACTATATATTACAAATCCTGCTTATCTTAATTTCCATAATTAACTAATTATATTTGTAATAATGTAGGCAGTTCATGCAAAGGATTGTTACCTCTAACCAGGATTGCCATTACAAAAATTACAAACAATTATTGTGATTCATCCTATATTGTCCCTAACTGTCACTGGTGTAGAGAGGAGTAGGCAGGAGGCAGTCGCAGGTTTAGAACTACTGAATGTATTTAAGCACCATAGATCAAAGCAGGACGAAACCCAAACGCTGTTGTGCTCAAAATATATCTTCATGAACAAAAAAGCACAGGGCGTACCCAAAGTGCAAAATATATAGTACTCAGGAAATAGTAGGAGAGATTCCTCTAAGGAAAACAAGTAACATTTACAATGACCGACAAAGAGAAATGGCTTAGGGAGTATTTATACAGTGATAGAGTGGGGATTGGAACCAGGTGTGTGTAATGATGACGAGACATGTCTGGGGTTGATGAGTGAAGGGCGTTTGCCAGCAGTAGGTTCGGCAGCAGCTAGAAGGCCGGCGACGCCAAACGCCTGAGCTGGACAGGAGGGGGAGCCAAAGCGAAGGCTGGTGTGACACTAACATCTTTACTCCCTAGCAACAGCTGTGGGATATATACAGTGGGGAAAAAAAGTATTTAGTCAGCCACCAATTGTGCAAGTTCTCCCACTTAAAAAGATGAGAGAGGCCTGTAATTTTCATCATAGGTACACGTCAACTATGACAGACAAATTGAGAAAAAAAAATCCAGAAAATCCCATTGTAGGATTTTTAATGAATTTATTTGCAAATTATGGTGGAAAATAAGTATTTGGTCACCTACAAACAAGCAAGATTTCTGGCTCTCACAGACCTGTAACTTCTTCTTTAAGAGGCTCCTCTGTCCTCCACTCGTTACCTGTATTAATGGCACCTGTTTGAACTTGTTATCAGTATAAAAGACACCTGTCCACAACCTCAAACAGTCACACTCCAAACTCCACTATGGCCAAGACCAAAGAGCTGTCAAAGGACACCAAAAACAAAATTGTAGACCTGCACCAGGCTGGGAAGACTGAATCTGCAATAGGTAAGCAGCTTGGTTTGAAGAAATCAACTGTGGGAGCAATTATTAGGAAATGGAAGACATACAAGACCACTGATAATCTCCCTCGATCTGGGGCTCCACGCAAGATCTCACCCCGTGGGGTCAAAATGATCACAAGAACGGTGAGCAAAAATCCCAGAACCACACGGGGGGACCTAGTGAATGACCTGCAGAGAGCTGGGACCAAAGTAACAAAGCCTACCATCAGTAACACACTACGCCGCCAGGGACTCAAATCCTGCAGTGCGAGACGTGTCCCCCTGCTTAAGCCAGTACATGTCCAGGCCCGTCCGAAGTGCATTTGGATGATCCAGAAGAGGATTGGGAGAATGTCATAAGGTCAGATGAAACCAAAATATAACTTTTTGGTAAAAACTCAACTCGTCATGTTTGGAGGACAAATAATGCTGAGTTGCATCCAAAGAACACCATACCTACTGTGAAGCATGGGGTTGGAAACATCATGCTTTGGGGCTGTTTTTCTGCAAAGGGACCAGGACGACTAATCCGTGTAAAGGAAAGAATCAATGGGGCCATGTATCGTGAGATTTTGAGTGAAATCCTCTTTCCATCAGCAAGGGCATTGAAGATGAAACGTGGCTGGGTCTTTCAGCATGACAATGATCCCAAACACACCGCCCGGGCAACGAAGGAGTGGCTTCGTAAGAAGCATTTCAAGGTCCTGGAGTGGCCTAGCCAGTCTCCAGATCTCAACCCCATAGAAAATCTTTGGAGGGAGTTGAAAGTCTGTGTTGCCCAGCGACAGCCCCAAAACATCACTGCTCTAGAGGAGATCTGCATGGAGGAATGGGCCAAAATACCAGCAACAGTGTGTGAAAACCTTGTGAAGACTTACAGAAAACGTTTGACCTGTGTCATTGCCAACAAAGGGTATATAACAAAGTATTGAGAAACTTTTGTTATTGACCAAATACTTATTTTCCACCATCATATGCCAATAAATTCATAAAAAATCCTACAATGTGATTTTCTGGATTTTTTTTTCTCATTTTGTCTGTCATAGTTGACGTGTACCTATGATGAAAATTACAGGCCTCTCTCATCTTTTTAAGTGGGAGAACTTGCACAATTGGTGGCTGACTAAATACTTTTTTTCCCCACTGTACACACACACACACACACATACACACTCACACACACTCAACCTCCTTTCCCCCACAAACAACCATAAAATCAGATGCTCAACAGTTGTTCCATTTCAGAGCTCAACTGAAGAAATGCCTATACAGTTGCAGCTGTTTGAGAAGGCATGCAAAATTGAGCAAAAATGGGGAGATATGATTAACCATTGTCAAATCCTAGGTGATGGAGATCAGATACACCCCCTTCCCCTGAAACACACACATGCTGGTGTCCCCCATTTTCCCAAGCATCTCTGTGCAGTCAGACCTTTGATTATTTTGTGCCACCAGGGCCACAATAATATGCCCCCTCTCTGAATGTCCGAGTGTGACCCCCTCCCCATGGGTTACTGCAGCTAATGTTGCCAGCACTGCCACTACCTGGGTGGCACTACTCCACCGGAATCCCCACCGGCTAGGTACAAGGTCGTAAAGGTTCTCATTAGCAGCTTTGAGAATTTCCTTGTATATTATGCTCTCCCATCAGGGAGGGTTTGGCTTTGTAGGACCAACCCTGCCAGGCAGGCTCAGAATCTTGAGGGGTTGGTGCTGCTTTAGTAGGTCTCTGACCGCATTCATCTTTCTGATTTGGCTGCGTATAGGCTACTTACAGTAGGCCCATAAAACAGATAAGGACATCTCCTTAATGTATGGGTCGCTCAGGTGGGTGTCTAGGATATAGGGTTGGGGACCATTCCATCATGATAGGACAATAAATAAATAAACTATATGTCACTCATTTCAGGAAACTAGGCGTATGTCGCACGTCACTACTTCACAGGAGAGCCATTTGAACGTAAACTGTTTTAAAAAAATCAAAATGCATTTTTTGGCAGAAATGCCTTCTGGAACATGTGAACTTTCATGTGCCTTAATAACAAACTTGTATGACATCTGTAAATACGAATACAATTCTTAAATTACGAGCCTAGTTGGTTTAGCCACAGAAAAAGACAGTAACCTTCCCACTAGCCATGATTGGCTGAGATAATGAGTGGGCTGGACATGCCGAGAGGTGAGTTAGAATTGGTCTGCCATGTTGCACGCTTCTGTCTATTTGAGCTGGTCAGTATGTGTAGGTAATCCGGTCTAATGTGGCTTTAAAAAATGTATATATATGCATAGTAGAACTGCATAAGTGTTGCTCTCCACTTTCTGGAGGACCGAGTTTTGAAATCAGTGGAATTAGAGCATGATAGCTAAGGAGATGGAGAAAACACCTGTCTCCAGATTACATCTTCAAACTAAGGGCAACCATGGCATCCGTGACAGAGAGTGAGAAGTGTCCGTCCATGTATAAGGGTAAGATAGTCTAGCTAGCTACATTTTCATATATTACACGTTTCTAGCTAGCAAGCTAATGTTAGCTGGCTGGCTCGCTAGCTAACATTACGTGTATGATCTGTGTAGTAATATTATTTGCATTTGCATAAGACCGATTTGAGCCGGTTGGTCACATATTTATAATTTATTTTAAAATGTATATAAAATACGCAAAATTGAAAGCTCTCTCTCACAACCCCTGCTCACAGACACACATGGGCTCTGGGATTTGCAACCCTTATCCTTTTTCACTCACTTAACTCCACACTTTTCCAAACACAAAAACACACACCTAACATCACAATACAGTGGCATGCGAAAGTATTCACCCCCCTTGGCATTTTTCCTATTTTGTTGCCTTACAACCGGGAATTAAAATGGATTTTTGGGGGGTTTATGTCATTTGATTTACACAACATGCCTACCACTTTGAAGATACAACATTCTTTTTCTTGTGAAACAAACAAGAAATTCACCCCCCAAAAGTCAATACTTTGTAGAACCACCTTTTGCAGCAATTACAGCTGCAAGTCTCTTGGGGTATGTCTCTATAAGCTTGGCACATCTAGCCACTGGGACTATTGCCCATTCTTCAAGGCAAAACTGCTGCAGCTCCTTCAAGTTGAATGGGTTCCGCTGGTGTACAACAATCTTGAAGTCATCCCACAGATTCTCAATTGGATTGAGGTCTGAGCTTTGACTAGGCCATTCCAAGACATTTAAATGTTTCCCCTTAAACCACTTGAGTGTTGCTTTAGCAGTATGCTTAGGGTCATTGTCCTGCTGGAAGGTGAACCTCCGTCCCAGTCTCAAATCTCTGGAAGACTGAAACAGGTTTCCCTCAAGAATTTCCCTGTATTTAGCGCCATCCATCATTCCTTCAATTCTGACCAGTTTCCCAGTCCCTGCCTATGAAAAACATCCCCACAGCATGATGCTGCCACCACCATGCTTCACTGTGGGGATGGTGTTCTCGGGGTGATGAGAGGTGTTGGGTTTGTGCCAGACATATTGTTTCCCTTGATGGCCAAAAAGCTCAATTTTAGTCTCACCTGATCAGAGTACCTTCTTCCATATGTTTGGGGAGTCTCCCACATGCCTTTTGGCGAACACCAAACGTGTTTGCTTATTATTTTCTTTAAGCAATTACTTTTTTTCTGGCCACTCTTCAGTAAAGCCCAGCTCTGTGGAGTGTACGGCTTAAAGTGGTCCTATGGACAGATACTCCAATCTCCGCTGTGGAGATTTGCAGCTCCTTCAGAGTTATCTTTGGTCTCTTTTAGCCTCTCTGATTAATGCCCTCCTTGCCTGGTCCGTGAGTTTTGGTGGGCGGCCCCCTCTTGGCAGGTTTGTTGTGGTGCCATAGTCTTTCCATTTTTTAATAATGGATTTAATGGTGCTCCGTGGGATGTTCAAAGTTTCGGCTATTTTTTTATAACCCAAACCTGATCTGTACTTCTCCACAACTTTGTCCCTGACCTGTTTTGAAAGCTCCTTGGTCTTAATGGTGCCACTTGCTTGGTGATGCCCCTTGCTTAGTGGTGTTGCAGACCCTGGGGCCTTTCAGAACAGGTGTATATACTGAGATCATGTGACAGATCATGTGACACTTAGATTGCACACAGGTGGACTTTATTTAACTAATTATGTGACTTCTGAAGGTAATTGGTTGCACCATATCTTATTTAGGGCTTCATAGCAAAGGGGGTGAATACATATGAACGCACCACTTTTCCATTATTTATTTTGTATAATTTTTTGGAACAAGTTATTTTTTTCATTTCACTTCACCAATTTGGACTATCTTGTGTATGTCCATTACATGAAATCCAAATAAAATTTCATTTAAATTACAGGTTGTAATGCAACAAAATAGGAAAAACGCCAAGGGGGATGAATACTTTTGCAAGGCACTGTACATCTGCACATACCCACATACTGTGCCTTCTATGTCCTCTGTTTGCTGTGTTTTGTCTCTACCATGTTGATTGAGTACTTTTGTGTTCCAGTTCCTTATATTTGAAGATGTATTATTTCGTTAATTATCCTTTCTTCTAATGCTGTCTTATCAATTCATTAAATACTATAAATGGAAAGTCTAATACAAATTATTTTCCAACATTCCCTATCTAGAATGGTATAGTGTAGTTGTAAATAGTTTATTTCTTTAACAATTGTTGTATTTTATTGCTTTTCTATAAAAAAATTATTACAATCCCTACCATGGCTAGTATTGGGTGTTGCATTATTCGACTCCTCTATGGGAACTTTGTAATATTTAGAATAGCCATGGAGTAGTCTTTGTGTCTCGGAACATTTGGTTATCAATATACAGTTTATCGACTACGAGAGCTACACATTTCCATTTGAATCTATTCTCCTTGAAGATTGGGTACAGAACTTTGCGCCGTTCTGCAATTTTTGATCTGCACTGTTGTTCGGAACTCTGTTTCCGCCTTGGAGAATTACCTTGATGTAACTATTGTAAAAGTTTTTATTTTTTTTGTAAATGTAAAAGTAAGCAATGCGGCAAACTTTGGCACATAGAAGTTGATAGATCAAAACTTAACAAATGTTGTGCAACATGCAACATTATACAGGATTAAAGTGCATTCTAAAATGGTTATGGGCCATATTTAAACCCTTTATTTAATTGAGAACAAATTCCCTTCTACAATCATCACTCTGAAGTGTGAAATAACTTTTTCTGGGATCAACTCTACATGTACGCTCAGGCTAGATTCTAATTTGTTCTCAAAACCTCCCCTCTATATCTGCCCTACCATCTAGAACAGTGGCAGACTGTAGTCCAGGTACAGTGTGTGGACAGAGCTACTGGCATTTCTCTTCCAGGTAAGTCACAGTTAAATGAAGGAGATTAAGACTTACCCAGCTTCTCGATGTGAGCTTCCATCTTCTCCAGCCTCTTGAGCATGTCCTGGCCCCTGACCGAGTCATTCTGATGGGCCCTCTGCAGTCTCTCCCCATGAGAATGAACCTCCCGCTTAATGGATGTGATGTAGAGTATTCCAGCAGCCATGGCCAGCAAAGGGGCCAGCCCTCGGACCCAGCCTAGCCTCATCGTCCCTCTGTGTGTGAGTGCTCAGCCTGGGGATACAGACAGGATGGCCTTCCTCTCTCACTCTCCCACTGAGATCCAGGTTTGCCTGAAAGGGGGGAGTGTGAGGTGTACCATACCTGGCTGGCACTCAGTGGGTGTGAGTTTCTCGTCCTAATATTCAAACGAGTTTCTGATTAAATTCACACAGCCACTTTTATTTGCCTTTGGCGCATGAATCGTTACCTTGTAACTTCATAGCCTTTTGACTTGATACACCAACCCCTTTTTTAAATATTTGAGAAAGGATTCAGGATATGTTGTATCCTGTTAGTATGATTTTGAGTAACTGAACAGGTCAAAAACATGCACCTAATGGATCCAACCATTCATTTGGCATTCAAGTAATTGTTGATTGGAATAAATGCCAAAAGCCACAATACTACAGGCTGAAAATGTGGGGCTCTCTGAAAGTGATGGTCTTGGCTGTCACTAGCATTTTGTCACGGGGCCCCGTGTAGCTCAGTTGGTAGAGCATGGCACTTGCAACGCCAGGGTTGTGGGTTCAATTCCCATGGGGGGCCAGTATGAAAAAAATTAATAATGTATGCACTCACTAACTGTAAGTCGCTCTGGATAAGAGCGTCTGCTAAATGACAAAAAATTCAAACTCAAGCCCACAATAAAGAGTATCTGTAATTTTTAAAAATGGCCCGAACAACAATTCCAGCAAAGCCAATATGCGGTGATAATGTATTGGGCCTATAGCTTACTGCACAAACCTCATTGCTACAGTACTGTTTTTAATTTGTTAATTTAGCATAGGCTTCCATTTTTTTCACAGAAAGTGATCTTGACTCAGAAAAGGTTGGTGACCACTGTTCTAGAGTTTTCCCTGTTAACACTATCAACGTTTCCCTTTACTGTGGCAATTGTGATCGAATCAACGCAATATTAGCCACTTTCAATGCAACATACCAAAACTTTTTGTTGTTGTTGTTGAAGGCAGAATGCATTGGAGTAGGATTCTATTGCATTGACATGCAGGACTCAGCCCGTACTCTACACAGACCGGTGCGGCATAAACAATCAGAGCTGCAGTAGGCCTATATGCAAATAGACCATTGCCATATATGAATCTGTGCTATTTACTTTGAACTGGACTGTATTTACAGCATGAGTGGTCGTGAGTAGATGCGCTTGTTTTGAGATCAAAGCGAGAGCTGCATGTAGCCATGTGTGCACATTTTGTTCATATCCTTTGCTACAGTAGTTAGTGAGTTATTAGTCTAGTTATAGATCATTTGTAGTCAGCAATAGGTGAGTGCTTGCTTCCTACAAGAGCACAAAACGTGTACATTTCTAGACATCTTTGAAAAGCGAGTAAGGTAAATAACCTTTTTTTGTCTTAAAGGGGCAGTGTTGTATTTTAAGACAGGCTTGAATAAGCTAAGTAGCCAATAGGCAGAGGGTAGTGTCGTGACGTGACTTACAGTCCCTTGCAAAGTATTCTTCCCCCTTGGCGTTTTTCCTATTTTGTTCCATTACAACCTGTAATTTAAATTGATTTTTATTTTAATTTCATGTAATGGACACACACAAAATAGTCCAAATTGGTGAAGTAAAATGAAAAAAATAACTTGTTTCAAAAGATTAGAAAAAATAAATAACGGAAAGGTGGTGCGTGCATATGTATTCACCCCCTTTGCTATGAAGCCCCTAAATAAGATCTGGTGCAACCAATTACCTTCAGAAGTCACATAATTAGTTAAATAAAGTCCACCTGTGTGCAATCTAAGTGTCACATGATCTGTCACATGATCTTAGTATACCTGTTCTGAAAGGCCCCAGAGTCTGCAACACCACTAAGCAAGGGGAACAACCAAGCAAGTGGCACCATGAAGACCAATCAGCTCTCCAAACAGGTCAGGGACAAAGTTGTGGAGAAGTACAGATCAGGGTTGGGTTATAAAATAATATCCTGAACTTTGAACATCCCACGGAGCACCATTAAATCCATTATAAAAAAATTGAAAGAATATGCCACCACAACAAACCTGCCAAGAGAGGGCTGCCCACCAAAACTCACGGACCTGGCAAGGAGGGCATTAATCAGAGAGGCAACAAAGAGACCAAAGATAACCCTGAAGGAGCTGCAAAGTTCCACAGCGGAGATTGGAGTATCTGTCCATAGGACCACTTTAAGCCATACACTCCACAGAGCTGGGCTTTACGGAAGAGTGTCCAGAAAAAACACATTGCTTACAGAAATAAATAAGCAAACAAGTTTGGTGTTCGCCAAAAGGCATGTGGGAGACTCCCCAAACATATGGAAGAAGGTACTCTGGTCAGATGAGACTAAAATTGAGCTTTTTGGCCATCAAGGAAAACGCTATGTCTGGCGCAAACCCAACACCTCTCATCACCCCGAGAACACCATCCCCACAGTGAAGCATGGTGGAGGCAGCATCATGCTGTGGGGATGTTTTTCATAGGCAGGGACTGGGAAACTGGTCAGAATTGAAGGAATGATGGATGGCGCTAAATACAGGGAAATTCTTGAGGGAAACCTATTTCAGTCTTCCAGAGATTTGAGACTGGGACGGAGGTTCACCTTCCAGCAGGACAATGACCCTAAGCTTACTGCTAAAGCAACACTTGAGTGGTTTAAGGGGAAACATTTAAATGTCTTGGAATCCAATTGAGAATCTGTGGTATGACTTCAAGATTGCTGTACACCAGTGGAACCCATCCAACTTGAAGGAGCTGCAGCAGTTTTGCCTTGAAGAATGGGCAAAAATCCCAGTGGCTAGATGTGCCAAGCTTATAGAGACATACCCCAAGAGACTTGCAGCTGTAATTGCTGCAAAAGGTGGCTCTACAAAGTATTGACTTTTGGGGGGTGAATAGTTATGCACGCTCAAGTATTCTGTTTTTTTTGTCTTATTTCTTGTTTGTTTCACAATAAACAATATTTTGCATCTTCAAAGTGGTAGGCATGTTATGTAAATCAAATGATACAAACCCCCCAAAAATCAATTTTAATTCCAGGTTGTAAGGCAACAAAATAGGAAAAATACCAAGGGGGGTGAATACTTTCTCAACCCACTGTACTTGAATGTATGACTGTTATTTATCGAATCACCTATGTTTATTTGTCACTCGATTTAAATTAATCATGTAACAATTAACTCATTAGGATTTTGGGGCACCACGGATGAAGTTGTTTAACTAGTCACCATCTCCCGAATTAAACTCTTAGAAGATATATATGTTATATATCGATAACAGTCACTAATCAAATAATTACCTCTTATCAGTCTCATTCTGAACATCGCATAATCCTTGAACCTGCAAAAACCCTAACCTTATTGATGAATCAGCAATACACAAATTGGCTTAATTATTTATTCACTAACTAACTAAATAATAACACAATACAAACACACACACACAAGTTATTGATTACTAACATAATGCAATGAAAACAGGTCCCTTGTGGACTGGACTAACAATAGCATGAATGCTTGGGTAGAAGGAGTGTCAGAGTGGAAGGGAGAGACAGAGATTCAAACTATCGTTGTTACTTTGGATACTACACTCACGGAAATACAAACGCTTAAAACCCCACTAAACGCTCATTCACATTAGAAGTGCAACATGTATTTACGTGTAGCTGTCCTCGATAGTTGAGTTGATGATGTAGGACTCTGGTTTGCCCACCAGAGATCCCAATGTCCTTGGTAGAGTTTCTGGTCGTAGTTGTGGTTAGAATGGATACTTCAGATGTACCAGCGGTTGTCTGAGAGGGATTGTCCTTTCCAACTCGTGTCTTTAGTGAAAGTTCTCTAGACGACTATACATGCCAGCTGCAGATTTTAATGATAAGGTCTAGTGCATTGTCTTCTTCTTCACCTCGTGTAGAGGTTTAGAGTTTCAGAGTTTCTCAATTTCAAACGTGTGGACTAACGTCTCATGTTTTCTGGTCTTTCTGGTCTAACCAGAAGAGCTTCAGCTTCACGCTTCTTGGTCTTTTAGAAATTCAACCATTTGCAACATCCGGCTTATACAGTAGTATGCTTGGTCTTCCTTTGGTAATGGAGTTGTAGTTTTAAACCATTTTGTAACGTTTAGCTCATGCTTCACGTCTACTGGTCTTGTAGAGTGTCAACTATTTTAAGCCGTGGGGCTTCCTGGTCTGAGGTGAATTTCGTCACGAGGCTTTTTATGCACTCAGGGTAAAAGGGGCATTCCATCATGTTTGTGCTCATCTGGGCGTGGCCACTGACTGAGAACAAATCAATATGGAAAACAATCATCTCATCTAGAATGCTAAAATCACATTGTTATCTTCACAAAAGTATTAATATTCTTAATCATTATTTTTTTTATACAACAATTAGATGCAAACCTCATAACTGGGAAGTGTACACCCCCAGAGATATCGTTATGTTGTTCCACCGTCTTTAATGACATCACAACAGTAACGAATTTGACATGATTGTTCTTTATGCCCCCACCGACCATTTCCCACATTCTTTTAAGTAGGAATATTGTTTCATTATCCACTTTTGGATGTTGGCGTCTTGGCGGGAAGACTTCCTTTGATTCACAGGGAAATTCCCTCTCCCAATTCTGCATGGCACGGAAAAGAGAGTTTCTGCAAGGAATTTACGACCGGTCATAAAACTGACCCCCAGGAAAGGGGGTGTTCAAACCTTTGCCTAGCCGGCATCTTTGATCCTCAGCCCATGAGGGCAAGTCATGACAGTAGCATAATTTGTCTGATTCTCTGTAATAATGGTATGAGTATAATTAATGCATTTTATAATAATTATAAATAATAATTGGTCATTTAGCAGACGCTCTTATCCAGAGCGACTTACAGGAGCAATTGGGGTTAAGTGCCTTGCTCAAGGGCACATCGACAGATTTTTCACCTAGTGGGCTCGGGGATTAGAACCTGCGACCTTTCGGTTACTGGCACAACGCTCTTAACCACTAAGCTACCTGCCGCCCATTTTATTTTGTAAAGTGGTTTCTTGCATCAAACAACACAACATTTTCAGTCACCTCCTTGTCTGAAGGAATGTAAGCCTACATTGAACACCACACATTGGCTGCTACTGTAGGCTGAATGATAGAACAGCTATTTACATGTTAAAATGTTATGGAATGCATTTTCTCCATTGTTTTTGATGGTAGGCCACTCTGGTAGGCCTACATTATGATCAAATAGCCACAGTAGCCTACTTGGCTACTGTTATAACTGTAACTTGAAGCGGGTACAGCCTCAGTGTTCACAGTTGCACAGAATTTTCACAACGTTCAAGTTTGCGCTCAGCAGACCTGAAATTTGCTCAGTGGCAAAAACATGTTGAGGGAACATTGGTTATACACTCAACCAACCACCCTCCTTTTGTTTTTGCCTTAAGTTACGTTCTGTCTTATATAACCATACCAAACCTTTGCTATTGTTTCATCAACTCATAAGCTGAATGTTTGTATATACAGCATCAAAATTATCTGAGGTCCAATGTAATGGGCAGAGGCAAGGAATATAAAACACAAATTTATTCAATTAAGTGTTCATTAATTTTTTTGTATCAATGTACAGTTCATCAGGTGGAATGCCCTCAATGAAATTATTTCCAAATAGACCGCAATGGTTGATTGTGAAATTAATTTGGTTGAAATGAATGCACACACTTCCTTTTTGTTGTAGGACAGTACAATAAAATCAACAATGTCCTGGCATGATATTATACTGACTTAGAGAATAATAGCAAAACAGTAATTCAGTACATCACACAATATCATCATTAAGGGCACCAGCTATTCTCTGTGGGGCTCTCTTAAATAACAATGTTCAGTGAGCACTGAAAAGTAAAAAAGAAAACCATTAAAATTACAATTGAAACATGCTAAAAATATATATATTTCATTGAGACATTGCCAATGTGAACTGGTTATGTACACATACAGTGCTTGAGACATATTACCACAAATATTTCATATAGAGGTCACACCATCAACCAATAACTTAATCATAACAAACATGTAAATTAAATTAAATGATGTACTGTTAAAAAGGAAATCTATTCCATTTATGATCATGTTACAAATATAAAAATGTTTTATAAACATGTTTTAAAATTACTTTCTCTAATTGGAGCACATGAAAAGCATCAGCACCAGTTGCCTTAAATAGAAGCTTACAGAGAACAAAAAAAGCTACACTCCTTCATTTGGCCCAGGTTTTATTGAAAAAAGCTCAAAATCGTAGCAAATTGTCCTTTTGTCAAGGTAAGAGAAGTTAATCAAAATAGATTGAACTGCTTTGATGAGGAATTAAGAGCTTTTAAAAAATGAAGTTTCTGTGAGGAGGGGTAAAAAACTGATTATGCATTGTGGGTCAGAGGGAAGTCACTTTGGATGCTGACAGGCACATTTGAATAACAAGTGGTGACGATCACTGGTCGGAATATTCCTGTTTTGTAGACATTGGGACACTTTGTATACAACAATTACTTATGAAGACTATAAAACCTAGGGTTATATGAATCTTCATAATAAACTAGTAATGCAACACTACCAATAATACTATGGTCAACAACCACAAATCCTTGAGTCAAAGTCAAACTTCATGTGATGGGGGACAGGCCCTGCTGGTGCTCCAGACTGTCCCTGTCTGCGTCTGCAGTGTGTTCCAGTGGGGGCCTGATGACGATGTGGACTGATCTCTCCCTGGGTACCTCCTGCTTGCTGCTGCTAACAGCCCTGGTGCTCTTGGTCCTGCCCTCGCCCATCTGACCCTCGGCCGAAGTCCCGATCGGACGCAAGCACTCGGCGGACGCCAGCTTCACAGTTCTCTCTCTTGGGCCTGTCTGTAGCGTTGGAGAACGGGCTGGAGAATGCCATGTCAACTGCGTCAGAGATGGGAAAGTAAGAAGCATGTTACTTCATGTCAATCATAGAGATGTTGCGTCAATTTAGTTTTTGTGTCAATCTGCCACTCTCAAAGTGTAATAAATGCCTAATGCAGATTATTTTCTCCCGAGTGGCGCAGTGGTCTAAGGCACTGCATCGCAGTGCTAGCTGTGCCACTAGAGATCCTGGTTCGAATCCAGGCTCTGTCGTAGCCGGCCGCGACCGGGAGACTCATGGGGCGGCGCACAATTGGCCCAGCGTCGTCCAGGGTAGGGGAGGGAATGGCCGGCAGGGATGTAGCTCAGTTGGTAGAGCATGGCGTTTGCAACTCCAGGGTTGTGGGTTCGATTCCCACGGGGGGCCAGTATGAAAAATACAAATGATGTATGCACTCACTCTAAGTCGCTCTGGATAAGACCGTCTGCTAAATGACTAAAATTTAAATGTATTCGTACATATGAGAAGGCATGGTGGTAGATGACTGCTCCTTTTACCTATCCTGTTGATGAGGGCTGGTTCGTGGGGAATATGCTGCTCTACCTTGTTGTTGTTGTTCTCTATGTTGCTGAGGCTCTCGCTGGGTCTTCTCACGGTGCGGGTCTTGGGCCGAAACTTGTTGGAGCAGGCCTCCTGGATCCACTCATGCTGCATGGCCTCGTCGGGTGTCAAGAGAGAAGAGAGGATGCGAGGAATATGCTAATGAGATTCTCCCAGAGAGAAAACCACACACTGGGCTTCCTTGTAAAATAGATCTCAATCTCAATGGGCCTCACCTGGATGAGTAAAGGGTAAATAAACTAAATAAATAATATTGCGAAAGAGAACTTGCTTCACCTGACAGTTTAACATGATTCATTAGTATTAGTCATATTTGAGACTGGGTGATTCTGTGGCTGTGTTATTGACAGGTGTACAGTAAGTATTGTTAGGTTCTGAACAAACAGAGTACAAACTCACGGACAACTAGAAAAGCTCAAACAAAGTTTATTCACCCACTGGGTCATACAGCTGCAAAGACAAAGACATGTTTACACAAGCACATATATTTATACCCTCCTACTAGGCAGAGTCAACTCCTTGCCCATCTAGACAGCTAACACATCTCTGTTGCTAGTCAGGAACTTAATTGGTTCCTCTCACTTGTGTAGTCATGGACCTGCCTCATGCTAGAACCTTCGTGGGCATGGAAGTATACAGTGGGGAGAACAAGTATTTGATACACTGCCGATTTTGCAGGTTTTCCTACTTACAAAGCATGTAGAGGTCTGTAATTTTTTATCATAGGTACACTTCAACTGTGAGAGACGGAATCTAAAACAAAAATCCAGAAAATCACATTGTATGATTTTTAAGTAATTAATTTGCATTTTATTGCATGACATAAGTATTTGATACATCAGAAAAGCAGAACTTAATATTTGGTACAGAAACCTTTGTTTGCAATTACAGAGATCATATGTTTCCTGTAGGTCTTGACCAGGTTTGCACACACTGCAGCAGGGATTTTGGCCCACTCCTCCATACAGACCTTCTCCAGATCATTCAGGTTTCGGGGCTGTCGCTGGGCAATACGGACTTTCAGCTCCCTCCAAAGATTTTCTATTGGGTTCAGGTCTGGAGACTGGCTAGGCCACTCCAGGACCTTGAGATGCTTCTTACGGAGCCACTCCTTAGTTGCCCTGGCTGTGTGTTTCGGGTCGTTGTCATGCTGGAAGACCCAGCCACGACCCATCTTCAATGCTCTTACTGAGGGTAGGAGGTTGTTGGCCAAGATCTCGCGATACATGGCCTCATCCATCCTCCCTCAATACGGTGCAGTCGTCCTGTCCCCTTTGCAGAAAAGCATCCCCAAAGAATGATGTTTCCACCTCCATGCTTCACGGTTGGGATGGTGTTCTTGGGGTTGTACTCATCCTTCTTCTTCCTCCAAACACGGCGAGTGGAGTTTAGACCAAAAAGCTATATTTTTGTCTCATCAGACCACATGACCTTCTCCCATTCCTCCTCTGGATCATCCAGATGGTCATTGGCAAACTTCAGACGGGCCTGGACATGCGCTGGCTTGAGAAGGGGGACCTTGCATGCGCTGCAGGATTTTAATCCATGACGGCGTAGTGTGTTACTAATGGTTTTCTTTGAGACTGTGGTCCCAGCTCTCTTCAGGTCATTGACCAAGTCCTGCCGTGTAGTTCTGGGCTGTTCCCTCACCTTCCTCATGATCATTGATGCCCCACGAGGTGAGATCTTGCATGGAGCCCCAGACCGAGGGTGATTGACCGTCATCTTGAACTTCTTCCATTTGCTAATAATTGCGCCAACAGTTGTTGCCTTCTCACCAAGCTGCTTGCATATTGTCCTGTAGCCCATCCCAGCCTTGTGCAGGTCTACAATTTTATCCCTGATGTCCTTACACAGCTCTCTGGTCTTGGCCATTGTGGAGAGGTTGGAGTCTGTTTGATTGAGTGTGTGGACAGGTGTCTTTTATACAGGTAACGAGTTCAAACAGGTGCAGTTAATACAGGTAATGAGTGGAGAACAGGAGGGCTTCTTAAAGAAAAACTAACAGGTCTGTGAGAGCCGGAATTCTTACTGGATGGTAGGTGATCAAATACTTATGTCATGCAATAAAATGCAAATTAATTACTTAAAAATCATACAATGTGATTTTCTGGATTTTTGTTTTAGATTCCGTCTCTCACAGTTGAAGTGTACCTATGATAAAAATTACAGACCTCTACATGCTTTGTAAGTAGGAAAACCTGCAAAATCGGCAGTGTATCAAATACTTGTTCTCCCCACTGTATGTGTGTGGGATAGGACTGTTCCTTCTCACTTCATCTGACCTGACCTCGGGACGAATTCCACGCTCCTCCCTAATCCACGACTGTCCTACCTTATCAGTGACTGAAACCAGACTGTTTGCCCTTTGCCTCCCTCCTTAGGAGCCATGAGATTTAACAATACCATGTTTTGACAGAATGTAAACTTTCTACACTCCCCATGTCTCATTCAGTAACTTTCCATACACCTAGTTCTTATCCACCCTCCATTGACCCCAACATTTACAGTACCAGTCAAAAGTTTGGACACACCTACTCATTCAAGAGTTTTTCTTTATTTTTACTATTTTCTACATCTATGAAATAACACATATGGAATAATGTTGTTACCAAAAAAAGTGTTAAACAAATCAAAATATATTTTATATTTGAGATTCTTCAAATAGCCACCCTTTGCCTTGACGACAGCTTTGCACACTTGGCATTATCTCAAGGGCAAAGGGTGGCTATTTGAAGAATCTCAAATATAAAATATATTTTGATTTGTTTAACAAAAAAATAAAATTAAGAAACGCTTGAATGAGTAGGTGTGTCAACTTTTCAATGTTACTGTATATGCTTTATAATGCTTTTGAATGACACTTCTGGTTTTGGCAGGAAATACCGGGTTACCCGGGAGAAAAGTGATTTATTCTCGGGATGGAACATTTGTAAAATACCAGGAAAATATTAATCCCTTGTGTAGACAAAGAAGAACTCTACAGTAGGTGTAGCAAATCATTCAAGGGCCATTTTCTACATTAGACCGAATCGAGGCAGTCGGTCATATATGAGAGGTAATGCACTTCAATGAGAACATGCCTACCTCTTTGTACCCTGCTTAGCTTTGGAAACAAGCCGTGTAAACTTCAGATTAGCTATCATGTCAACACATTTATACATTGATCAGCTTCCATACTCATTTGGGTAGACTACCTAAAAAATTTTTTTGATTTTTTTATTTCACCTTTATTTAACCAGGTAAGCCAGTTGAGAACAGGTTCTCATTTACAACTGCGACCTAAATAACATTGAATAGTTTAAAGTAACTCCTCTAACTTTTCTTACGCAAGTTGTATGTGAAAGTACATTTGGAGTGAGGTTGGGTTTATGCTAATACGGCTAAAATTCTCTAGCTAGCTAACCAACAACTGTAACAATGTATTTGAGAGACAACAAGTGCTCATTGTGCAAATGTATTTATGTTTTTAATAAACATTGGAGACGAAATATAGTTTACATGTTGTCAACAATCTAAGATAACCCCATCTGTTTTGCCTCATAAATTAGTTGCGCACATGTCAGTTTGGTTGCTAAACAACCAACCCCTCTATTAACTAGATCACACATTAAACACCTTCAAACACTCCACACTCGGTCCATTAGGTAGCAACCTTGGGTGTATTCACTAGGAACCAAACAGAACCAAACGGAACCAAACTGGGAGGGACCTACCTGAATTTGTTGAATAGAAACTCTTATTTTTGTTGTAAAAAGTTTTACGTTTGGAGTAAACGGTTTCCGTTGGAAAACGTTTTGGACTAATGATTACACCCCTTGATTAGAAGCATGTGAATCTAATTAAGGTGTGCTGGGGAAAGAAGTCCCACCCTGATTTCCAGACTGGTGGAAAGACTGATGGGTGAAGTGAATTCTGTGAGGATTACGAGAACTGGTTTAATGTACTTCTGAGGAACAGAAGAAAGATGTGTTGGGTCTCACCCTATTCGAGAAGGTTGCTGTGTCATGCGTTGCTCTTCAGAGCAGGGTACGTCTTAAGGGGGTAATATCTGGCGTGTTGTGGGAAATCGTTGTAGAAGAAAGTTCAACGTATCCTGGGAGTGATTGATGCTCGGTGGATGAATCGTGTTGTGAATGGAGAAAAAGTGAAGAATCTGTCTGTACTTTAGTTATTTTAAATGGACTCCTTACAGGTGAAATGTGTTTATGAATTTCCGTGTTAGAGGGTTTATCCAAAGACCGATGCAGTGTGATAACTAACGCGTTTGGAAATGTGGAAAGTGTTTACAGAATGAAAAAGCTGAGATATCCGTGTTGTGGAGGTGATCATTTCATGTGTTGTAGAAGTGAGGAGAATGTGGAGTGTTGCAATTGCGGTGGTAACCATGAAGCAACGGCTTTGGAGTGCCCGACGAGGGTGAAGGTGGAATAGGTGGCTAGAGTCAGGACCAGTCAGAGCATCTCATATGCAGCAGCAGTGCGAAGGGGTTGAGGGATTGAGTGGTCCTGAAGAGTTCATAGTGGTGGATAGGATTTCTCTGCAGGCGGCTGGGATTGCCTCTCACCAGAAGGATCCAGAAATGTTACATGTCAAGAAGGTGGACTTTCTGGCATTAATAGCTATCATGGTTAAGGGTATTGCCAAAGTGGAGAGGACGTCCAGGGAAATAGACATCATTGTGTATGCGGCAGAAAGGACTGAAGGACTTCTCGGCAGAGGAGTTACATGGAGTATGGTCACGTGCTGTACCACCCTTTCAGGCCCCGGAGCATGAGAAGGGATATTTGAAGGAAGGAAGAAGTGGGAGTTACTAGTTTTAGTTGTGTGGATTAAGTTAGTTTTTCCCATCACATGTGGATTATTATTTATTAATTTGTTCAACCCTGTCCAGTTGGTGGCGGTAATGTACCTTTTGGTTGCCAACTGCCATTTAAAACCACAGAAGAAGAAGCTAACTGCAGAAGAAGTACAACAGCTGGGGGTTGCATCAAGAGTGCACAGTGTAGCAGCAGTGCAGGAGAGAAAAAAAGGGGGCACCATGGAGTGTTACCAATGTGGAAAACAGGGTCATCACCCATCTGAATGCTGGGCCAAAGAGTTGACATGTCGACATTGAGAAATATTTAAGATGACTGAAGTTCATATTTAATTTAGAGTGATAAATTTTTAGCATATTTGGAGTTTCTGTTATACACGAGATGTCCAGTGTTCTGTTTGTAACACTCTGGTTGATTGGCACTAGACTAGAGGCTGTATGTTATGGATTAAACTCATAACTGCTGATATGGTTGACGCCAGACTGGAGGTACAAGGACAGAGGATACACTGATTATTATTGTATTGTGTGAAACAATGTTATTCTGTAGCAGCTGACAAAGTCACTGGCTTCTGTTTTGACTTCCTACAAGCCTCTCGGGCTGGTGTTTACGGAACAGTTGTACGCTGAATAGGATATAAGGGCGTTCTCAGAGAAGGCCAGTTAGACATTATCTCTGCTTCTGGGATGGATGTTTCTCCCTGTTGCAACTTGTAATAAACTAAATAGATTTTTGAATGACTATCTGCAACTGCTCTTCTCTTTTGTTCACCTGGAAATTCCTATTACATCACCCCTCCCTCCTTTCAGCGAGCCTGGATCTCTGTGAGAGAGGAAGGCCATCCTGTCTGTATCCCCAGGCTGAGCACTCACACACAGAGGGACGATGAGGCTAGGTTGGGTCCGAGGGCTGGCCCCTTTGCTGGCCATGGCTGCTGGAATACTCTACATCACATCCATTAAGCAGGAGGTTCATTCTCATGGGGAGAGACTGCAGAGGGCCCATCAGAATGACTCAGTCAGGGGCCAGGACATGCTCAAGAGGCTGGAGAAGATGGAAGCTCACATCGAGAAGCTGGGTAAGTCTCAATCTCCTTCATTTAACTGTGACTTACCTGGAAGAGAAATGCCAGTAGCTCTGTCCACACACTGTACCTGGACTACAGTCTGCCACTGTTCTAGATGGTAGGGCAGAGTTAGAGGGTAGGATTTGAGAACACATTAGAATCTAGCCTGAGCCTACATGTAGAGTTGATCCCAGGAAGTTATTTCAAACTAAACAGTGATGATTGTAAAAGGGAATTTGTTCTCAATTAAATAAACTAATAAAATATTAAATTAAATAAAATATGCCCATAATCATTTTAGATTGTTATTTAATCCTGTACACTGTTGCTTATTGCACAACATTTGATTCACCAACTTCTGTGTGCCAAAGTTTGCCACATTGTTTACTATTACAAAAAACAATTCTCCAAGGTAGATCAAACATTATTAATCAACTTTTTTTTTTTTTTAAACACACATGCAAACAGTTACTGAAGCTATGTAAATAAGGTCATGCTCCGTTTGTATGAAAAGGGGTGACTCATGTTGATTCTGGCAGCCTTAACACACTTATTACAGTGAAGACAATCAACGAAGGGATCAGTCTGAAAGAGGGGCAGGCTGTGATGGCTCCCGAGGTCAAGAAGGAGAGGAAGGTGGTGAAGAAGTTGTACCCCAACTCAGCTCTGTTTAGAAGCTGGGGTGACGAGCTCTCAGAGGAGGAGCAGAAAGAGGCAGAGGGGCTATTTCAGACGTATGGATACAACGCCTTCCTGAGTGACAGACTACCCCTGAACAGGGAAATCCCTGATACTCGCGATCCTAAGTAAATCATTTTCCTCATCTCTCCTCCACCTCTACACAATAAATGATGTATAACTCAAGACTTCTGAATTCTAACCACAGTCTGTTGCATCCGAGGTCATCTGAGGTCAATTCCATCTCCAGCACTTTTAATGCAGTTTGATGAATAACATTGAAATTGACAATAACTTTAAGAGTGAAACAGCAGCTTTGGTGAAGTGAATTAATGATATGAGCAAGACCAAATGTTTTTGTTGTGCCTGTTAGGTGTGCTAATCACCAGTACCCCCATGACCTGCCCACCATCAGCGTGGTGTTGATCTACTTGGACGAGGCCCTGTCCATCATCAAGAGAGCCGTCCGCAGCATCATAGACAAGACCCCCCAACGCCTGCTCAAAGACATCATACTGGTGGATGACCACAGCTCCAATGGTTCGCCTAATTGGTCTTTTCTCTACGCATAGAAACATTTGAAAGTATATTTGTTAACATTTAGATTGAACTTGATTGAAAGGTGTGGCTTTCAACTTTTGTTGTGTTTCACTGATTTGCAAGTTTCTGCTTTCACAGAGGATCTAAAGGAGAAGTTGGACGTCTACATCAGCTTCATCCAAGAAGAGCGTCCGGGCCTGGTGAAGAGAGTGAGACACTCAGAGCAGCTCGGTCTCACACAGGCCCGCCTCTCAGGGTGGAGGGAAGCTGAAGGAGATGTGGTGGCCATCTTGGATGCCCACATAGAGGTCCATGTGGAATGGTAGTCTAAATGTTTTTTGTTATAAAATATGCTTTTGAATCCCTCCTCCCAACATGGTATTTTCAGTCTGTGTTTGTGTGAACAGGGCGGAGCCTCTGTTAGCTCGGATAAAGGAGGACCGCACGTTGGTGTTGACACCGGTGTTTGACAAAGTCAATTTCGATGACTTGACAGTCACACGTTATGGACCTGCTGCAGACACCTTTGACTGGGCCCTGTGGTGTATGTACGAGCCCTTCAGACCTGAGTGGTACGCCTTGAAAGACGAGTCACAGCCAGGAAAGTGAGTTTCATGATTTCATCATAGGATGATAGTCCAGTTTCACAAGTCTGTTTGAATAGGCGATAAGGAAAGCACAGCATTGGGTCGTAAATCTCACCTAATATTTACACCTGGATTATTATTTTGCGTTATCTATTCATTAAAATGAATGTCACTTCTCCCAGTGTAGAAATGACCATGATTTGTACTGTATGTTTGTCAGGAGCCCCTCCATTATGGGCATACTAGTGGTTGATCGCCTGTTTTTTGGGGAAATTGGTGCTCTCGACGGTGGTATGAAGATCTATGGAGGTGAAAATGTTGAACTGGGCATCCGGGTAAGCCCCTTTAGATGAAATCAATAAAATATGGCCCATAATCATTTTAGAATGTTCTTTAATCCTGTATACTGTTGCTTGATGCACAAATGTGTTCAGTTTGGATCTATCAACTTCTATGTTCCAAAGTTTTCCACATTGTTTACTTTTACATATGTACTTCAAGGTAATCCTCCAAAGCAGATCAAACCTTATTAATCAACTTTTAAAAAACAAATGCAAACAGTGATTGAGGCTAATAAATAAGGTCATGCTCTGTTTGCCCCTGCATTAAAAGTGCTGGAGACGGAATTGACCTCACGATGACCTCGGATGCAACAGACTGTGGTTAGAATTCAGAGGTCTTGAGTTATACATCATTTGTTGTGTAGAGGTGGCGGAGAGATGAGGAAAATTATTTACTCAGAAAATGTTGGAACTGGGCATCCGGGTAAGCCCCTCTGCTACAGTTTCTAAATGAATGTTTGAAATCAAAGCGGACTTGTTTTTGCAGAATTACTTTCTGTTCTTGAGTCATTCAGTTTGCACAAACCAATCTACATCCAGACACTTCAGTCCATATCTATAAACTCTTCCTTCTCTCTTGGTGTGTGGTTTTCTAGGTGTGGCTGTGTGGTGGAAGTGTTGAGGTCATACCTTGTTCTAAAATAGCCCACATCGAGAGGGCCCATAAACCCTATCTCCCCGATCTGAGCATTACAATGAAGAGGAATGCTCTGAGAGTGGCTGAGGTCTGGATGGATGAATACAAACAGAATGTCAACATCGCCTGGAACCTCCCACTGAAGGTACACTCTTAGAAAAAAAGGGTTCCAAAAGGGTTCTTCGGCTTACCCCATAGGATAACCCTTTTTGGTTGCAGGTAGAACTATTTTGGGTTCCATGTAGAACCCTCTGTGAAAAGGGTTCTACATGTAACCAAAATGGGTTCTTCAGGGTTCTCCTATGAGGACAGCCAAAGAACCCTTTTATGTTCCAGATAGCACCTTTTTTCTAAGAGTGTACTGTACAGAACAAACAATTCAAAAAGTAGGCTTTGTTCAGGTGCTCCTATAGAATAACAATCATCACTGTTATTGCAGCTTGAAAGAAGACTAGACAGTCAGAATTAGCACTGTGTGAAAAATTTATATGATTCAATGCCACAATAAGGATATTGAAGTATGATTTATGTAAATATCTGGAGGTAAAAACAAAAGTGGAAAATAGGTGGATTGTTCACATGGCCTGTGTTTATGATTTAGAAATCTTCCTATTTCTCACCACAGGACCATGGCATAGACATTGGGGATGTTTCAGAGAGGAAGAAGTTGAGAAAGAGGCTGAACTGCAAGCCCTTCCAGTGGTATCTGGACAACGTGTATCCCATGTTAGACCCCCTGGGTGACTTGCTTGGTTATGGAGCTGTGAGTGATGCTAAAACATTTATCATTGTTCTGCACACACACACACACACACACACAGTCTGCTGTTCTATTATGTACTATTCATTCATTCATTCAACTACGCGACCAAGACACTACCCACTTTATATCTATAAATACATTCATACTTGACATAACACATTCATTATCTATACTGTATGTATATACACTGTACCAGGATAATAATCTACACTTTTATAACCGTTTAATCTCTGTCTATAAAATCAACAGCTGGTCAATGACCTGAAGACGGATCTCTGTATAGATCAAGGCCCATTTCCAGGGAACACACCTATTTTATATGGATGCCATTATTATGGTCCACAGGTTTGTAGAATCATTGCTTAGTATTTTATTTATTTAACTACATGTATAATATGGTCCATCCCATGGCAGACCTGGGATTCAACCCATACCACAATGCAAAATATTGTCAATACCACAGACTCAGAAAAGCGAAAATATCTATCCTCTCTGTCCAGAACTGTTATTATCGAGCCAGCGGGGAGATCTACGTTGGAGGCATCAGGTCCCATAAGTACGACAGTAATCGTTGTCTGGTGGACACTGGCACTCGAACCCCAGGACTGTATGAGTGCAAGGTGGCCAAGCAGAAGGGATTCCACATGCTCTGGGACTTTCAACAGGTGAGGATTACAACACTCTGTAAAATAGGAAAATGTATACTAATAAGCATATTGAAACAGGGAATTTCAAAGGCAACATGCCCAAAACCATGGCTAAAAGAACTGTAATTTACTTTTTAGTGGTTTTTATTGTGGTATGTTGTACAGTAGACTGTTTTTTACATTTTACAGGGAAAAGCCATCCAGAACAGACAGACAAAGAAATGTCTGGAGATTGCCCCAGGGGACGACACCTACTACCAGCTCATCATTCAGGAGTGCAGTGGGCAGCACTGGAAAATACAGAATCTGATAAAAGACTTCTAAAACACTGAGATAGTTAGGCCTAGCAGAGACAATACAGCAGGACTATATGAGTTATCATGCTTTGAAAAGCCAATCGGTGGTCAGCAGTGAGATGACTGTGTGATCTTAGTGAGCTGTTGATTGGGGACAGAATGTGGCATGCTATTGAGCTGTGTTTTCCTTGGTCCTGAATGTAAATGCAAAGAAATAATAAATATCATTCTTGTATTTACGCTCATTTGTGGTTTGTTATTGATTCACTGTAGATTTTCACCAAAGAGGGTCATATAATATTTGTCTGCATTGACATCATATAGAGATGAGTTGACATCAGTGTGGTTTTGAAGAAGTCCCGTCCTCGACTTCTCAGGGATTTCTATATGAGTTCTCAGAGATGAACTTATCCCACGTCCTCTGCCACATGGCCAGCCCCCTCTCCTTCAGCTGTGATGGCAGTGAGCTATATCTATGGTAGAGGACATATAACTACAACTTTCTCAAACACATACTTTTCACGACTACAAATTAAGCAGTTGGTAATCTCCGAACTCAATCACCCATACGCTAGCTAGCTATGTTAATTCTGTCATGAGAGATTAAACAGTTAGTATCCAGAGCAAACAGAGGTAATACCATAGAGATACATGAAATACTATTTCATTTTAATTCTCCAAACAACTCTTGACCTCACCTTATGGAGTTGATGGCCAGCTCCTTGAGAGTGCCCAGGTTAGCCCTCAAGCCACCGATGCCCACAAACACCTCATAGAAGTCATAGGAGAGCCCAGTGGTCCCAAACAGGGACGGGTCATCAGAGCTGACCACTATGGGGTGGCCCTCAGACATCAGCACAGCTGCAGGGTGGTTCCTTAGGTCAGACACCAGCTTCAGCACCTGGTCATAGACACACAGGGATTCAGGGACATCAGCACTGGTTTAACTCAGTGGACTAAAGACAACTGAACCAGAGATATTTAGAGTTTCAGTTCAGATTAACTTTATTGTCCCCAAACTGAAATACCCTACAGTACTGCTTTTTTATTTAACCAATGGGAATATTATGATGAGTACTGACAGACAATGTGGCATTTACCTGGTTTGAGATGGGGCATACTTCCACGGCCACGTTTCCCTTCCTGGAGAGCTCCTTTGCCAGTGGGTGGTGTGCCAAGGTGTACCCATGCCCAATACGTGTGGTGTTGAACATTAGGGCATCTAGAATGTTTTCATCCACTTCAGTGCCCATCTGGTCTGCGCAAGTATGAATGTGCGCACACACACATGTTATACTGTAAGTGCATCACAATAATGTGTATATACCGTAGATTTGTTTTTGTTAATTACACAATTGTTTTAATCAATCATCCTATACTTGCCAGTCTCTCCTGCATGAAAGAAGTATTGCAGCATGACTCCAAGCTCTGCAGGTAGAGATAAGGCCTCCCTGAAGAACCAGAGAGGTCTTCCCCTGTCCTCCCTGCCAACCTAAAACCACAAAAGAACAGTTGATTTTACAATGTGTGTAAACCATTTTACAATGGTTTATTTGTGTATTGATTTTCAGTAATGAGAGGGCATATGATTGGTTCTACCCCTTAAGAGAATTCTCACCAGGTCGAATCCTGCAACTAACTCTGGGAAATCCTTCTGCATCTGAATGGCCTCTTTTACAGCTGCTTTGATATCAGCCACACTCAGAACCCTAAGGTGCACACAAGGGCAGAGCCAATCATCAGAAATCATAATTCTATTGTTTTCATTGCAACAGGCAAGCTCAATCAAGCACAGCTAGAGTGTCCGAAATGATTATAAATAGTATTTGAACCCATGTCTGTACTGTACCTATGGACGGAAATGATGAGTCGAGCTCCCAGAAAGCCAGGGTGTTCAGCCACAAACTGTTGAGTGACTTCCTGATAAGTCCTCAGGGACCAGGCTTTATCATGGATGCTTCCATCCAGCTCATATGTCTGCAGGATGTGCAGAATAAAAACAGTTTAAAACATCACCAAAAACCCTTGAAAAAGAAATGTCTAGGTATCTCATATAGCCTAGGTAACATGTAATTCCAGCCCACTACATTGCCCGTTATACTTCCGATTAAGGCCCACAGTACTAACCCTTGATAGTCCAGTTCTTAGTTCCAGATACATGATGTTGTCATCAAACAGCTGTTCTAAGCCCTTGTAGAGAAAGTCTTTAAACACAGGAGCGTAGGTGACCAGCCCAGCAATGGCCACAAATGCCATCTCAAACCTCTCCCACACTGCGTCCTGGCTCGGGTAGGTAGTGTCTGGATCATCAGTGAACAGTGTGAGGTTCTGCATCAAGCTGGAAAAACATCAAAAAAGGCAATAAACTACCCTTCCATGAATAAGAAAGTTGTATTTTTGCTACTACATGTGTTCATTCATAGGCGCCTATTTGTATTGCTTGGCTCTGATGATATAGTGGACTACCTGTTGTCAAAGTCTGTAGGATCCACCATGTTGGCTCTCAAGGTCTTCAACAGTTGCCAGTAGAGGCAGTCCCAGGTAGGGAAGGGCCGGCGACTAGAGAAGACGAACCGTACAGACCTGCCCCATGTGAAGCAGATGTAACAATGGGGCCTGTATGTGATGTTCTTCACCAGCCAATCAACACTCACCAGAGATGAGCTGTGGATGTGGAGGGCTGCCCCTGTGACCCAGCATAGAGAATATACTAACCGTAGTTAAATTGATGGTAAACATATTTGTAAGGTGAGCCAAGGTGCTCCTCAGCTGCACTAGGGCAGTGGGACTGTATTACTGTCTTACCTTTGGGCATCCTTTGCAGCAGGTTAAAGATGGGGCTCTTATGGATGAGGGGCCGTGCCTTGAAGAAGTGAATGGCAGGAGGGAACTGGGCCGCAGCCATCTCTTGTTCTTTTAGCTTGTGAAGGTGTGCGTCGAGCCACTGCTCTGCCTCTGTCAGCTGCACACGGCCCCCTGTCTGCCTGGAGGTCTCCTGGCGCATCATCGTCTCCCTCTGACGGGGGTCAGGGGTCCCGCCACATACAGTCACACAGCACATCACAACTACCAACTGGAGGGTGATGGTATAGCTCCCTCTAGAGGGGAAAACCATCTTGTCCTGCAGTGTCATTGGAGATTGGAAGTGGCTGTGGAAATCCTTCTTGAAGAGGCCACTCATTGAACTAAATGCTAGACTTAATTCAACAATGAACACAGAGTTTTTCAGAGATAGTAATTTAGAACACATTTTAATTTAGAACATAAGGTACTACCGTAAACCTATACGCTGATGCTGCTAGTTCCTTTCTAAGCCCTGAACAGGAATGTTCAGATAATCATACAATTTGAATCATACAATTGAATGCAACCAACATTTACATTAATAAAATAAAGCATACTTACAAATGAGAAGCAACAGAAGTGAGGTATTCTTCCCTTATTCACACTTTCCTTCTCAAGTGTGTAAACCTTTCTCAATAAACTACCCCTGTACTATGCTATTTAGTCTGAGTTGACGGGCTCACAATACCATTGTGTTATGCCCACTTACTTAATGGCTGTTGCTAGTCAGCAGAATGCAGCCCAAAAATGTAGCATGTCATGAGATTCTCTGGAGGGACCATGGATGATTCAATTGAATAAATAACAAGAGACTATAGTGCAACTCCTTTGTCGAAAAAAAAAAGCATTGTATTACAATCTGATAGAGAAAAATGTGTAGGTCAAAAAGAGCTGGCAACTGATACTATCGATTTATACTTTAGAACATATTGTCACGATATAACCTCTTCAGATGGAAATCTTGACTCAAAATGAACAACATAAAGCAAAAAATAAACACATAACCATACGTATAATTTAATATGCATTTCAATCCTCATATACATACAGAGCACCTTACGGAATGACAACATCCCCCTTCCTTCTGTTTCATGATACAACAGCAAAGACATAACATCAATACATTAATTGGATTCAATAAGGACATAGTTGGTCTTCAATGTTTTTCCCGCATCACTTCATTTTAATTGTGATAGATGGGAGCAAATAGCTATGGGTGAGTCAATGCTCCATGCAATTTATATTTTCATGAGAGGAAGATGTTATTAGATTAAATAAGGAACTGATACAAGATGCATCAGTTACAATAGAGCCCCACAGTGGAGGTGTCATAATACCCATAAAACCTAGCAGTCAAACTGTCACAAACGAGACTCCCGCTGTTCCTCCTGCTCACCACTAGAGGGAACCCTCTCCTGAGTATTAAACCCCTGAACTACTTTTCCCACATACCTGGCTCTGATTACCGTTGCACCTGACTCCCATCAGTAGACTATTTAGGTGCTCTCAAACTCTCTCTCTTTGCGAAGTCTTGTTAGCCCTGGTGATCATTTCTGAGCGTTTTCGCCTGTGTCTGTCTGCCCGTGGATTTACTCTGGACTGTTTTTCCCTCCTTGATTCTTTGCTGCCTGCCCTGGACTATATTCTTTACTGGACTGATTTTTGTAAGCTTGCTGCCTGCCCTGACCTTATGTCTGTACCTGGATTACGGTTTGCCTTATCCCTACTGTTGTGTCTGCTGGCGATTGACCCTGTTTGTACGACCAAGATTGTAATAAAACTGCAAATGGATCCTCACTCTCCTGGAGCATCATTACAGAAGACTTCGCCAACACACGATCCAGCAGCTCTGGTTCAGATGTCCACGGAGATTTCCACTCAAGCTAACCAACTCGCCATTCATCAACAGCAGCTAACCCATTTAACTACAGTAACAGAGGAACTCGTCAGGACGCTACAGAGGTTGCAGGTGTCGCTAACGAACCCAGCCCCTCCTCAACCGAACGCGAGTGTGGGCGCTTCTCCACCACCGTCACTCACAGTTAACCCACGTCTGGCTCTCCCTGATAAGTTCGACGGCAACCCAACTAAAAGTAAGGGATTTCTACTGCAATGTTCATTATTCATTGATCAACAACCAGCTATGTATGTCACCGATGCCAGCAAGATTTCCTTGGTATGCTCACTCCTCACTGACAAGGCGTTAGAGTGGGTGACGGCGGTTTGGAGAGAGGATGGCACTGCTTTCCCATCGTTTGGTACCTTTCTTCAACCCTTCCGGGAAATATTTGAACACCCGGAGGGAGGTATGAGAGCTGATGATCGACTACTTGCGTTGAGCCAGGGCAGGAATACCGCAGCAGAATATGCTTTGACATTTCGCACTCTAGCAGCTCAAACCGACTGGGTGGAGAGCACACTTAAACTGCTCTTTCGCAAGGGACTCAGCTTGGAGTTGCAATCCGAACTGGCCTGCCGAGATGAAGGGAGATCGCTGAATCAATTCATCGAACTAACCATTCAGATTGACAATCTGATTCGTTCACGTCGTCCACTCAGAACGGTACCCACCAGCACACAATACCCGGTCACTCTGTCTCAAACTGAACCCATGCAGCTCGGATATACTCACCTGACTCCGGAAGAACGAGAACGCCGCATACGTCAACATCTCTGCCTCTATTGTGGTCAACCGGGCCATCTGAGGGCGTTTTGCCCCACAAGACCACCTCCTCGTAATCCCTCTTCGGTGAGTCCTTGTGTTCAAGCACATCACTCCAGTTCTTGCATCAAAGTACCTATAGTATTATCTCTAGAGGGCAATCATATATCCACATCAGCTCTATTAGACTCAGGAGCAGCCGGGAACTTTATGTCTCACGAGTTTGCCCAACAACAACAACTCCCATTAATCTCCTGTAACTCTCAATTGGCAGTGGAGGCGCTAGATGGACGGCCTCTCGGCGATGGGAGGGTTCTGCACACCACCGTGGACCTTCAACTACAGACCGGTACCCTTCACACTGAGGTAATTCGTTTCTACGTCATCTCATCACCTCATAACCCGGTTATTCTTGGACTCCCCTGGCTACGTCAACATAATCCCCTCATCTCATGGAGGGAGGGTCGTATCATCAAATGGGACCCGTCATGTCACTCCAACTGCTTAACTGGCAGCCCTTCACTCTCCATTCAGACCGTCACGCTAAAGGACGAGCCGGCCCTTTTCCCCACTCTTCCCATTGAATACTCTGACCTCATCGAAGCTTTTAGCAAGACCAAGGCGATGGAACTCCCCTCCCACCGATCAAGCGACTGTTCCATCGAACTATTACCAGGCACAACACCACCTAAGGGCCGAATCTTCCCCCTATCACAACCCGAATCAGAAGCCATGAACAACTACATCGAGGAGGAACTTTCGAAGGGGTTCATTAGAACGTCGACATCACCTGCAGCCTCTGGCTTCTTCTTTGTTAAAAAAAAAGACGGTGGCCTACGCCCTTGTATCGACTACCGGGGTCTCAACGACATCACCGTCAAGTTTCGATATCCTTTACCGCTGGTACCAGCTGCCCTAGAACAACTCCGCAAAGCCAAGTACTTCTCCAAACTGGACCTCCGCAGCGCCTACAATCTCATTCGCATCCGGGACGGTGATGAATGGAAGACAGCCTTCTCTACCAGCACTGGGCACTATGAGTATTTGGTTATGCCTTTCGGGCTGTCCAATAGTCCGTCCGTATTTCAGTCGTTTATCAATGACGTCTTTCGGGACATGCTTAATCGTTGGGTAATTGTTTACATCGATGACATTCTCGTCTATTCCAACACCTATGAGGAACACGTGCAACACGTGAGAACAGTATTACAACGACTCATTGATCACCAATTATACGCCAAAGCAGAGAAGTGCGAATTTCACCAGACTTCCACGTCTTTCTTGGGCTACATCATCAACCAGGAGGGAGTCGCCATGGACGAGAAGAAGGTCAAGGCCGTTCTAGACTGGCCACTGCCAGTAACCTTAAAGGAGTTACAACGCTTCTTGGGATTTGCTAACTTCTACCGACGCTTCATCAGGAATTTCAGCTCGGTAGCCTCTCCCTTAACCTCTATGACTAAGAGAAATGCACCACACCTCACCTGGTCAACTACAGCACAGGAGGCTTTCGCAGAACTCAAGTCACGTTTCACATCTGCCCCCATCCTCCACCACCCTAATCCTGAAATCCCGTTTACAGTTGAGGTGGACGCTTCTAATACGGGCATTGGAGCCATCCTCTCACAGCGGCACGGATCCCCACTCAAGCTCTATCCGTGCGCCTATTACTCCCGCAAACTTAGTCCAGCCGAACAGAACTACGACGTCGGAAACCGAGAACTGTTGGCCATGAAAGCAGCTATGGAGGAGTGGCGTCATTGGCTGGAGGGAGCTAAACACCCGTTTGTGATTCTAACTGACCACAAGAATCTGGAATACTTGCGATCTGCCAAGAGACTGAATCCCAGACAAGCGAGGTGGGCTCTCTTCTTTACACGATTTGACTTCACCGTTACCTATCGTCCCGGTTCAAAGAACACCAAAGCAGACGCATTGTCACGCCAACACGACGGTGTAGTTCCTACTGAATCCAAGGAAACCCTGCTTCCTGAGTCATTAATCGTGGCCCCTATTCAGTGGGACATCATGACAGAGCTCACCCAGGCCAATTCACAAAAGACCCCTCCTCCCGGATGCCCCCCTAACAAAACTTTTGTACCTCAGGATCTCTGTCAGAAAGTGCTACAGCAAGTTCACTCCGTACTCAGCTCCGGTCATCCTGGAATCGCTGCCACTGTTCATCTGCTTCAGAACAGCTTTTGGTGGCCAACCTTGCGGGCAGACACAATAAAATTCATTAACGAATGCACCACCTGTAACACAAGCAAACATCTCAGACAACTACCATCGGGCCTACTGCAACCACTGCCAATTCCCCACCGACCATGGTCCCATCTTGCCATAGACTTTATTACCGATCTTCCCAAGTCCAATGGGAACACCACAATACTCACTGTCATAGATCGCTTCTCCAAGGCCTGCCGGTTGATTCCACTTCCCAAACTGCCTACAGCATTGGAAACAGCCGAACTCATGTGCAACCTTGTGTTTCGCTTCTATGGCCTGCCTGAGGACATCGTGTCGGACCGGGGGCCCCAATTCACATCCAGAGTATGGTCAGCATTCTTCCAACAACTCAACATCAACATTAGCCTCACTTCAGGATATCACCCACAATCTAATGTTCAGACAGAACGCCTCAATCAGGAAATCACCCGGTTTCTCAGAGCCTACTGTCATCAAAACCAAGCAGACTGGAGTCGATTCCTCATGTGGGCGGAGTATGCACAGAACTCACTCCAGAAACCCTCCACCGGTATAACTCCATTCCAATGTGTAATGGGCTTCCAACCTCCCCTATTTCCATGGTCAGAGGAACCCACCGAGGTACCCTCTGTCAACGACTGGCTCCAGAGAAGCGAGGACATCTGGAGTCAGGCTCACACCCACCTGCTACGTGCTGTCAGGAGACAGAAATTGCAGGCCAATCGTCACCGTCGCCCCAATCCCGAATATACTCCAGGTCAATGGGTCTGGCTATCCACTCGAGACCTACGCCTCAGACTTCCTTGCAAGAAACTCAGTCCCAGGTATGTAGGTCCCTTCCAAATTGTTAAACAGATTACACCAGTTTCCTTCCGTTTGGCATTACCCTCTAATTATCGTATCTCTCCCACTTTTCATGTATCACTTCTCAAACCCGCTGGTGGTCCGAGAGCGGAGGAGGAGGAGCAGACCAGTGATCAGGGCTCCCCACCCATCTTGGTGGACGGCGAGGAGGCATATCAGGTTCGAGATCTACTCGATTCCAGACGCCGGGGCAGGCTCCTCCAATATCTGGTGGATTGGGAGGGGTACGGACCGGAAGAGCGATCCTGGGTTAATACAGAGGACATACTCGACCCCGCACTCATGACTGAGTTCCATAGGACGCACCCGGAGAAACCGGGCCCCCGACCTCGAGGAAGACCCCGGCGTCGTTCGCCTCTTCGCGTCAGGAGCCGCTCGCAGGGGGGGGGCTCTGTCACAAACGAGACTCCCGCTGTTCCTCCTGCTCACCACCAGAGGGAACCCTCTCCTGAGTATTAAACCCCTGAACTACTTTTCCCACATACCTGGCTCTGATTACCGTTGCACCTGACTCCCATCAGTAGACTATTTAGGTGCTCTCAAACTCTCTCTCTTTGCGAAGTCTTGTTAGCCCTGGTGATCATTTTTGAGCGTTTTCGCCTGTGTCTGTCTGCCCGTGGATTTACTCTGGACTGTTTTTCCCTCCTTGATTCTTTGCTGCCTGCCCTGGACTATATTCTTTACTGGACTGATTTTTGTAAGCTTGCTGCCTGCCCTGACCTTATGTCTGTACCTGGATTACGGTTTGCCTTATCCCTACTGTTGTGTCTGCTGGCGATTGACCCTGTTTGTACGACCAAGATTGTAATAAAACTGCAAATGGATCCTCACTCTCCTGGAGCATCATTACACAAAGAGTGACTGGACACTCTTCCGTAAAGCCCAGCTCTGTGGAGTGTATGGCTTAAAGTGGTCCTATGGACAGATACTCCAATCTCCGCTGTGGAACTTTGCAGCTCCTTCAGGGTTATCTTTGGTCTCTTTGTTGCCTCTCTGATTAATGCCCTCCTTGCCAGGTCTGTGAGTTTTTGTGGGCAGCCCTCTCTTGGCAGGTTTGTTGTGGTGGCATATTCTTTCCATTGTTTTATAATGGATTTAATGGTGCTCCGTGGGATGTTCAAAGTTCAGGATATTATTTTCTAACCCAACCCTGATCTGTACTTCTCCACAACTTTGTCCCTGACCTGTTTGGAGAGCTGATTGGTCTTCATGGTGCCACTTGCTTGGTTGTTCCCCTTGCTTAGTGGTGTTGCAGACTCTGGGGCCTTTCAGAACAGGTATACTGAGATCATGTGACAGATCATGTGACACTTAGATTGCACACAGGTGGACTTTATTTAACTAATTATGTGACTTCTGAAGGTAATTGGTTGTACCATATCTTATTTAGGGGCTTCATAGCAAAGGGGGTGAATACATATGCACGCACCACCTTTCCGTTATTTATTTTTTAGAATTTTTTGAAACAAGTTATTTTTTTCATTTTACTTCACCAATTTGGACTATTTTGTGTGTGTCCATTACATGAAATTCAAATAAAAATCAATTTAAATTACAGGTTGTAATGGAACAAAATAGGAAAAACGCCAAGGGGGAAGAATACTTTGCAAGGGACTGTAAGTCACGTCACGACACTACCCTCTGCCTATTGGCTACTTAGCTTATTCAAGCCTGTCTTAAAATACAACACTGCCCCTTTAAGACAAAAAAAGGTTATTTACCTTACTCGCTTTTCAAAGATGTCTAGAAATGTACACGTTTTGTGCTCTTGTAGGAAGCAAGCACTCACCTATTGCTGACTACAAATGATCTATAACTAGACTAATAACTCACTAACTACTGTAGCAAAGGATATGAACAAAATGTGCACACATGGCTACATGCAGCTCTCGCTTTGATCTCAAAACAAGCGCATCTACTCACGACCACTCATGCTGTAAATACAGTCCAGTTCAAAGTAAATAGCACAGATTCATATATGGCAATGGTCTATTTGCATATAGGCCTACTGCAGCGCTGATTGTTTATGCCGCACCGGTCTGTGTAGAGTACGGGCTGAGTCCTGCATGTCAATGCAATAGAATCCTACTCCAATGCGTTCTGCCTACAACAACAACAAAAAGTGTTGGTATGTTGCATTGAAAGTGGTTAATATTGCGTTCAATTGCCACAGTAAAGGGAAACGTTGATAGTGTTAACAGGGAAAACTCTAGAACAGTGGTCACCAACCTTTTCTGAGTCAAGATCACTTTCTGTGAAAAAAATGGAAGCCTATGCTAAATTAACAAATTAAAAACAGTACTGTAGCAATGAGGTTTGTGCAGTAAGCTATAGGCCCAATACATTATCACCGCATATTGGCTTTGCTGGAATTGTTGTTCGGGCCATTTTTAAAAATTACAGATACTCTTTATTGTGGGCTTGAGTTTGAATTTTTTGTCATTTAGCAGACGCTCTTATCCAGAGCGACTTACAGTTAGTGAGTGCATACATTATTAATTTTTTTCATACTGGCCCCCCATGGGAATCGAACCCACAACCCTGGCGTTGCAAGTGCCATGCTCTACCAACTGAGCTACACGGGGCCCCGTGACAAAATGCTAGTGACAGCCAAGACCATCACTTTCAGAGAGCCCCACCTTTTCAGCCTGTAGTATTGTGGCTTTTGGCATTTATTCCAATCAACAATTACTTGAATGCCAAATGAATGGTTGGATCCATTAGGTGCATGTTTTTGACCTGTTCAGTTACTCAAAATCATACTAACAGGATACAACATATCCTGAATCCTTTCTCAAATATTTAAAAAAGGGGTTGGTGTATCAAGTCAAAAGGCTATGAAGTTACAAGGTAACGATTCATGCGCCAAAGGCAAATAAAAGTGGCTGTGTGAATTTAATCAGAAACTCATTTGAATATTAGGACGAGAAACTCACACCCACTGAGTGCCAGCCAGGTATGGTACACCTCACACTCCCCCCTTTCAGGCGAACCTGGATCTCTGTGAGAGAGGAAGGCCATCCTGTCTGTATCCCCAGGCTGAGCACTCACACACAGAGGGACGATGAGGCTAGGCTGGGTCCGAGGGCTGGCCCCTTTGCTGGCCATGGCTGCTGGAATACTCTACATCACATCCATTAAGCGGGAGGTTCATTCTCATGGGGAGAGACTGCAGAGGGCCCATCAGAATGACTCGGTCAGGGGCCAGGACATGCTCAAGAGGCTGGAGAAGATGGAAGCTCACATCGAGAAGCTGGGTAAGTCTTAATCTCCTTCATTTAACTGTGACTTACGTGGAAGAGAAATGCCAGTAGCTCTGTCCACACACTGTACCTGGACTACAGTGTGCCACTGTTCTAGATGGTAGGGCAGAGTTAGAGGGTAGGATTTGAGAACACATTAGAATCTAGCCTGAGCCTACATGTAGAGTTGATCCCAGGAAGTTATTTCAAACTAAACAGTGATGATTGTAAAAGGGAATTTGTTCTCAATTAAATAAACTAATAAAATATTAAATTAAATTAAATATGCCCATAATCATTTTAGATTGTTATTTAATCCTGTACACTGTTGCTTATTGCACAACATTTGATTCACCAACTTCTGTGTGCCAAAGTTTGCCACATTGTTTACTATTACAAAAAACAATTCTCCAAGGTAGATCAAACATTATTCATCAACTTTTTTTTTTTTTAAACACACATGCAAACAGTTACTGAAGCTATGTAAATAAGGTCATGCTCCGTTTGTATGAAAAGGGGTGACTCATGTTGATTCTGGCAGCCTTAACACACTTATTACAGTGAAGACAATCAACGAAGGGATCAGTCTGAAAGAGGGGCAGGCTGTGATGGCTCCCGAGGTCAAGAAGGAGAGGAAGGTGGTGAAGAAGTTGTACCCCAACTCAGCTCTGTTTAGAAGCTGGGGTGACGAGCTCTCAGAGGAGGAGCAGAAAGAGGCAGAGGGGCTGTTTCAGACGTATGGATACAACGCCTTCCTGAGTGACAGACTGCCCCTGAACAGGGAAATCCCTGATACTCGCGATCCTAAGTAAATCATTTTCCTCATCTCTCCTCCACCTCTACACAATAAATGATGTATAACTCAAGACTTCTGAATTCTAACCACAGTCTGTTGCATCCGAGGTCATCTGAGGTCAATTCCATCTCCAGCACTTTTAATGCAGTTTGATGAATAACATTGAAATTAACAATAACTTTAAGAGTGAAACAACAGCTTTGGTGAAGTGAATTAATGATATGAGCAAGACCAAATGTTTTTGTTGTGCCTGTTAGGTGTGCTAATCACCAGTACCCCCATGACCTGCCCACCATCAGCGTGGTGTTGATCTACTTGGACGAGGCCCTGTCCATCATCAAGAGAGCCGTCCGCAGCATCATAGACAAGACCCCCCAACGCCTGCTCAAAGACATCATACTGGTGGATGACCACAGCTCCAATGGTTCGCCTAATTGGTATTTTCTCTACGCATAGAAACATTTGAAAGTATATTTGTTAACATTTAGATTGAACCTTGATTGAAAGGTGTGGCTTTCAACTTTTGTTGTGTTTCACTGATTTGCAAGTTTCTGCTTTCACAGAGGATCTAAAGGAGAAGTTGGACGTCTACATCAGCTTCATCCAAGAAGAGCGTCCGGGCCTGGTGAAGAGAGTGAGACACTCAAAGCAGCTCGGTCTCACACAGGCCCGCCTCTCAGGGTGGAGGGAAGCTGAAGGAGATGTGGTGGCCATCTTGGATGCCCACATAGAGGTCCATGTGGAATGGTAGTCTAAATGTTTTTTGTTATAAAATATGCTTTTGAATCCCTCCTCCCAACATGGTATTTTCCGTCTGTGTTTGTGTGAACAGGGCGGAGCCTCTGTTAGCTCGGATAAAGGAGGACCGCACGTTGGTGTTGACACCGGTGTTTGACAAAGTCAATTTCGATGACTTGACAGTCAAACGTTATGGACCTGCTGCAGACACCTTTGACTGGGCCCTGTGGTGTATGTACGAGCCCTTCAGACCTGAGTGGTACGCCTTGAAAGACAAGTCACAGCCAGGAAAGTGAGTTTCATGATTTCATCATAGGATGATAGTCCAGTTTCACAAGTCTGTTTGAATAGGCGATAAGGAAAGCACAGCATTGGGTCGTAAATCTCACCTAATATTTACACCTGGATTATTATTTTGCGTTATCTATTCATTAAAATGAATGTCACTTCTCCCAGTGTAGAAATGACCATGATTTGTACTGTATGTTTGTCAGGAGCCCCTCCATTATGGGTATACTAGTGGTTGATCGCCTGTTCTTTGGGGAAATTGGTGCTCTCGACGGTGGTATGAAGATCTATGGAGGTGAAAATGTTGAACTGGGCATCCGGGTAAGCCCCCTTAGATGAAATCAATCAAATATGGCCCATAATCATTTTAGAATGTTCTTTAATCCTGTATACTGTTGCTTGATGCACAAATGTGTTCAGTTTGGATCTATCAACTTCTATGTTCCAAAGTTTTCCACATTGTTTACTTTTACATATGTACTTCAAGGTAATCCTCCAAAGCAGATCAAACCTTATTAATCAACTTTTAAAAAACAAATGCAAACAGTGATTGAAGCTAATAAATAAGGTCATGCTCTGTTTGCCCCTGCATTAAAAGTGCTGGAGACGGAATTGACCTCGGATGACCTCGGATGCAACAGACTGTGGTTAGAATTCAGAGGTCTTGAGTTATACATCATTTGTTGTGTAGAGGTGGCGGAGAGATGAGGAAAATTATTTACTCAGAAAATGTTGAACTGGGCATCCGGGTAAGCCCCTCTGCTACAGTTTCTAAATGAATGTTTGAAATCAAAGCGGACTTGTTGTTGCAGAATTACTTTCTGTTCTTGAGTCATTCAGTTTGCACAAACCAATCTACATCCAGACACTTCAGTCCATATCTATAAACTCTTCCTTCTCTCTTGGTGTGTGGTTTGTCTAGGTGTGGCTGTGTGGTGGAAGTGTTGAGGTCATACCTTGTTCTAAAATAGCCCACATCGAGAGGGCCCATAAACCCTATCTCCCCGATCTGAGCATTACAATGAAGAGGAATGCTCTGAGAGTGGCTGAGGTCTGGATGGATGAATACAAACAGAATGTCAACATCGCCTGGAACCTCCCACTGAAGGTACACTCTTAGAAAAAAAGGGTTCCAAAAGGGTTCTTCGGCTTACCCCATAGGAGAACCCTTTTTGGGGTCCAGGTAGAACCCTTTTTGGTTGCAGGTAGAACTATTTTGGGTTCCATGTAGAACCCTCTGTGAAAAGGGTTCTACATGTAACCAAAGGGGTTCTACATGGAACCAAAATGGGTTCTTCAAAGGGTTCTCCTATGGGGACAGCCAAAGAACCTTTTATGTTCCAGATAGCACCTTTTTTTCTAAGAGTGTACTGTACAGAACAAACAATTCAAAAAGTAGGCTTTGTTCAGGTGCTCCTATAAAATAACAATCATCGTTGTTATTGCAGCTTGAAAGAAGACTAGACAGTCAGAATTAGCACTATGTGTGAAAAGTTTATATTATTCAATGCCACAATAAGGATATTGAAGTATGATCTATGTAAATATCTGGAGATAAAAACAAATATGGATAATAGGTGGATTGCTCACATGGCCTGTGTTTCTGATTTAGAAATCTTCCTCTTTCTCACCACAGGACCATGGCATAGACATTGGGGATGTTTCAGAGAGGAAGAAGTTGAGAAAGAGGCTGAACTGCAAGCCCTTCCAGTGGTATCTGGACAATGTGTATCCCATGTTAGACCCCCTGGGTGACTTGCTTGGTTATGGAGCTGTGAGTGTTGCTAAAACATTTATCATTGTTCTGCACACACACACACACACACACACACACACACACACACACACACACACACACACACACACACAGTCTGCTGTTCTATTATGTACTATTCATTCAACTACACGACCAAGACACTACCCACTTTAAACCTATAAATACTTTCATACTTGACATAACACATTCATTATCTATACTGTATACACTGTACCAGGATAATAATCTGCACTTTTATAACCGTTTAATCTCTGTCTATAAAATCAACAGCTGGTCAATGATCTGAAGGCGGATCTCTGTATAGATCAAGGCCCATTTCCAGGGAACACACCTATTTTATATGGATGCCATTATTATGGTCCACAGGTTTGTAGAATCATTGCTTAGTATTTTTTTATTTAACTACATGTATAATATGGTCCATCCCATGGCAGACCTGGGATTCAACCCATACCACAATGCAAAATATTGTCAATACCACAGACTCAGAAAAGCCAAAATATCTATACTCTCTGTCCAGAACTGTTATTATCGAGCCAGCGGGGAGATCTACATTGGAGGCATCAAGTCTCACAAGTACAACAGTAATCGTTGTCTGGTGGACACTGGTACTCGAACCCCAGGACTGTATGAGTGCAAGGTGGCCAAGCAGAAGGGATTCCACATGCTCTGGGACTTTCAACAGGTGAGGATTACAACACTCTGTAAAATAGGAAAATGTATACTAATAAGCATATTGAAACACAGGGAATTTCAAAAGCAACATGCCCAAAACCATGGCTAAAAGAACTGTAATTTACTTTTTAGTGGTTTTTATTGTGGGATGTTGTACAGTAGACTGTTTTTTACATTTTACAGGGAAAAGCCATCCAGAACAGACAGACAAAGAAATGTCTGGAGATTGCCCCAGGGGACGACACCTACTACCAGCTCATCATTCAGGAGTGCAGTGGGCAGCACTGGAAAATACAGAATCTGATAAAAGACTTCTAAAACACTGAGATAGTTAGGCCTAGCAGAGACAATACAGCAGGACTATATGAGCTATTATCATGCTTTGAAAAGCCAATCGGTGGTCAGCAGTGAGATGACTGTGTGATCTTAGTGAGCTGTTGATTGGGGACAGATGTACTATTTATTCACAGAATGTGGCATGCTATTGAGCTGTGTTTTCCTTGGTCCTGAATGTAAATGCAAAGAAATAATAAATATGATTTCTGTATTTACACTCATTTGTGGTTTGTTATTGATTCACTGTAGATTTTCACCAAAGAGGGTCATATAATATTTGTCTGCATTGACATCATATTGAGCTGAGTTGACATCAGTGTGGTTTTGAAGAAGTCCCGTCCTTGACTTCTCAGGGATTTCTATATGAGTTCTCAGAGATGAACTTATCCCACGTCCTCTGCCACATGGCCAGCCCCCTCTCCTTCAGCTGTGATGGCAGTGAGCTATATCTATGGTAGAGGACATATAACTACAACTTTCTCAAACACATGCTTTTCACGACTACAAATTAAGCAGTTGGTAATCTCCGAACTCAATCACCCATACGCTAGCTAGCTATGTTAACAGTCTGTCATGAGAGATTAAACAGTTAGTATCCAGAGCAAACAGAGGTAATACCATAGAGATACATGAAATACTCTTTCATTTAAATTCTCCAAACAACTCTTGACCTCACCTTATGGAGTTGATGGCCAGCTCCTTCAGAGTGCCCAGGTTAGCCCTCAAGCCACCGATGCCCACAAACACCTCATAGAAGTCATAGGAGAGCCCAGTGGTCCCAAACAGGGACGGGTCATCAGAGCTGACCACTATGGGGTGGCCCTCAGACATCAGCACAGCTGCAGGGTGGTTCCTTAGGTCAGACACCAGCTTCAGCACCTGGTCATAGACACACAGGGATTCAGGGACATCAGCACTGATTTAACTCAGTGGACTAAAGACAACTGAACCAGAGATATTTAGAGTTTCAGTTCAGATTAACTTTATTGTCCCCAAACTGAAATACCCTACAGTGCTGCTTTTTTATTTAACCAATGGGAATATTATGATGAGTACTGACAGACAATGTGGCATTTACCTGGTTTGAGATGGGGCATACTTCAACGGCCACGTTTCCCTTCCTGGAGAGCTCCTTTGCCAGTGGGTGGTGTGCCAAGGCGTACCCATGCCCAATACGTGTGGTGTTGAACAGTAGGGCATCCAGAATGTTTTCATCCACTTCAGTGCCCTCGTGGTCTGCACAAGTATAAATGCACGCGCACACACACACACACACACACACACACACACACACACACACGTTATACTGTAAGTGCATCACAATAATGTGTATATACCGTGATTTGTTTTTGTTGATTACACAATTGTTTTAATCAATCATCCTATACTTGCCAGTCTCTCCTGCATGAAAGAAGTATTGCAGCATGACTCCAAGCTCTGCAGGTAGAGATAAGGCCTCCCTGAAGAACCAGAGAGGTCTTCCCCTGTCCTCCCTGCCAACCTAAAACCACAAAAGAACAGTTCATTTTACAATGTGTGTCAAATAGATGCAATGTAATAAATAATTATGTAAACATTGTAGTAAATCATGAAATTGTTTATTTGTGTATTGATTTTCAGTAATGAGAGGGCATATGATTGGTTCAACCCCTCAATAGAATTCTCACCAGGTCGAATCCTGCAACAAACTCTGGGAAATCCTTCTGCATCTGAATGGCCTCTTTTACAGCTGCTTTGACATCAGACACACTCAGAACCCTAAGGTGCACACAACGGCAGTGCCAATCATCAGAAATCATAATTATATTGCTTTCATTGCAACAGGCAAGCTCAATCAAGCACAGCTAGAGTGTCCAAAATGATTATAAATAGTATTTGAACCCTGTACTGTACCTATGGACGGAAATGATGAGTCGAGCTCCCAGAAAGCCAGGGTGTTCAGCCACAAACTGTTGAGTGACTTCCTGATAAGTCCTCAGGGACCAGGCTTTATCATGGATACTTCCATCCAGCTCATATGTCTGCAGGATATGCAGAATAAAAACATCACCAAAAACCCTTGAAAAATAAATGTCTAGGTATCTCATATAGCCTAGGTAACATGTAATTCCAGCCCACTACATTGCCCATTATACTTCCGATTAAGGCCCACAGTACTAACCCTTGATAGTCCAGTTCTTAGTTCCAGGTACATGATGTTGTCATCAAACAGCTGTTCTAAGCCCTTGTAGAGAAAGTCTTTAAACACAGGAGCGTAGGTGACCAGCCCAGCTATGGCCACAAATGCCATCTCAAACCTCTCCCACACTGCGTCCTGGCTCGGGTAGGTAGTGTCTGGATCATCAGTGAACAGTGTGAGGTTCTGCATCAAGCTGGAAAAACATCCAAAAAGACAATAAACTACCCTTCCATGAATAAGAAAGTTGTCTTTTTGCTACTACATGTGTTCATTCATAGACGCCTATTTGTATTGCTTGGCTTTGATGATATAGTGGACTACCTGTAGTCAAAGTCTGTAGGATCCACCATGTTGGCTCTCAAGGTCTTCAACAGTTGCCAGTAGAGGCAGTCCCAGGTAGGGAAGGGCCGGCGACTAGAGAAGACGAACCGTACAGACCTGCCCCATGTGAAGCAGATGTAACAATGGGGCCTGTATGTGATGTTCTTCACCAGCCAATCAACACTCACCAGAGATGAGCTGTGGATGTGGAGGGCTGCCCCTGTGACCCAGAATAGAGAATATACTAACCGTAGTTAAATTGATGGTAAACATATTTGTAAGGTGAGCCAAGGTGCTCCTCAGCTGCACTAGGGCAGTGGGACTGTATTACTGTCTTACCTTTGGGCATCCTTTGCAGCAGGCTAAAGATGGGGCTCTTATGGATGAGGGGCCGTGCCTTGAAGAAGTGAATGGCAGGAGGGAACTGGGCCGCAGCCATCTCTTGTTCTTTTAGCTTGTGAAGGTGTGCGTCGAGCCACTGCTCTGCCCCTGTCAGCTGCACACGGCCCCCTGTCTGCCTGGAGGTCTCCTGGCGCATCATCGTCTCCCTCTGACGGGGGTCAGGGGTCCCGCCACATACAGTCACACAGCACATCACAACTGCCAACTGGAGGGTGATGGTATAGCTCCCTCTAGAGGGGAAAACCATATTGTCCTGCAGTGTCATTGGAGATTGGAAGAAGTGGCTGTGGAAATCCTTCTTGAAGAGGCCACTCATTGAACTAAATGCTAGATTTAATTCAACAATGAACACAGAGGTTTTCAGAGATAGTAATTTAGAACACATTTTAATTTAGAACATAAGGTACTACCGTAAACCTATAGGCTGATGCTGCTAGTTCCTTTCTAAGCCCTGAACAGGAATGTTCAGATAATCATACAATTTTAATCATACAATTGAATGCAAATAACATTTACATTAATAAAATAAAGCATACTTACAAATGAGAAGCAACAGAAGTGAGGTATTCTTCCCTTATTCACTCTTTCCTTCTCAAGTGTGTAAACCTTTCTCACATAAACTACCCCAGTACTATGCTATTTAGTCTGAGTTGACGGGCTCACAATACCATTGTGTTATGCCCACTTACTTAATGGCTGTTGCTAGTCAGCAGAATGCAGCCCAAAAATGTAGCATGTCATGAGATTCTCTGGAGGGACCATAGATGATTCAATTGGACAAATAACAAGAGACTATAGTGCAACTCCTTTGTCGAAAAAAAATGCATTGTATTACAATCTGATAGAGAAAAAATGTGTAGGTCAAAAAAGAGCCGGCAACTGATACTATCGATTTATACTTTAGAACATATTGTCACGATATAACCTCTTCAGATGGAAATCTTGACTCAAAATGAACAACATAAAGCAAAAAATAAACACATAACCATACGTATAATTTAATATGCATTTCAATCCTCATATACATACGGAGCACCTTACGGAATGACATCCCCCTTCCTTCTGTTTCATGATACAACAGCAAAGACATAACATCAATAAATTAATTGGATTCAATAAGGACATAGTTGGTCTTCAATGTTTTTCCTGCATCACTTCATTTTAATTGTGATAGATGGGAGCAAATAGCTATGGGTGAGTCAATGCTCCATGCAATTAATATTTTCATGAGAGGAAGATGTTATTAGATTAAATAAGGAACTGATACAAGATGCATCAGCTACAATAGAGCCCCACAGCGGAGGTGTCATAATACCCATAAAACCTAGCAGTCAAACAGTGAAATGGTTCCAATCATTTTTCCACCATCAATTTTTCCCGTAGGGAATTTTAGAAACACTTACAATAAGGCCTGTGTTTTGTGTAGGCTTACCCTGGGGTGACGTTTTGATAACCATGTAAATCTCTCTCGGATAAGGTGACTTTTATCAATATATTCAGCTCCATTTACTCTCAGATCTGAAAATGCTAGAGATTCTTACCTTTGCCTCGATTCGGCAGTTTCGTCCAGATCATCATGGCATTTGTAGTAGTTCTTTATTATAGCCACATTAGCATTTTATTTTTGGGGGGGTAAATACATTGATAAAAGTGACCTTGTCCTAGAGAGATTTACACGGTTATCAAAACGTCACGCCAGGGTAAGCCTACACAAAACACACACCTTATTTTAAGTGTTTCTAAAATCACCTATTGGAAAAATGAATGGTGGAAAACCGATTGGAACCATCTCCTTGTTTGACCGCTAGGTTTTATAGGTATTATGAAACCTCTGTTGGGCTCTATTGTAGCTGATGCAGTCTGATCCAATCAGTCTGAAATGATTACTTTCCAGCCAATCATAATAAAGATGACCGCGGTGTGTAAACCAAGATCCCCAGGGGGAGCAGCAGATCCATTACCACTGTGCAAAAGTACCTCCTCCTACTCACATCTGCAATGAAGTTCAACTTTTATAATGTCCCAAGATGCACAGAAATACAACAATACGACAAACGGTGTCTTTTCGATTTTTAACAGCATTTTTTGAATTCTTCTCACAGACACAGGAATGGTAACTTTCACACAACAAAAATAAATAACTCCTCTTCAAGATGATGGATGGCGACACTCAGTCCAAAAACTTGCGGTTCTGGTTCTGCCCAAAAAGAGCCACTCGAACCTCAGGCATCATCTGAGCAGAAAGACAGACACTGGATTAGTGCCAAGCTGAACCTCATGAAAAACCACAGAGTAAGGGGCCAAACTATATCTGAGAATTTGCAGTACAATCATGTGCAAAACTTCACACAGCTTATACATCTGAAGAATTGTGTTAAGCCGATAGCTTTATGTGAGGATATTCACACTGTTGGTTGTTTATATAGGCAAACTGTCCATTAACTAGATGTGCTAGCTGTTCATAGTGCCACTATAGTTCCTGTGAGACTGTCCCTGTGCCCTTACCTGCTGAGCCATGAGGTCCAGTCTGCTCTCTAGGGTGTTGGACACCTTGATCTTCCCATCAGCGTTGTAGATCTCAATACCTCCAGAACTGAAGGAGACACACAAACATCTTTGAATTAACTCATGAACCCTTGACTGACACCTTAGAAAGACCACATAAGAAGAAAAAAAAAATTATATGACGTCGTGTTAATCAATCAATACTAATTCAAAGTAAAACCTATCTGAAATGAATGGGTTCACATTGAGACAAGGGATTGTCCTCTTACATCTCTGGGGACAGGAAGTTGTCCTGGTCGATGCGAACCTCAATATTGTTCTTCACTGCTGCTTTATAGATGGGAATGGTCTTCTGGATAGCCGCCTGAATAGGAATTCAACATAAACATCATATGAATCATGCATCAACCCAGCATACAAAGAAATACACTTGAACAACATTTAACTGTTAGGATAGAGTGAAAAAGTTAATTCTGACCTGAACCACCTGCAAGTCCTGTTTACGACAGCGGATGGTCACTTTGGTCTCAAGAAGCTGATAGAAACCCTGATATTCAACAGCAGAGCAACAGACACATGAAAAACATTTGCTTTAAATAAAAAAACACCTTACAACGCCTTTGACCTAAATAACTTGTAGGCCTATGTATATGCGTGTAACTGATAGACGCTACTGAATGTAAATGTAATTTATGAATGTAGTCCTATAGTAATAGTTCTCTGTTTCTCTCAGCGTTGTGTCAGTACAGGACCTTTTTTGGTTCTATTGGTCTTATTTTACATGTATGTAGTTCTCCTTGAGCTGTTCTTGTCTATTAATGTTCTGTATTATGTCATGTTTGATGTTTTGTGTGGACCCAGGAAGAGTAGCTGCTGCTTTAGCAACAGCTAATGGGAATCCTAATAAAACACTAAACCCGTGTCAGTGACAAGTATTTTATTATTTCCATTTTAACTTAACGCGATTATAGTATTGAATACCCCCAACTTTATTGTACACAATGGTAGAAAGAAAAGGCCCCACCTGCAGAACCAGCCCATCCATCAGTGCTGGGTACCTGGCTGGGTCCTTGGCTATGTTGGCCAGCCGTTGACGCGCCTCGCTCAACATTTCCTGAGTGCACACATTGAGAGAGGTTAGCCTATTATTTACATAGAATGCGTTGCTGTAGTAGAACATCATGCCACTTACTGAAATCATGTCGTCGCGAGCCTTCAACACCTTAAGACGAGCCTGGTTCATCAGGTTAGACATTTGACTGTAGAGGAAGAGAGGCAAGTAAACAAGAGCCTGTGGCACAGGACCACATCACAAGTCCAAGCAGGTGTAAGCTATAGCTAATGTAACATATACTGTGCTTCTTACAATGGAGGAGCTGTTGGATGTGACTTCAAATTTCAAATATAAAAGATTTAAAGGAAGTTGTGCGTCAGACAAATGGAAATTCCTCTTTAGAGAAAAAAAAGAGATTGAAGAAGTCTCTGAGGGAGCTGAGAGACTAGCAGCAACACTTCCTGAGCTGCAAAGAAAAAGAGTGACTTACATTTTCTTCTGCTGCTCGATCTGCTTCTCTTTCTTCTCGTAATACTCCATGATCTTCAACCTCTGGGTCTGCACCAGACGGCCCTTCTCGATGTTGAACTCCTCTTCCGCCTGCAGGGGGAGACACTTGTCACTCAGAGTATGCAATGAGGAGGCCCTGTCTTTATGATGGTAGGGTCATTTCCTCACTACTGAGGATACATTTTAAGAAGAATTGAACCAGTAGAATTGTTAAGGGGACAACTAAAATACTTGCTTTCATTTAGTCAATTCTCATTATGTCTTAGAGGAGTGATCATGCTTTCTCATTTCAGTTGAATGTGCCTATGCAAATCTTTTGAGGTTGTGTGTGCTGAAAACACACACTGGATTTTTGTGTGCTGAACTATGCCAGTCACTTGTGAATGAGCACTGTACCTTGGCATCAATTTCCTCTGCCTTCTCATTGGCCTCCTGCTCAATGAAGGCCATCATGTGTTTGATCTATACAGGGGGATAGAACAGTGTGAATTAGAGAGGAGTTGACAGTAAAAGACTCATTAGGCATGCTTTCCAAGTCATGTTTTACACTGAAGAGAGTCAAGAGGCAGACTTAGGAAGCTTCATTGCCCTGTACATTAATGAACTTGTGTCTTTTGGTTCCACCATGTGGTGTGGAATGTCTGCCTGGTGTTTAGCTTACATTTCTGTTTCATAATTGTCCCTGTAATGTTCATCTAACAAAACATGTTTCTAAACCATAAACCACAGAGGGAACTGTAATGTATGTATGAAGCCTCCTAATCAATTCTACTTTATATACAGTGCATGAGAAGGGTTGGTGAGACAAGACACCCAGACATAGGATCACTCAAGTTCCTCAGCTGACCATGGGTTTTCCCATCATGTGACCATATATTGCATCTCTCCCTCACAAATACAGCACTGAGTAAATGTATTTTGCAATTAGATGTCTAAATTCAATTTATCAACAATTAAACGTCCTAATCATACTAGACATTGTGATTGTATTTTAGTAGTAGTATTTCAGATTTTTTTCAATGACAGCCTTGGCATGATACAATCACAATTCTGCTCCTTACAAATATACTGTTGCAATCATTTATAATTGGACATTTAAAAAAGGCCTAAATAGAGCAGCAGATGGATAGACGGGTGAAGGTTAAAAGGCTGTAATTGCAATGTACCTGCTTCTGAACGTCGGCATCGCTGAGCGCCATGGTTGCAGCAGTCTAGGATCTTCTGTTTCCTTGAAGAAAAGATAAACACCGTGATTTCAATACAATAAATGCAACCTGCTTTACAATATTGTAAATTATTTAGTGCGATGTATCAATCAATTAATTAAATACCAGTGAAATACAGCCAGGAATGTATGAATTAACCGTTGTAGTCGTGACTAAAGATGTCTACGCTGGATCAGCTGATTTTCCACGTCACATGATGTTTACTTCCGGTCTCACCCACCAATAAGATGTGTGATGAGCAGACACCACTGGTACTGTATATCATGCCTGCTACGTTAGGTTAGGGGTAAATATTAACAGAAACGAGTGAGTGCAGTGGATACTATGGAGGACTAAAAGTGCCACAATTAAATAAATAAATACACCATTAAATAATTACTTAAATGTGTCATTAATTAATTAAAATTAGAATTAAATACATAAATGTGTTATTAAATGTATCATTAATTAATTCAAATACCGATTCATTTTATGTAAAATACATATATAATTATTTCACTATTTACATTTACATTTCATGATCCTGCATTGCAGTGATTCATGAATTACTTAAAACTGTCAAACTGACCCATCAAAGTCAGTGGGCGGGGCTAACGCGAATCTAGTCTGATCCATTGCTTTGGTCTGAAGTAGAGTAGGCCAACCTGGATAGAGACAATGGAGGATCTCCGTGAACTTTCCAGGGAGTTGGTTAGAGACATTTTAAACTTAGCAGAGGATGTAGAAGCAGGACCTGCTGACATTATCCGGAATTGATTTGTCTTGGCTTGATGCAGAGGGTAACCAATCAGGCGTTAGGTTCCGCCTACCAACTTTTGATGGGTCAGTTTGACAGTTTTAAGTAATTCAGGAAGCACTCCAACGCAGGACCATGAAATGTAAATGTAAATAGTGAAATTATTATATATGTATTTTACATAAAATGAATCGGTATTTGAATTAATTAATGACACATTTAATAACACATTTATGTATTTAATTCTAATTTTAATTAATTAATGACACATTTAAGTAATTATTTAATGGTGTATTTATTTATTTAATTGTGGCACTTTTAGTCCTCCATAGGATACATTTGTAAAATATCTAATAAACAGTGTTGGAAAAAGTACCCAATTGTCATACTTGAGTGAAATACTTGGTCTCCCGAGTGGCGCAGTGGTGTAAGGCATTGCATAGCAGTGCTAGCTGTGCCATTAGAGATCCTGGTTCGAATCCAGGCTCTGTCGTAGCCGGCCGCGACCGGGAGACCCATGGGGCGGCGCACAAGTCGTCCAGGGTAGGGGAGGGAATGGCCAGGGGGCGGCGCACAAGTCGTCCAGGGTAGGGGAGGGAATGGCCAGGGTTTGCAACGCCAGGGTTGTGGGTTCGATTCCCACGGGGGCCAAGTATGAAAAAGTAAAATAAAAAATGTATACACTCACTAACTGTAAGTTGCTCTGGATAAGAGCGTCTGCTAAAAGTAAAGATGCCTTAATAGAAAATGACTCAAGTGAAAGTCACCCAGCAAAATACTACTTGAGGAAATGTCTAAAAGTATTTGGTTTGAAATATACTTCAGTATTAAAGTAAGTATTCAGCCCCTTTGTTATGATAAGTTCAGGAGTAAACATTTGCTTAACAAGTCACACATATAATTGTATGTGTGGGATATAGAGAAGAGGTAGTAATTCAGAAATCATGTTAAATACTATTATTGCACACAAGAGTGAGTCCATGCAACTTATTATAAGGTCCCTCAGTCAAGCAGTGAATTTCAAACACAGATTCCACAAAGACCAGGGAGGGTAAAAAAAAAAAAAAAAGCTGACATTGAATATCCCTTTGAGCAAGGTGAAGTCACTACAAAGATACAGGCGTCCTTCCTAACTCAGTTGCCGGAGAGGAAGGAAACCGCTCAGGGATTTCACCACGAGGCCAATGGTGACTTTAAAACTTATAGAGTTTAATGGCTGTGATAGGAGAAAACTGAGGATGGATCAACATTGTAGTTACTACACATTACTAACCTAAATGACAGAGTGAAAAGAAGGAAGCGCATACAGAATAAACATATTCCAAAACATGCATCTGTTTGCAATAAGGCACTAACGTAAAATTGCAAAGAATGTGGCAAAGAAATGAACATTTTGTCCTGAATACAAAGTGTTATGTTTGGGGCAAATCCAACACAACACATCCCTGAGTACTATCCATATTTTCAAGCATGGTGGTGGCTGCATTATGTTATGGGTATGCCTGTCAGGACTAGGGAGCTTTTTAGCATTAAAATAAACGGAATAGAGCTAAGCACAGGTAAAAAAAAAAAAACTGGTAAAAAACACAAGGCCAAATATACACTGGAGTTGCTTACCAAGATGACATTGAATGTTCCTGAGGGGCCTAGTTACAGTTTTTACTCAAACCGGCTTGAACTTGAAAATGGCTGTCTAGCAATGATCAACAACCAACTTGACAGAGCTTAACTAATTTTTAATAGAATTCTTCGCAAATATTGTACAATCCAGGTGTGCAAAGCCTTAGAGACTTACCCAGAAAGACTCAGCTGTAATCGCTGCCAAAGAAGATTGTAACATGTATTGACTCAGGGGTGTGAATACTTATGTAAATTAGATATTTCTGTATTTCAATTTTCAATACATTTGCAAAAATTTCTAAAAACATGTTTTCACTTTGTCTTTATGGAGTATTGTGTGTAGATGGGTGAGAAAACAAATCAATTTAATCCATTTTGAATTCAGGCTGTAACACAACAAAATGTGGAATGAGTCAAGGGGTATGATTACTTTCTGAATGCTTGTATTAAATTAATTGAAGACTTCTCACTGAATATCTTTCTCAAATGTTAATATTTTAAATGATTTGATACATGATTGTAGCTAATACCATCAAAATTAGAGGGAAATCAATTGCGGATAATGTCATCATCAGAGGAGGCTGGTGGGAGAAGCTATAGGAGGATGGGCTCATTGTAATGGCTGGAATGGAGTAAATGGAACGGTATCAAACACATCAAACATATGGAAACCACATGTTTGACTCTGTTCCATTTATACCATTACAGTGAGCCCATCCTCCTGTATCTCCTCCCACCAGCCTCCTCTGGTCAACATTTATTTAAAGTATTTTTGTAATAATCCTCAGGAATAAATTGTCTGTGCAAACTGTGTCAAATGGGTGATGTGTACGCGGCAAGTGAAGTCAGACGCAGGACACAGAGAATCAGGATGACTACTTTACTGAGTGCAAACGCACAAACAAAAGTCTCCAAAACACTGGAGGGGAAAAACACCCTGTGCGTAATGAGGCGAAATAGCTAGGCCGAACATCAACGAGACAATACACAATAACACACAAAGGCCAAACGTAAAACAAGGGAACTTATATGCTACACAATCAACACTAATAAGCAACAGGTGTATAAACTAGACAACACAAGACAAACACCGAAAACATCGATCGGCAGTAGCTAGTACTCCGGGGACGAAGAACGCCGAAGCCTGCCCGAGCAAGGAGGAGGAGCAGCCTCGGCAGAATCCGTGACAAACTGACTATGTCGTCAATGGTGCAGACCATGGTGCTGCAGACCATGTATGGGCCTTGCCAGTAGATGATGCTAGAGGGTTAGAGGGTTAGAGGAATTCCATAAAAATAGCACAGAGTTTCCATTCTGTTTCTGACTCAGTCTGCATTCTTTCCTTCTACAGCACAGTGAATGACTGTCTGCCATCTGGAAGTGTGTCAGAAAACTTTGGCCAACTGCCTGTGTACAACACTGACCTCTCTGCCTCCTCTGTACTGTTTATTATTATGTCAGTCAGAGCAAGGCAATAGGCATAATGGATAGCAGAGCTATTTTCCCAAGCTGGCACAATGATGAATAGTAAGTATTCAATCACTTTGCATGCTGTAATTCTATAGCAGCCTCTTACAAATGGAATATATTTATTTTCCCCTCCATAAAACATGCATGGCCACATTGTAGCCAACTGTTAGGTCATAGTCTGGCCACTGGACAGGGGATGGAGAAAGAGAGAGTGGAAGAGTGAGATAGAGAGGGAGAGAGATAGAGAAAAAGAGATAGGGAGGGGGGTGCTCCTGTGTGCTGTGCAGCAGCTGGTAGTCCATTGCTAACTACAGCGTGTATGTCACCCTCTCTATCGCTGTGTCCTCAGCCCTGACTTCCTGTCCGAGTGCACGTCTCTTACTCTATTTCAACATCTGTCTCTCGCCTTCGACTTTCAACACTTTACAGAGAGGAGCCAGGTAAGACACTTCTTTTATTCTGCTCTTAATTAATGGAATGCAAGGCCGCATCACAGGATATCTTGTTGTTTTAGGGTAGGGCTTTCCAACCCTGTTCTTGGAAAGCTACCATTCTGTAGGTTTTCATTCCAACCCTAATCGAGCGCACCTGACCTAATAATTAGCTGGTTGATACGATGAATCAAATTAGTTACAACTGGGGTTGGAGCAAAAATCTACAGGAAGGTAACTCTCCAGGAACAGGGTTGGAGAGCCCTGTTTTAGGGGAATTGTGGTGTGTGGGTGCATAGTACTGTAGCAGTATTAGTAGTACATAATAGTACACACAAGTAGTAGTAATATATGTAGTTGAGGTGACAGGGCCTTGTAAAAGCTTGCTTTGTTAAACCAATATGGAAGGGGTCTATATCAGCCACCATGGAGCTCTTTGATGTTATGAAGGGCACAACTCCAAGAGGTTTTAACCTTGTGTACCACCTGTCAACATAAACAGGTCTGTTTCTCTGGGTGTTGTTTGGTGGTTGTCATTAGTTACTAATTAAATCAACAGGGACAGGATTATGTCCGAAGTCTTGTGTCCAGCTAACTTGTCATTGGCATCGGAAAATACTAGCCTTATGTGCGACCTTTTCTCGAGTGTGTGTGTGTCTGTGTCCGTACGTCCCTGTGTGTATGTTTGTGTGTGCACGCGCATGTGTGTGTCTGTTGTCATGTGTCTGTTTCTAGAAATCCAATAGGATAAGATCATCAGATGGTTCACGAGGGGCTGAGAATGTGTGGTTTCCTCTGTCTGATATTCAGACTGACCTTGTATCTCTGGGGCTCTGATATCATGACCATGAGTCTCTGACATCACTACCATGGGTATCTGATACTATGGGGAAGAGAGCAGACCTGGGTTCAAATACTATTCGAAATCATTTCAAATACTTTATCTGGGCTTGATTGAACTTGCCTGGCGCAATGGAAAAAATAGGATAGTCGCAAAAGTGCAAACCCCATCCATCTGGCACTGCAGACAGACTACACCAAACACTAAATGTATCTGAAAGATTTCAAATAGTAATTGAACCCAGGTCTGGAAAGGAGTGGCACTCCACATTATAGGGATTTGTTTTAATTAAACTCTGTGGGGGTTAAAAGCCATTGTCAGGGGGTGGATCATTGGGAATCCTATAACGCAAAGAGGGTAATAAGTGAATGAGGCTTATTGGACAGAGTAAGCAATTGATATGCTTTAGAACAGGCACTGTACAGTACCCTTCCACATAAACAAGTTTGTGGATATCTGCCTATAGGCCTACTCTATGCATTGCAGGGAGAGCGTGATCACCATGTCACTGGTTCCCCTTGTGCCAAAATGTCTAGTAACATACACCTCGATGTTAGAGAGAGGGCAGCTTTCTGGGCATGGTGCACTGGTCACATGACAGCTGGCTAGTCACTGCATTTGTCACATGCTGAAGGCTATGTGACTTCTATTCCATGGCTCACTCTTCCAAGCTAAACAGTGTGGGAATTATGGGAAACGGGGTAGGGTTGTAAGAAATGAGTGGCTACTTACGTGACTTTGGGCTGTTGAGAATTTGTTTTGCCTGTAATGACAGTGACATGAGTTCCAGCTGTGTGGGGGCTGGTGCCAGCAGTGATGATTAGCATAAAATGACTAAACTATTACATAAGTGTGCTTCTTGTTGGGTGCACTGCAACACTAGGTCCAATTTCTAGATATTCTAGGTATTTAAAACGATTCCCCGTCCCAAACAGCTTGCACTCAGCTTTAGCCGACGGATATTTAATCCACGGTTTCTGCTGATGTGCCTCTCAGAGACAGTCCATCTCAAATCAAATCAAATCAAATTTTATTGGCCACATGCGCCGAATACAACAGGTGCAGACATTACAGTGAAATGCTTACTTACAGCCCTTAACCAACAGTGCATTTATTTTTAACAAAAAAATAAAAATAAAACAACAACAAAAAAAGTGTTGAGAAAAAAAGAGCAGAAGTAAAATAAAATAACAGTAGGGAGGCTATATATACAGGTGGGTACCGGTGCAGAGTCAATGTGCGGGGGTACCGGCTAGTTGAGGTAGTTGAAGTAATATGTACATGTGGGCAGAGTTAAAGTGACTATGCATAAATAATTAACAGAGTAGCAGCAGCGTAAAAGGATGGGGTGGGGGGGCAGTGCAAATAGTCCGGGTAGCCATGATTAGCTGTTCAGGAGTCTTATGGCTTGGGGGTAGAAGCTGTTGAGAAGTCTTTTGAACCTAGACTTGGCACTCTGGTACCGCTTGCCGTGCGGTAGCAGAGAGAACAGTCTATGACTAGGGTGGCTGGAGTCTTTGACAATTTTGAGGGCTTTCCTCTGACACCGCCTGGTATAGAGGTCCTGGATGGCAGGAAGCTTGGCCCCAGTGATGTACTGGGCCGTACGCACTACCCTCTGTAGTGCCTTGCGGTCGGAGGCCAAGCAGTTGCCATACCAGGCGGTGATGCAACCAGTCAGGATGCTCTCGATGGTGCAGCTGTATAATTTTTTGAGGATCTGAGGACCCATGCCAAATCTTTTCAGTCTCCTGAGGGGGAATAGGCTTTGTCGTGCCCTCTTCACGACTGTCTTGGTGTGTTTGGACCATGATAGTTTGTTGGTGATGTGGACACCAAGGAACTTGAAGCTCTCAACCTGTTCCACTACAGCCCCGTCGATGAGAATGGGGGCGTGCTCAGTCCTCTTTTTTTTCCTGTAGTCCACAATCATCTCCTTTGTCTTGGTCACGTTGAGGGAGAGGTTGTTGTCCTGGCACCACACGGCCAGGTCTCTGACCTCCTCCCTATAGGCTGTCTCATCGTTGTCGGTGATCAGGCCTACCACTGTTGTGTCGTCGGCAAACTTAATGATGGTGTTGGAGTCGTGCCTGGCCATGCAGTCATGGGTGAACAGGGAGTACAGGAGGGGACTGAGCACGCACCCCTGAGGGGCCCCCGTGTTGAGGATCAGTGTGGCAGATGTGTTGTTACCTACCCTTACCACTTGGGAGCGGCCTGTCAGGAAGTCCAGGATCCAGTTGCAGAGGGAGGTGTTTAGTCCCAGGATCCTTAGCTTAGTGATGAGCTTTGAGGGCACTATGGTGTTGAATGCTGAGCTGTAGTCAATGAATAGCATTCTCACGTAGGTGTTCCTCTTGTCCAGGTGGGAAAGGACAAACACTCAGGACAAACACACAATGCGTTCTATGACTGTGCAGAGGAACACAAGTAGAATGGTGCAAGTGGATGAGCTGTTTGATCCTTCAATGTTGATCAAACCAGGAAATATTTATTGTACACATGGATAAAGGTGACAGATATAAATGTCCTCTGTCACTGTGGTTCTATGCTTTTTCATTATGAAATAAACGGCTCTGACTTGATCTCAGAGTTTTGACTCTGTGCCTGGCATAGGACTACATGTGATAAAAGGCCACGTGCATGCATAATGATTAATCAGGGTCACTCAATGATGGACAGATGTATTTCATCTCAACATACAAGGAATGAACAAATAAATAGAGTGGAATTTGAATGGAAAGGATGGACTGAAAGACAAGGGGACAATGAGAGGATAAAGAGTGCTGACACACAGTGCTCTGTAGGGGAAGGGTTGTACAAATTGTCCACTCTGAAATGGGGGGTGGGGTTGATAAGTATTTTCTGCATGCAGGCCTGAGACATGGTGCAAGGGGTGAGGGGCTGCAGGAAGCTTTTACTGTGGGATTTCTGGCAGACGTGTGTGTTTGGGTGAATATTTCTCTACCTCTAACGTTTTGTTCAAGTGCAATGCGTTGTGTCCTCTGTTTTAGTAAGTGTGTGTGAGACGTTTTCAACTTGACAACTTCCACACGTCCTGGGTTTCTAACATCACTTCTCCTCTATATCCCCCCTCTCGACTACGCATCACATCATGTGAAACCTCTGAAATGGCTTCCGCTCCTGGCTGACATGGAGATACATATATAGAGCCTATACATAGTCAGATATGTGAGAGCCAGGCTATACATAGAAAAAAATGCTGCAACACGGAGCAGAGGGTGTTACTTTTTCCACACAGAACTTGATCAGTTCACGTCACTGAAGGACATCTTCTAATATATTGGTTAAAATTTTCCAGGGACAACAGCTATGAGATATCCTAGTCCCAGATCGGTTTGTGCTCTTGCCAACTCCATTGCTGCCATTTTCAAGCCAAACAATTCCATAAGTAGTTGGCAAGAGAGCAGAAACAGACTGGCACCCAGGCTAGCTATGAGATTCTGTGTCATAAAAACACACAATCAATCTAACAACTATGAAGTAGTTATAAGGGATTTATATTCAACTCAATATAGTTGATTTATTTATTGTTGATTTTAGGAATTTACTTTATTTGTTGAACCATATTATCCTATATGTTTTCATGTTAATAGTTGGTTGTCTGTTGTTTCTCTCCAGTGGCCAGTCTTCAGTCTGGAGGGCAAGGTCCCAGCAGTGTCCAGAGGGGAGGACAGTGGTGAGGTCAGTTCCCTGTCTGGAGAGCAGATGCCTGATTGGCTGGGCCCCGCCACGCTGCAGCTGAGCCAGGGAGACAGTGGTGGGTCTGGCCCCTGGCAGACAGAGAGCAGTCTGGCAGAGTCCTGGTCCACAGTGGGAGACATGATGGACCCCGAGGACACGAAGAGCGTTGACAGCTGTGACGGAGTGGTCCACCTAGCTGAGGAGCGCAGCGAGAACCACTCCTCTATCTCTGACATGGTCCACCTAGAGCGGGAGGAAGAGGAGGAGATGCTGGTGGAAGAGGAGGAGGACGGGAGCCTGGGGGAAGAGGAGGAGCTACAAGCTAGTGCGATGAGTGTGCTGGGGAGAGAAGGAGAGCTGGCTGAGGAGCTGGGCACCCAGGAATTAATACCTTCATCTGAGGTGTCAGCTGACCACCAAGAGACTATGGATTTAATTATGTCTGTGGCTGAGGAGCTATTTGTCCAGGAGGAGCCTGCTGAAGTATCCCACGCCACCACCGCCTCTATGCCCATGCCAGTTTGGAAGCTAGAGCCTCCCTCTGCCTCCTCTACTCCTGTCCCCTCAATACCTACACTAGCTGAGTTACATTCAGAGCTCCAATACTCTATGCAGGAGCAGCTCCACCCTCCCCCGGTCCTAGGACCAGGAGCACCACAGCCACCAGACGAGAGCCAAACTAACAGCCAGCCAGAGTCGTCGGTCTCGCTCCCCGCTGCCCAGGAGACACAGGAAATCCCACCAGTGACGCAGGAGGTTCCGCCAGAGAAGACAGAGGCTGAGCCTGTTACATCGCTCCCTGCCACTGAGCTACCTGTGCTGCTGTGTGGGGGCGCTGCTATGGTGGCTATTGTGGGAGTGTTGGCTTATGGGGCTGTGGCCTACTGCAGAAAGTAGCAAACCCCTATCCTGTCCCAGCAGCCACATAACCCAGGTCTTTTCAAATCTACTCTAAACTATTCCACCAAGTACATACTGGATTTTACACAATGCGTTTCTTTGCATCTATGTAGTATTATGAAGGTTGGTTGCATTTTATATCTATTTCCTGTGCTACCTCAGTTCACGTAAGAGCTCAGGAGATTTGGAAGAGCAAGAATTTTTGTTTCTCTGTATATTCACAGGAAATTACACTTTTAAAGTATTTTAAAAATCAGATCTTTGTTTGTTGTTTATTTTTTGTCCCTGTCAATGCACTATAAAACAACACACACACACACACACACACACACACACACACACACACACACACACACACACACACACACACACACACACACATTAATTATGACTATAGTTGAGCCACTTCAAGGGGTATTGTATAATGGCTTGTTCTGTGTCACTGTGGGCAAACTCACAAAGTGACGTTTGTTTTTGATCAAATGTATTAGTGGATATTAATCTGTATAGTGACTCAGCTGCAAATCAGCAAAGGGCCAAAGCTTATGTAGCAGGTGTGGATTTCTGGGGTTACAGTAACCACCCTGCACTGCCCCCTGTTGCTCAGTTTGCTGTAATACAGAACAACAGCTGCCATTTGTCTACATACCTTAGAGAAGGAATTCCTGTTCAAAATGGCAAATCAATATAGGTCTACTGCAAGCCCTAGAGAATTGAATGCACTTAGATTGTGCTCTGTGCTCCAATATTTTCCTCCATTGGCCAGTGTGGGGGAAATAGATTTGATAAGCAAATGCCCCTTTGCCATTTTTATTCCTTGTGAAACACACAATGGTTACTCAGCAAACATTCCCAACCTTAATTCTCGCTCTGTTATAAAAAATTATAAATGTTAACACTTTCTATGAAGTACATATGTATACCGCTTTTTCTTTGAATTGAAGGGTTGACTAAATTAGATGTATTATTATAATTTTCCACAAGGTATGATGTCAGTCTTTACCACTTCCTAGTGGCCGTGTGGAACAGTTTTTCCTATTGTGGATATAATTATAAGTGACTCATATTCACATTTCCATGTCCATGGATCCACTAGCTAAAACTTCAAATGGAAAAAGTATAAATTAAGTTATTAATTTCATTTGAAATTATATCTAAAACAATCTCATAGATGTACATAATTATTTTTTTCTATAGAGTACCTGTGATTAAATTGTCTCTATGCTTATTGAACCACAAGCCAAAGTTGATCTAAACTGTTAACATTGACTGTCTCAATTTAACATTTGTTCACTTCATTCCGTTAATTGAAACCAGTGGCATGCACAGTTACTTTGATATACACAAGCTCACAGAACGTGACCACCGAGTCCTGTAGCGCACAGCGTGTAAAAATAGTCTGTCCTCAGTTGCAACACTCACTACTGAGTTCCAAACTGCCTCTGGAAGCAACGTCAGCACAAAAACTGTTTGTCGGGAGCTTCATAAAATGGGTTTCCATGGTCGAGCTGCTGCACACAAGCCTAAGATCATCATGCCGATGCCAAGCTACCTGCCCCAATGCATAGTGCCAACTGTAAAGTTTGGTGGAGGAATAATGGTCTGGGGCTGTTTTTCATGGTTTGGCTAGGCCCCTTAGTTTCAGTGAAGGGAAGGCCCTTTCCTGTTTCAGCATGACAATGCCCCCGTGCACATGTTGAGATTGGTGTGGAAGAACTTGACTGGCCTGCACAGGGCCCTGACCTCAACTCCATCGAACACCTTTGGGATGAATTGGAACGCCGACTGCGATCCAGGCCTAATCGTCCAACATCAGTGCCCGCCCTCACTAATGCTCTTGTGGCTGAATGGAAGCAAATCCCCGCAGCAAGTTTTCAACATCTAGTGGAAAACCTTCCCAGAAGAGTGGAGGCTGTTATAGCAGCAAAGGGGGGACCAACTCCATATTAATGCCCATGATTTTGGAATGAGATGTTCAACAAGCAGGTGTCCACATACTTTTGGTCATGTAGTGTATATGTCCTGACCATGTGGCCTCACAAACTTTATTCCACTGATCTAATCTGTGTCAGTGGCTTTGGTACTTCTTGATTTTCATTGAGTGCCAGTAAATAAAGAAGTTGAATAGGTGTCGACTGTGTTGCGGTTACACTGCCCTTCCATCATTGGTGTTGATATAAATAGACCTTTTGAATATGGCCTGCAGAGAAGGGGAAGGAGAATGCTTCTTTGTTTGAAGAGATAAAGTGCACTCATGGCTGTTTTATTATTAAATGTAAACACCTTGGCACCGACACACTCGTATGCACCCACGCATGCACAGACCACTCTCAGGCAACTATTTCAACATCATTCTTCCTGCTGTGGGTTAATTGTTAGAACTATAGCTGTGATGTTGTAATCAAAACATGTACTTGATCACAATTGTATTTATTGAACTGCATTGTTGGTTAAGGGCTTGAACACTAAGCATTTCACGGTAAGGTCTACACCTGTTGTATTCGGCGCATGTGACAAATACAATTGGATTTGATTTGAATCTACAAATACATTTAGGAAAACGTGGGAGTCAAGGGAGTCTGTATTATTGGTTGCATGGTTGTTGTTGTTGATTTATAGTTTACATTTGACAGAAGTTTGACCATGTTAATGTTTACAATGGAAGGAAAGCTAGAGGGGGAGAACGTTTAGGTACTGTGGTTTCTAGCCTTCGAGCAATCCTAGTCACAGAGAGGAAACATCACACAAGCACACACACGCTGACACACACCCACAAATCCACATCTATACGCACACATGCACCCACCACACACACAGTATGCAGTAAGTTAAAAACGTATTTTCAATACAAAAACTGGCTAGTTATATAAATTCATGGTCTAATTCAGTGAGTGTAGACAGCGGTTTTACAGTATATACCATTGGATAGGGATAGATATAATCTGTGCATCTTTATTGCATTGTGTCCATAATCTTTTAATCTACCCATCCAGGCAAGATCACCGCTGTATTCACACTCAGCGAACCTGAAAGGGGAACTTCAGGAGTCAGTCAGTTGATATTTAAAACGTATGTTGGCAGCATGTAATAAATGAACTTCTCAAAAATCCCTTGTTTATTTGGAGAGGGAGGAGTTGGGATTTGCGGACAAGACAAATACTTAAACTTGAACTATTAATCATCAACGATAGCTTTTATGACTCAGGTCAGAAGTCTGAGCCATAATGCACAGACCAGTTCCACAGTTTCAGTCAAACAACACATATATCTATGTATTAAAATGAGTGATAGCTGTACAACATACGGTTGTAACATTGACCATATGGTATGGCCCACATTGAGTTACTGAAATATGTAATAATTACATTAATCATCTCAAAAAGGTTCAATGTATGTAATCAACTCACAGCAAGTTATAGTTACAGTACTTATGTATTGTATTTTTTTGTAAATCATCACCTAGTTTGTTTAATGCTTTGAAGTTTTGAGGGTGAAAATTAAATCAACAATTGCTGTTAAAAATATAGTGACTGTGGTGAGTAAATTAGCAATCCCTAGTGGTTCAGAGGGTGCAATCATGTTACACAAGGTTTTAACATAGGTGCAGACGATTCCATCATAAGAATTCGGGAAGTATGGTTTTTAATCATCTACTTTTCAATCTCCTACTGAAATCAACACTCACCATGTACACCTTACTGTGTTTGTCTTAGGCATACAGTATTATCCATTACATTGCTACAGACCCCCCTCAGCCCCCAGCTGTGCCCTGGACACCATATATGAATTGATGCCCCCCATCTATCCTCAGAGTTCGTACTGCTTGGTGACCTAAACTGGGATATGCTTAACACCCCGTCCATCCTACAATCCAAACTAAATGCCCTCAATCTCACACAAATTATCAAGGAACCTACCAGGTACAACCCTAAATCCGTAAACATGGGCACCCTCATAGATATCATCCTGACTAACTTACCCTCTAAATACACCTCCGCTATCTTCAACCAGGATCTCAGCGATCATTGCCTTATTGCCTGCGTCCGTAACGGGTCTGTGGTCAAACGACCACCCCTCATCACTGTCAAACGCTCTCTAAAACTCTTTAGTGAGCAGGCCTTCCTAATTGACCTGGCCCAGGTATCCTGGATGGATATCGATCTCATTCTGTCAGTAGAGGATGCCTGGTTGTTCTTTAAAAGTGCTTTCCTCTCAATCTTAAATAAGCATGCCCCATTCAAAAACTTGACTGCCCTTGACCAGCACAAAAACATCCTGGGGGCGTACTGTATTAGCATCGAATAGCCCCCGCGATATGCAACTTTTCAGGGAAGTTAGGAACCAATATACACAAGCAGTTAGGAAAGCAAAGGCTAGCTTTTTCAAACAGAAATTTGCATCCTGTAACACTAACTCCAAAAAATTTGGGGACACTGTAAAGTCCATGGAGAATAAGAGCACCTTCTCCCAGCTGCCCACTGCACTGAGGCTAGGAAAGACTATCACCACCGATAAATCTACAATAATCGAGAATTTCAACAAGCATTTTGCTACGGCTGGCCATGCTTTCCACCTGGCTACCACTACCCCGGCCACCAGCTCTGCACCCTCTGCTGTAACTTGCCCATGCCCCCCCCCCCCCCCGCTTCTCCTTCACACAAATTCAGACAGCTGATGTTCTGAAAGAGCTGCAAAATCTGGACCCCTACAAATCATCTGGGCTAGACAATCTGGACCCTTTCTTTCTAAAATTAGCAGCCGAAATTGTCGCAACCCCTATTACTAGCCTGTTCAACCTCTCTTTCGTAACGTCTGAGATCCCCAGAGATTGGAAAGCTGCCGCGGTCATCCCCCTCTTCAAAGGGGGTGACACTCTAGATCCAAACTGTTACAGACCTATATCCATCCTGCCCTGCCTTTCGAAAGTTTTTGAAAGTCAAGTTAACAAACAGATCACTGACCATTTCGAATCCCACCGTACCTTCTCTGCTATGCAATCCGGTTTCCGAGCTGGTCATGGGTGCACCTCAGCCACGCTCAAGGTCCTAAACGATATTATAACCGCGATTGATAATAGACAGTACTGTGCAGCCGTCTTCATCGACCTGGCCAAGGCTTTCGACTCTGTCAACCACCGCATTCTTATTGGCAGACTAAATAGCCTTGGTTTCTCAAATGACTGCCTCGCCTGGTTCACCAACTACTTCTCAGATAGAGTTCAATGTGTCAAATCGGAGGGCCTGTTGTCTGGACCTATGGCAGTCTCTATGGGGGTGCCACAGGGTTCAATTCGACTCTTTTCTCTGTGTATATCAATGATGTCGCTCTTGCTGCTGGTGACTCTCAGATCCACTTCTACGCAGACGACACCATTTTGTATACATCTGGCCCTTATTGGACACTGTGTTAACAAACCTCCAAACGAGCTTTAATGCCATACAACACTCCTTCCGTAGCCTCCAACTGCTCTTAAACACTAGTAAAACTAAATGCATGCTCTTCAATCGAACGCTGCTGGCACCCGCCCACCCGACTAGAATCACTACTCTCGGCGGGTCTGACCTAGAGTATGTGGACAACTACAAATACCTAGGTGTCTGGTTAGACTGTAAACTATCCTTCCAGACTCACAGTAAGCATCTCCAATCCAAAGTTAAATCTAGAATTGGCTTCCTATTTCGCAAGAAAGCCTCCTTCACTCATGCTGCCAAACATGCCCTCGTTAAACTGACTATCCTACCGATCCTTGACTTCGGCGATGTCATTTACAAAATATTCTCCAACACTCTACTCAGCAAATTGGGTGTAGTCTATCACAGTGCCATCCGTTTTGTCACCAAAGCCCCATATACAGTGGGGGAAAAAAGTATTTAGTCTGCCACCAATTGTGCAAGTTCTCCCACTTAAAAAGATGAGAGAGGCCTGTAATTTTCATCATAGGTACACGTCAACTATGACAGACAAAATGAGAAAACAAAAGTTTCTCAATACTTTGTTATATACCCTTTGTTGGCAATGACACAGGTCAAACGTTTTCTGTAAGTCTTCACAAGGTTTTCACACACTGTTGCTGGTATTTTGGCCCATTCCTCCATGCAGATCTCCTCTAGAGCAGTGATGTTTTGGGGCTGTCGCTGGGCAACACAGACTTTCAACTCCCTCCAAAGATTTTCTATGGGGTTGAGATCTGGAGACTGGCTAGGCCACTCCAGGACCTTGAAATGCTTCTTACGAAGCCAATCCTTTGTTGCCCGGGTGGTGTGTTTGGGATCATTGTCATGCTGAAAGACCCAGCCACGTTTCATCTTCAATGCCCTTGCTGATGGAAGGAGGTTTTCACTCAAAATATCACGATACATGGCCCCATTCATTCTTTCCTTTACACGGATCAGTCATCCTGGTCCCTTTGCAGAAAAACAGCCCCAAAGCATGATGTTTCCACCCCCATGCTTCACAGTAGGTATGGTGTTCTTTGGATGCAACTCAGCATTCTTTGTCCTCCAAACACGACAAGTTTAGTTTTTACCAAAAAGTTATATTTTGGTTTCATCTGACCATATGACATTCTCCCAATCCTCTTCTGGATCATCCAAATGCACTCTAGCAAACTTCAGACAGGCCTGGACATGTACTGGCTTAAGCAGGGGGACACATCTGGCACTGCAGGATTTGAGTCCCTGGCGGCGTAGTGTGTTACTGATGGTAGGCTTTGTTACTTTGGTCCCAGCTCTCTGCAGGTCATTCACTAGGTCCCCCCGTGTGGTTCTGGGATTTTTGCTCACCGTTCTTGTGATCATTTTGACCCCACGGGGTGAGAACTTGCGTGGAGCCCCAGATCGAGGGAGATTATCAGTGGTCTTGTATGTCTTCCATTTCCTAATAATTGCTCCCACAGTTGATTTCTTCAAACCAAGCTGCTTACCTATTGCAGATTCAGTCTTCCCAGCCTGGTGCAGGTCTACAATTTTGTTTCTGGTGTCCTTTGACAGCTCTTTGGTCTTGGCCATAGTGGAGTTTGGAGTGTGACTGTTTGAGGTTGTGGACAGGTGTCTTTTATACTGATAACAAGTTCAAACAGGTGCCATTAATACAGGTAACGAGTGGAGGACAGAGGAGCCTCTTAAAGAAGAAGTTACAGGTCTGTGAGAGCCAGAAATCTTGCTTGTTTGTAGGTGACCAAATACTTATTTTCCACCATAATTTGAAAATAAATTCATTAAAAATCCTACAATGTGATTTTCAGGATTTTTTTTTCTCAATTTGTCTGTCATGTCATAGTTGACGTGTACCTATGATGAAAATTACAGGCCTCTGTCATCTTTTTAAGTGGGAGAACTTGCACAATTGGTGGCTGACTAAATACTTTTTTCCCCCACTGTACTACCCACCACTGTGACCTGTACGCTCTTGTTGGCTGGTCCTCACTACATATTCGTCGCCAAACCCACTGGCTCCAGGTCATCTATAAATCACTGCTAGGCAAATCCCCGCCTTATCTTAGCTCATTGGTCACCATAGCAACACCCACCCATAGTATGCGCTCCAGCAGGTATATCTCACTGGTCATCCCCAAAGCCAACACCTCCTTTGGCCGCCATTCCTTCCAGTTCTCTGCTGCCAATGACTGGAACGAACTGCAAAAATCTCTGAAGCTGGAGACTCTTATCTCCCTCACTAACTTTAAGCATCAGTTGTCAGAGCACCTTACCGATCACTGCACCTGTACACAGCCCATCTGAAATTAGCCCACCCAACTACCTCATCCCCATATTGTTATTTATTTTGCTAATTTGCACCCCAGTATCTCTATTTGCACATCATCTCTTGCACATCTATCATTCCAGTGTTAATACTAAATTGTAATTATTTTGCACTATGGCCTATTTATTGCCTTACCTCCATAACTTGCTACATTTGCACACACTGTATATATATTTTCTGTTGTATTTTTGACTTTATGTTTTGTTTTACCCCATATGTAACTCTGTGTTGTTGTTTTTTATCGCACTGCTTTGCTTTATCTTGGCCAGGTCGCAGTTGTAAATGAGAACTTGTTCTCAACTGGCTTACCTGGTTAAATAAAGGTGAAATAAAAATAAATAAAATAAACAAGTCAGGATAAATCAGTAACATTGTATCAATTCTAAGACCAACACATTGCTAATCTACTGAAATACAGAGAAACTATTTACCAGACACGATGCAACACTTTTCATTACTTTTGATAGGTCAGGAGCCATCCCCAGTGTGTCCATAATAACTTACTATGGAAAAAGGCTAAATGGACTAAAGGCTATATGGAGTTTATACTCAGGCTTTAGAATGGAAAACAAATTAGTTTTTTTAATCATTTGATGTCAATGACGGCAGTATGGTTACAGATACAGTGCCTATAGAAAATATACACACCCCTTGGATTTTCTTCACATTTTATTATGTTACAAAGTGGGATTAAAATTGATTTAGTTGTAATTTTTTGTCAACAATCTACACAAAATACTCTGTAATGTCAAAGTGGAAGAAAAATGTGAATATTCTTTACAGGTGAATGAAAAATAAAACACCAATATACCTTTATTAGATAAGTATTCACCCCCCTGAGTCAATACATGTTAGAAACACCTCTGGCAGCGATTACAGCTTTGAGTCTTTCTGGGTAAGTCTCATAAGAGCTTTGCACACCTTTACTGTGTAATATTCTGCCATTATTCTTTTAAAAATTCTTCAAGCTCTGTCAAGGTATTGGGGATCATGGCTGGACAGCAATTCTTGCCATAGAGTTTCAAGCAGATTTAAGTCAAAACTCTAACTCGGCTACTCAGGAACATTCACTATCTTCTTGGTAAGCAACTCCAGCGTAGATTTGGCTTTGTGTTGTCCAGCTGAAAGGCGAATTCCTCTCCCAGTGTCTGGTGGAAAGCAGACTGAAGCAGGTTTTCCTCTAGGATTTTGCCTGTGCTGAGCTCCCTCCTGTTTATTTTCATCCTGAAAAACATCCCAGTCTTTGCCGATGTCAAGCATACCCATACCATGATGCAACCACCACAATGCTTGAAAATAAGGAGGCAGTTACTCAGTGATGTTTTGTGTTGGATTTTCCCCAAACATAAGGCTTTGCATTTAGGCCAAAAGTGTAATCCTTTGCTGTGTTTTTTGCAGTATTACTTTAGTGCCTTGTTGCATACAGGATGCATATTCTGTATATTTGTATTATTATTTTCACTTTGTCGTTTAGGTAAGTATTGTGGAGTCACTACAATGTTGTTTCTCACAGCCATTGAACTCTGTAGCTGTTTTAAAATCATCAATGGCCTCATGGTGACATCCCTAAGCAGTTTCCTTCCTGTCCTGCAGCTCAGTTCAGAAGGACGACTGCATCTTTGAAGTGTCTGGGTGGTGTAATACATCATCCACAGCTTAATTATTAACTTGACCATGCTTAAAGATATATTCAATGTCTGATTTGTTATTGTTACCCATCTACTAATCACTGCCCTTCTTTATGAGGCTTTCGAAAGGCTCCCTGGTCTTTGTAGTTGAATCTGTGCTTGAAATTCAATTATTGACTAAGGGACAGATGTAGTATGTATGGGGGACAGAGGAACGGGTAGTCATTCAAAAATCATATCAACACCTATTATTTCACATATAGTGAGCCCATGTAACTTATTCTGTGATTTGTTAAACCAAATGTCTGAATTCATTTAGGTTTGCCGAAACAAAGGGGGTGAAAACTTAGGCAACGACTATATTTTAGTTATTAAATTTGTATTAATTTGAAAAGAATTGTACATTTTTCTTTTCACTTTGACATTATGGAGTATTTTGCAATTAAATCTATTTCAATCCCACTTTGTAACGCAACAAAAAGTGAAAAAAAGTTAAAGGGGGTGTAGACTTTCTATAGGCTCTGTAAGTGTTAGCCATATCAGACAATAGACTTAAAACACTGAAGATATAATGCAAATTATATAGAAAGAAAATCCTACATGGAAATTTCCCCCAGCAGTTCAAAGCTCAGATTTCAATTTACAGCAAAGTCTATATTTATTGAAAAGCATTTATGATAAGATAATATGTATGTTGATAAATATCAAGCCAGAAATGCACATTAGAATGCTATTGAAAGATATTCCAGGATAAATGAAGTCATAAGAGAGGTTATTGTTGTTCATGTGATCTGATCTAGTGATTGTGGGAGGTGTATCTGATCTGCTCTTCCAAAAAGAGAAGTATTGTCAACCACGAGTTGACGTTGACACATTTAAATCAACCAATCTCTTTATCTGACACCAAAAGGTGAATATTGGGGGCTTACACCACTATATATTTACCTGCACAAGTATATCCATCTCACACAGACAGTGATCAGACACTACTCGCCTTGTCTGACGTTTACGCTCAAACATACAAAATGGTGAGTCGTGATGAATTGAAGATCAATTTTGTTTTATTTGAAATACATTTCATGTTGTTTTAGAATAAGCCATTTATTCCTATTCATTCTGTAGCTTAACTTTTCTCTGATTTTATGACATTGTAGTTGATTGCATGTTATTGATGTTTTCCTAGAGCTCCCTGGATAATGACATCAACCAGCACTTCCAGGATGCAATTGATGTGATTCAATGGCACTCTGACAATCCGTATTGTGATACAGGTATACTTACACTCCAACACTCATGCCAGAAAACTAGATTTAAATCTGAATGCTAACAATCACCATCATTATATTAGGCACAGACATTATTGTTAATACTTTTTTTGTATTGAGCATGTCAGGAAAATTATTCTATACGTTTTAGTCTCCTTGGTTCTGGCAGTGAAGACTGTATTGAATGAATATCCTTTTTCTCCCTCCACTTAGAGTACAAGTACTTTGAGCCTCCAATGCGACCGAGCATAATGTGCTCCTACCCCATCACACACCCGTCTGATGTGCCAGGCCCATATGACTGGAATGAGCAAACGGTGAGTGTACAGAACAAGTGGTTCTATTTTACCAGTATAGTACTATTGACTGACTTCTCCAAGTTTGCACTACTGTGATGTGTGGTTACAGTACATGTATGTGTCATGTGGATGTGACTCACCTGGCCAGTCTCTCTCTCCTCGTCTTGCCAGTCATGGCCTCATGTTGTTCCTGACGACTCACTGGGTCCATCTGGAACCGTGGAGTACCCCCAGTTCTACTCCATCGCACCGCCACCGAGGAACGGCAAAGGTGAGCAGAGTTTGGCCATCAGTGATGAGCGATGACAATGTCTGTAAGAGGTGTGAGAGAGTACAACTACAAATGCTAGAATTGAACATGTTTCTAATACGTTAGTATTCTATTACTTCAGATTTTTGATTGCCAAGTATCAAATTGACATCATTACAACTGAATTTCTGTCTGTTTAGAATTGTATTATTTCTAAAGTCAACCTTTTAATATCATCAGGTCGCAAGAAGATGCGTCTTTATGAGTACCTGCATGAGTCTCTGGGCGATCCCAACATGGCTGACTCCATCCAGTGGACAGACCGTGGCAGCAGCACCTTCCACTTCATCTCCAAGAACAAAGAGAAGTTGGCCGAGTGCTGGGGCAAGCGCAAGGGCAACCGCAAGACAATGACCTATCAGAAGATGGCAAGGGCGCTGCGCAACTACAGCCGAACGGGCGAGATCGTAAAGGTGCGCCGCAAACTCACCTACCAGTTCAACCCGTTGATCATCCAGAGGCTTGGGGGCATCAGTCACGTCATTCCCCCCGCCGGGCACCCCGGGGCTGGTCACCCTGGGCGGGAGGTGCTCCTCCACCAGCAGCATGCCCCAGCTGAACAGGTCTACTATGGCTGTGCTTCTGCACCTGACTGGCACAGCTGGTATGGACATTACTCCCTCCAGGGAGACTGTGATCTTGCCACAAGCTTCACTTCATCCACAGTCACCAAGATGTGAACTCCGGTAATGTCACTGTGGAAAATAACAGAGGTTAATAGCTGCTTTAGCTAGCTGTCAATTCATACTGCTACTCCTACATACTTTTGTGGGGGCCTACAACTTTGCAGACATTGTGTTATGTGTGTCAGGAAACGTAACAGTCATGGTAAAGAAAATGTAAAAATGTTTTCCCTTCGTTAGTCAGCACCTTGTGCAGTTTAAAATAAAATGTAATGACCAATGATCAGGTATTGTGGATCATTGAATATGTAAATAATGAAAATATATTAACTTTTTTTATCTATGAGAACTGTCAACCAGTTATAAGCATTTGGTGTGAGTACTGTACATATAAAGGGAAAAAACTACAATGTTGGTTTCAAATATGAACATTTATTACTGCATGTCATTTTGTAAATAATGAATTGAAATCCTTTGTATCTCGCGCACATTGATGTATTAAAAAAAATATTTGTTTTATAATTTGTGTTCGTACTGTGTATACTGTTTTATTTTAGGCAATTCATTATTCAACACTGCATCAACACTGACTTCATAACTGACTTCATAACTGACTTCAACACTGACTTCCTAACTGACTTCATAACTGTGCCATTCTTGCTTACCTAACAATGGTGAAAGTGTCATGAGGTCCAACAAATGTCCCATCCTTGTTGTGTCCTAGGAAAAAAACTGGCAAAAAAATGAGAAAACCATGAACTTTGTTGAATGAGCCAAATATGTCTGCTTGTGCAACGGCAATAACAACACTGTCTACCCCTCACTCACAATTCCCCATCAATCCATACTCTTTAAGACATGAACACAAGGTGTATCGCTTTCCCAAAAGCCAACCATGGTGATAAGTGGTGTTTTCCTGTCAAGAGAGCCCATGGCTGCTCTTATCTTGCACAGCGGAGAGGATGTGGTCAGTCCTGGGAGACAGTGCTGCTCTGGTGGTGGGCTTTGTGGGGTGGTGGTCATTGTTCCTGTGGTGAAGGTTTACTACGGTAGCCTAGTTGTGGTGGGTAGTGCAAGCCAGGCGATAAGCAAGGCAGCCCCAACTGGCTGTCATGTTGCAGAGGCATAATAAAAGGCTGGGTGTCACACAGTGCCTCCATGCATTTCATCTAACACACAACTCTGTGAAAAACCTGGGATCAGGACCTGTGACTGCAGCAATCTACGTGCATCCGACAATGATGGTAAATATGAGACCGTTATAAGCTTAAGGATAGACTGCACAGTGATGTATTTTGTCATCACACACACAAAAAACACGGGCGCATTGCTTTACAGAACGCTCCCAACAAACGGAACTGTATGTGTGAGTCTGCTGTACAATTTGAATCGGTTATCTTTGTCAGAATTCTTTCGAAGATAACCAGACAGATCTGGAGGTGATTTTGGACTTTCTGGAGGAACACTACAGACAGGGCACTGGAGGAGATGGTGAAGAAAAAGGTTATTCTCTATTAGTGTTATGAATCATACAAATAAATTGACTATTGTATATTTTTAATGCCACCTCTTGTTTTACACTATTGCAGTGGGAGGTGTCTGTGCTTTGCCTACCCCAGTGACCATGGAAGGAAACTTTGGTGAAACTTGTTGTGATCACTGGTGCCATGAGGAAACGGTACGCATACAATGACAGCACTTTGATCTGTGAAAGATACACAGTATAGGGCTATAGTTCATTGGGTGATGTTTTGCTTGTCTCAATCATACAATTAAAATGTTTTTCAGGCTATGCAATCACACGGTGGCTACCCAACAACACTACTGGACCAAAACACCACTACACCGCCTGAGAAAGGGACAGACCACACATTGTCACATACTATGCCAGCAAGGCCAGCGCCCACACACCACACTGGACCTGCTGAGAGAGGCAAGTTCCCTTTTTGTGGTTAGTAGATACTGCCACTGGAGCTCATGCTGCCCTGAGGGACCAATACCTAAAGAGACCTGCCTTTAACTGTAAAGGACAATGGTCCCATACACCGCTTATCTCTGTACGTTTTACATACATATCAAATTAGCTAAATGTTTACAACTCTACCACTGAGCTGCGCCAACACCATCACAGCTGGGCATCTCACAAAGGGATTTTTATTATCAATTATAAGGGGATATTGTTAACCGCTCCGCTCTATCTTATCATTGTTACTGTGGTTACAGGTAGAAAGGTGCGTCTGTTTCACTTCTTGTTTGAGATGCTGGAGAACCTTGGCATGGCCCACTGCGTTTCCTGGGTGCCAGCGGCAGCAGATGGAGTGTTCCGCTTCTCTTCCCGGAACAAGGAACAGGTAGCAGCACTCTGGGGGCAGAGGAAAGGCAACAGGAGGCCAATGACCTACCAGAAGATGTCCAGGGCGCTGAGGAACTACGCCCGGTCTGGAGAGATCTTCAAGGTGAAGAAGAAACTGACCTATCAGTTCAGCAGAGCCACCTTGAGTGCCTTGCGGAAGTGCCATCAGGGAAGACTGTAAAGGACACATTTTCACATGAAAAACTGTAATCCATTGTAAATATCAATCATCAATTCAATCATCATCAATTCAGTCATCAATCATTTGAAGACTGACTTGATTTAGGCTATAGATTTTTATCAGTAGCTAGGCCTGTTGTGAGAGATTTTACACAGACAGAGGTATATGACTAGCATGTAATCTAGGCTTTTGCTATAGGATACTACACTGAGTGTACAAAACATTAAGGACACCTGCTCTATCCATGACAGATTGACCAGGTGAATCCAGGTGAAAGCTATGATCCGTTATTGATGTCACTTGTTAAATGCAACTCAATATTCGGAAGGTGATCCTAATGTTTGGTATACTCAGTAATAAACATTTTAATACTACATGTGTCACACATATATGAGCATATAAGTATTATACATACATACTTATACATATATTATGCACATATACACTGAGTATACCAAACATTAGGAACACCTAAGGTGTCGAAAGTGTTCCACAGGGATGTTGGCCCATGTTGACGCCAATGCTTCCCACAGTAGTGTTAAGTTGGCTGGGTGGTGGACCATTCTTGAGACACATGGGAAACTGTTGAGCATGAAAAACCCAGCAGTGTTGCAGTTCTTAACACAAACCAGTGCGCCTGGCACCTACTACCATACCCCGTTCAAAGTCACTTAAATATTTTGTCTTGCCCATTCACCCTCTGAATGGTACACATACACAATCCTTGTCTCAATTGTCTCAAGGCTTAAAAACGATTATTTAACCTGTCTCCTCCCCTTCATCTACACTGATTAAAATGGATTTAACAAGTGACATCAATAAGGGATCCTAGCTTTCACCTGGATTCACCTGGTCAGTCTATGTCATGGAAAGAGCAGGTGTTCTTAATGCTTTGTATACTCAGTGTATATTTAGGCAATAAGGCCAGAGGGGGTGTGGTATATGGCCAAGGGCTGTTCTTAAACACAACGCAACCCGGAGTGCCTGGATACAGCCCCTAGCCGTGGTATATTGGCCATATACCACAAACTGCAAGGTGCCTTATTGGGGTTATAAACTGGTTACCAACGTAATTAGAAGAGTAAAAATTATGTTTTGTCATACCCGTGGGCTTTCAGCCAATCAGCATTCAGGGCTCGAACCACCCCACTTTATAATAGATATTTTATAATATTTATGTTTCATAATGTTTACTTATGTTTCTTTCTTGTTAAATGTTAATAAAGTCTAAGAAATCTCATGAAAAATTATGTAATTGAAACGCATACCCAGACCACCTAACCATGTCAGGTGACTAGTTTGGCATTGATGCATTTTCAATTCATGAAATGACATAATCCATTCAGTTTTTCAACTAAATGTAACAATGTTTCATCGAGTGAAGTCTACACGTTTGCATGATGGGAACTACATTCACGGCGGGAAAAATCTGAGGCAGCTATGGAGCACGTGCATAATTAATAATCTCACCTGCCCAGCTGTTGACACCACTGAGGGGTAATAAGAACGGTTGACACGATCGAGAGACGCCATGTTTCCACCTGATAAACGTTTCTTTGAAAAAGTATGTAGTAGGCCTATTGCTTATACATTAAAAGGAGTTCAGACAACGCTGCAGAGTGCCAAGGTGAGTTCGGGCTACTGCATTTTCTTTCATAGGCCCATATTTTGTTCGAGGGCATTTTCCGTTTGAAGTTGTTTGTGAAGAGTAGGCCTGGGGTCAGTGTATTCATTCCGCCAGTTGCAAAACGAAACAAGTTTCTATTGGACAAATTCAGGTATGTCCCGCCCCGTTTCGTTTAAACGTTTAAGAAACGTTTTGCAACAGAATCGGCGGAATTAATACGCCCCTACAGGAAGATTATAAAGTTATAGAGCCAACTGACTGCATCAAAATATTTAGATTGGCTGTTAGCCTAATTGCTACAGATGTGACTGATTGAAGTTCGTTTAGGCCTACAATGGTTGGCTGTTCCTAGGTGTCATTCTACAATGCTACCCATACAATGGCCCTAAACAGTGCCAAATACTGTTGGTTAAAGGGGCCCATATTGCAGGAAAATATTTCAAGGCTATACATAAATATTAGGATAGAATTTAGGCAATTAGACCTATTATGTTACTACAGTAGGCCTAATAAAGCATTTTCTTTGTCATTCAAGCTCCACATTTCTTGGTACATGGACTGGAGAGCTGGAGGGTTTGGATAACTTTTTGTCAACCAGTCCAGAGAGGGTCATATGCCTCTGCTCTCAGGAAGGCCCCTGGGCTCAGTTTTTCAAAAGTTATCCATCCGTATTTCGCCTATCCGATAGGATTAAATGCATAAAAATAGAATGAATAGAATATATGAATCATTGACTTGAATGGGGACCCCCGTTCTATTCATTCTATTTCTTTGCATTTATCCTATCCGATAGCCGAAATCCAGATAGATAACCTTTAAAAAACTGGGCCCTGAAGTCAGAGAGACATTTGATCAGAGCATGGGGAGTTCCATCACCATAAGGAGGTAGGAGTGAGTCTATTTACAGTCTACTTTCCATGCTACCCTCAACGTTTAAAATGGGCCATTCTCCTCTGGGAACAGAATTATGCAGTAATGAGCATCACTGTAATAGCAGTCTCTTGGACTGAGTGTGATCCTTTGCCTGGTCTGTGTGATTGTCATCTCTCCTTTTGTGTGAGGTTAACAATTTGATGTAATCATTGACTAGAGTATGTCTACATACTATTGGTCTGCATGTGTACATGCCTGGGAGCATGTCATGGGTATGTGTTGGTGTTAGTTTCATCATGTGTTCATGGGTAGAATGGTAAGAGCTGTTATGTCCTTGTATTACCAGCAGGGGTCAGTGTAGTTCCTCTGAGGGGCACTGTTGCCCCCTGGTTGTCCCTATCAGCTCTCAAGGGTGACCTCATGGCTAAATCTCCCCTGTGATGCCAACTCCTGCCCAGACCAGGCAATTCCAAATGGTTTTGTGTGCTCTTTGTAGCAGACCCACATGATACTGCCCTAAGCCTTGCATTTACCGCTGGAGCCCACTCTGAGTTATAAATGGGGTACAGAGCCTGTGTGTGTCTGTTACCAAGAAAGGCCACATACTTCAAAACTATCTGTGAAGGCAGTCACCTAACACTAGGCCTAAGTAAGGTCACGTTTTTTTCTTCATGAAATCTGTCTGGTGTGAATCATTAAAGTCTTCCACGTCATTAGGAGACAATGTGCATAGTAGGTGTGCAGTATCATATGTAGAGATTCAACAAATTAGTTGTAGGGTTTCTTTATGAAGGGCTTTACTGTCCCATTTCAATAGGATAGCCTGAAAGGCTGCAGGCAGAGATGTCGTTTCAGATACAGTAAACACTCTTCTGTGGTCTTTGTGTTCAATGGACAGGGGCAGCACTGCGCTGATATTGGACACACCTCGGTATGTTGTTGATACAGTGAATGATAGCGCAAGATGCAGTGGAACTGTTTTCAGGAACAACTGACGTGTTGGTGAAATGGAATCCTGCTGTTGAGTGGTTATGTTATGTTAAGTCTCAGCAGGAGCCTGGGACTGCCCACGATAAGAAGCCCTCATAGTTTGTGTTCTAAAAGCACCAAGATGACCTCTCCTTTTAAGTCCCAACAGCTTTAAGCCTTGTTGACTGAATCGTCACTGCCTGATTTATCACTCACCCAACGTGCTAAAAGGTTAATTAGCCTCCTAGCAATCGCACCAATCTCAAAATTCTCTATCAAACCCTCTTTCCATGTCGGATATGTCAAATGTCAAGGTTCATGACAGCTTTTTATAAGCAATATAACCACCGCCCTGGCAGCTCTCCAGTATTTATTGGCCCCGCAGGCAGGCCTACTTACTTGGACAGCATCCCCCGAGGATTACACAGATCTCTGACACTTGGCAAGTCTATATAAGCTAGTCTTCTCAATCTTTTTATGTGCAGCGAACCCACAAAGTTACTCAAATAGCACTTAGTATAGGCCTAATGAATGTAACTGAATCATGAGGAACTGATTAATCTCACGCCCCGAAATGTCTCATTGCCTTTTATGCCCTATTTACCACTGTTCGTAACTGACCAGACCCCTCTCTCATTGCCTTATTTTGTACGCTACTTTTTGCATTCTGGAACCCTGACTGATGTGTAGGGTTGCAAAATTCCTGGAACGTTCAGTAAATTCCCTGGTTTTCCAGAAATCTTGATAGAAGGGTTGCAGATTTCCTGCTTATTCCCTCCTGACTCCGGGAATCCTCCAACCGGGATTCCGGGAAAACCAGGGAATTTATTGAAAGTTCCAGGAATTTTACAACCCTACTGATGCGTCATTTTTAGCTCCACTCACACAATGTCCACCTCATTCAGGGTTGATGACCTGGGCAATGGTGGCATCCATTTCACGGAACACTAAAAAAAACCACAAAGTGTTGTACACCCAAAGTGCTGTCTATTTTGATACTGTATAAACAACGGACGGTCCAAGAGCCTCTGTCTGCCTTCTATATATTACATTAATTAATTAAGAAACAGTTGAAATGTTCAGTCCCATTTCTGTTTTTTGAATGTGCATGTATTACTCCTAAAAGTGCATCTATTTCACAAACAATGTGTTATCTGTACCGGTTTTGATATGGTATTTTAGAGTTCCAGGATAGTAGTGTATGTACCCCTATCAGATTACATCACACCTGTACAGCAAGACATTTGACGCCACACAGCCCTGAGGGACCAGTGTAAAATACAAAGTAAACTAGCAGCTGGCCAGTTATGTACGTCATAGTGCTAACCTCAGCATCTTTTCATCTAACAACTTTCAGCAAATCAGAGGAAACCAATCATCCACCACTGTTTGGACGAGGAATTAGAGCCTTTAGAATAAGACCCCCCCCAGCACCATACAGAAGCCCTGGGAGAGCAGGCTATAGAGCTGGCATAGAGGCCAGTGAGGACAGTGATGCTGGGGGCAGGATGGAGCTGTACTGTCAGCTAGAGAGAGGAGGGGCCTGCTGCCCTGCTATATAAAGACAGGAAGCCAGTCTCCTCTAGATGTGTCACTGTGCCGCCTCTCCCCCATTGAGATTCCCATACTGTCCCACACTGTGCCCTCCTCATCTCTTCCCAACACTCTGGTCTGAGGGTCCCAGGTGGTAGCCCATCTTCATCTCTCTCCCTCTGGACTGAGGGTTCCCACGCCCCACCTGGCCTCCCATACAGTCACGCCGATCTGAAGGCACGTACCTACCTGCAGCTTTTCATTCGTTGACGCTTTTCTTGGAACCCGGCTCAAGATGCCAGAGCCCACAAAGAAAGGTAGGAGTGCCCCTGTTCTCCTCACTGAGTGTACAGAAAGGATTTCAGCATAGTGTACTGTACAACCTGTCCTGAAGCAACGCTTTGTTAGAATTTCAGACTGCATCTAGGATCCTGCTTGTTTAATGTATTAACAACAGCTGATTAACTGGTACTGTTAATTGTAATGCATATGTTCTTTTACTTTCATGTTGTAATTATTGGTTGGTTTTCTCTACTGGCATACAATATGAGGAAAAGTTCCATTAACCCTTCATTCCTTTTTCTTGTTGTGTAAATAAAGGCAAAATATTTTGCATGGTTTCTTTTGGTGTTTGTTTGTTTTGTCGGCATTATTGAGTAGATATTTTGCATTAGACAAAATAAGTTCTCTAAACTATACTTTGAGAGTTCCCAGGAATTTGCTCACGGTAATTGAGAAAGTGACTTTGGCGACAACAGTACTGTATTTCTGCTTGGATGTTTCTTCCTCATCTGTGGAGATAGAGATCCAGGAGGTTTATTTAAAAAGAACTGCTGTTGTTGCTGCTGTTGGCATGATGGACAGTGGTCTCATGGTGATTAGGAGCCCACTGGAGGGAGACGTGATGAGCCCTGGTGGAGGAATGTTGATGAGCCCTGGTGCTTGGCGCTGGGCTGAGCTGGACACCAGCGAAGAAGACCCCTGAAGGGTGATGCAATCTGGATGGACTGTCTTGGGATCGTGTTGGGATGAAGATGCTTTCCGGATGATGGATACATTCCGTCCTCGGTCTTGCTGATGACTGATGAATGGATGGCACGGTGGATGACATGTTATTTTGCAGCAGAAGCCAAACAAGATCCCTCAAACCCATCCCAACTCCATATTCATCTCCCTCCTCCTTTCTATGGTAGAGCCTTCAATAGCATACCGCTGCTTGTCTGCATAGACCTAATCACTCTGTGTCCGTCTTGTCTGTAATTCTGTGCTAGTACTTCCTCCCTCTCCATTAGTTCAGGTCTTTGGGGACTTTGCTCAATAGTAAGACATGCCCATGTACAGGAACAGTACAGTATATTAATCGCTTGGACACCACCCCAACGGAGTGAATAACAAGTTTTATTATAAACCGTTTATTTTCTGGTGGACCGTAGCTTTATCTGCAGCAGAACTCGCACATCAGGAATGGCACGCACTCTCTTCTCTCCACACATACATCCAGGCCACTCGGCCAGTGCATTCTCTCCCCTGTAGGACAATGGGGCTTATAGGCTAGAATGGGAGGGCTTTGCAATATTGCTTTTATGGAAGTTATTCAATAAATATGGTGGCAATAAATATGAGGACTAGACCAGGTATGCAGCAAACGGTCCAATCCACCTTTTGGCATCTTTAAACAGTTAGCTGTGAGCTCTAAAAACATACCATTCACTTTACTGGCCTTATTCGGATTTCAGTACCAGTTTATTACTTGCCCGTGTTGCTTTGATAGGGCTCTCAATAAATGTCGACATCTGAATGTAGTGTAGCAGAGGCTGGGTGAGCTAGGATAAGTTTAAAATCTATTGCGTCGCTTCGGAGTGAGGCACCATGAAACTGTTGGACAGCTTAGCTTCCTCTTGTACATGTATAACACACAGCACTACTGTAAAGTGTGTTTTATTAGTACAGGAGACATGCCTCCAGAAAGTTCATCCACCATAATAAACATTCATGATCCCGTCGGAGTCAAACACACAGGGGAAGGGGAGGCAGTTGCATGCCAGTCCACCGCAACCACCTTCCATAAATAGCTGCTCTGTTGCAGAAGACTAGATAAATGACTGTGAAAAAAGTATTGTTCTTATAAAGGACTGAACAGCTGAAGAGGAGGAGGCTGCTGGAGGTGGTGTTGGTTTAGACTGCAGACCCAAGTCTTTAAAAAGCAGGATGAGAGATGATGGACTGACTGGCTGGCTGGCTGGCTGGCTGGCTGGCTGGCTGACTAGCTGGCTGACTGGCTGACTGACTGGCTGGCTGGCTGAGTGGCCCTTGGAGCTCTTGGGACCTGGATTCCTTGGTCCCTGGAATAGTTCAGAATGAGCAGACTTTTAATCCCCATCCTTCATTCTCTCGCTCTGTCTCTCTCTCTCTCTTGCGCTGTCTCTCACTCATTCCCTCACTTTCTCCCTCACCATCCGCCATTGTCACACCATCATTTTAGATGATGATTCACTCAGGGCACTCAGGGGTCAGACGTACGGTCATTGAATATCTCACCCGGAGTCAAGAGGCCAGCATCCTCCACTACACCCACTGTGCCTGCTTTCAGCAAAAGTCTTGGGTTTCAGTGGGAAGAAAGCCCACATCCTCAGCTCTGTATATTTACAACCGCTCAGCCCCAATCACTCTCCCTGATCTGTTACCTCAGACAGTGTGGTCGTCGCTTTCCGAATTCCACTCCATAAATCAAGCCTTTAGTTAAACACAGGGAGACCCTGTCAGCTGCTAATCGCCAAACCACAGCCCCACATCCACACTGAGGCAGTCAGCAGTTCCTTTCTGTGGCCTTTTCACTTCTAGCAGCACTCATTCTCAGAACTCCTAGGAATGGACACACTCCCTTATGTGGACTGCCGGTCCAACCGACACACAATAGTCACAAAGAAGAGTTGATAAATGGTGTGCATTAAAAAGTTCTGGGGGTCTATATTAAGAAGCAACGGCAGCTTGGCTCCCGTTGGAGTCACCATGAGCCCATCTGTCTGCACAACAGCATGGGCGACAGCTGAACATACCTGCAGAGTGGTCAGCTGCACTGGGGAGTTCGCAGAGGTGAAACAAAACCCTTCTCTGCGCTCATGATCTCTGCGATTAGACAAAGAATGCCTCCCTGTAGTGCACATTAATGTGTGTGTGACCCTATAGGATTCTGATGTGATGAGCCAACGGCAAGTTTTTGGTGAGGTGTGACAATGAGTAAATCTGAACTGGAGTGTCCGGCGGGAATCACAAAAGAGTGGCTGGACAACAGGGTTTTGGCTGTGTTGCAGACTGGAGAATAAAGGGGTTGAGAGGTCGTTATGGTTCCAATAATGATAATTGTGTATGGACTTTGGATTACAGTATGTACATTATTACTGTAATTAGGCACACAGGGACTTAGGAATGAGAGATGGATGGGAGTTACAGTATATCAAAATGAGAGGCAATAGATGTGAAGAGAGAGGGGAGTGGACAGAGAAGTCACACTGGGGCACATTATGGTCCTGGGACTCTGGGACTTTGGACAGGAATGGCACAGTAATGCACAGTATTTCTCCGGATCATTAACAAAGGAGCCGTCGTGCCTGGCACAGGGCAGGGTGGCAAGGCTGGCATCCCTGCAGAATTCACAGGCTGCTGTGCCAGGCCCAGTGCTCATCGCTGAGTTCCACTCTCTGTGTAAATGGACAGGCTAGCAACAGAGCTGTGGGAGTACACTGTCATCACCCTCCAAAAATCCCCCCTACACCCCATCTCTTTTTCCTCTCGGTCCCTTACTCACTCACTCAGTCAGTGGCTGTGTCCAAAATCTGGCTTGCCTACTACTTACTTTAACTGCATACTGTGTACTAATCGTACTATGTACTATTTAGCACACACTGTTTAGTAAAAAGTATGCAGTATGCCATGGCCGAAATGTACTACTTTTGGTCCGTTCAAGACAACTGGGAATACGGAAACAAAACGAGCTCAGAATGGGGAAAAATTGGGACGTTGGTGATCTTCAGATCGGAGAAGTCAGAGCTCAAGGTTGATGCGGTCCTCTGTAGCTCAGCTGGTAGAGCACGAAGCTTGTAACGCAAAGGTAGTGGGTTCGATCCCCGGGACCACCCATACACAAAAATGTATGCACACATGACTGTAAGTCGCTTTGGATAAAAGCGTCTGCTAAATGGCATATTATTATTATATTATTATTATGCCCGAGTTGGATGACCGTTCAAAACTATTTTTCCCAGTCGTAGCACGTTTTTTTCCCAAGTTCCCTGCTGTCTTGAATGCACCGTCAGTTACGTCTTCATATGAACCGGAAAGGCTTGTCTGTAGCCCCACCCAGTGACCTTTCCATGTTGTTGTTTTGGGCTTATGTTAGCTAAATAGCTAGCATTTTGAAATATGTATTTGGAGTAAACTTGAGTGTACCGTAGGCCTACGCATGTATTAATTGAAGAGTCACCTGAAGCTTGAGAGTAATGGAGATGCAGTAGAGGAATGCAGTGCTGAGGCTACTACTCTGAACTGTGTGTGAGCTTTCTGGCGCCCAGAGCTGCTGAGGCATCACCCAAGTGGGTGCTATACATTGTGAAGGAGAAGTTCAGTGGCTACAGGACTCAGGCTGGTTCCCAGAGCAGCCCACAACAAGATCGTCACCAGACTCCATCTTCATCAACCATCTCCCTGAACACATTCCTCTGATCAAGCCATGAACTGTCCTTCTCCATCTTTGGAGGATGCATGCACTCTATTGGTTGACCTAGCCAACTGTAGCTGGGCTACTCATGATGTGTTGCTTGTTTGTTTTTTTACTGTTGATGCACTTTGAGATTATGAAAAGCGCTATTGAAATGTAATCAATTGTCATACCAAAGAACATTTACTTAGTTTAGTAGAGCAGAAAGCTCTACCGAAGGCTGAGAGCAGTGTGCGGGTTTCTTTCAATTTATCTACAGTGAGGGGGAAAAAGTATTTGATCCCCTGCTGATTTTGTACGTTTGCCCACTGACAAAGAAATGATCAGTCTATAATTTTAATGGTAGGTGTATTTGAACAGTGAGAGATAACAACAACAAAATCCAGAAGAACGCATGTCAAAAATGTTATAAATTGATTTGCATTTTAATGAGGGAAATAAGTATTTGACCCCCTCTCAATCAGAAAGATTTCTGGCTCCCAGGTGTCTTTTATATAGGTAACGAGCTGAGATTAGGAGCACACTCTTAAAGGGAGTGCTCCTAATCTCAATTTACCTGTATAAAAGACACCTGTCCACAGAAGCAATCAATCAATCAGATTCCAAACTCTCCATCATGGCCAAGACCAAAGAGCTCTCCAAGGATGTCAGGGACAAGATTGTAGACCTACACAAGGCTGGAATGGGCTACGAGACCATCGTCAAGTAGCTTGGTGAGAAGGTGACAACAGTTGGTGCGATTATTTGCAAATGGAAGAAACACAACATAACTGTCAATCTCCCTCGGCCTGGGGCTCCATGCAAGATCTCACCTCGTGGAGTTGCAATGATCATGAGAACGGTGAGGAATCAGCCCAGAACTACACGGGAGGATCTTGCTATGATCTCAAGGCAGCTGGGACCATAGTCACCAAGAAAACAATTGGTAATACACTACGCCATGAAGGACTGAAATCCTGCAGCGCCCGCAAGGTCCCCCTGCTCAAGAAAGCACATATACAGGGCCGTCTGAAGTTAGCCAATGAACAACTGAATGATTCAGAGGAGAACTGGGTGAAAGTGTTGTGGTCAGATGAGACCAAAATCGAGCTCTTTGGCATCAACTCAACTCGCCGTGTTTGGAGGAGGAGGAATGCTGCCTATGACCCCAAGAACACCATCCCCACCGTCAAACATGGAGGTGGAAACATTATGCTTTGGGGGTGCTTTTCTGCTAAGGGGACAGCACAACTTCACCGCATCAAAGGGACGATGGATGGGGCCATGTACCGTCAAATCTTGGGTGAGAACCTCCTTCCCTCAGCCAGGACATTGAAAATGGGTCGTGGATGGGTATTCCAGCATGACAATGACCCAAAACACACGGCCAAGGCAACAAAGGAGTGGCTCAAGAAGAAGCACATTAAGGTCCTGGAGTGGCCTAGCCAGTCTCCAGACCTTAATCCCATAGAAAATCTGTGGAGGTAGCTGAAGGTTCGAGTTGCCAAACGTCAGCCTCGAAACCTTAATGACTTGGAGAAGATCTGCAAAGAGGAGTGGAACAAAATCCCTCCTGAGATGTGTGCAAACCTGGTGGCCAACTACAAGAAACGTCTGACCTCTGTGATTGCCAACAAGGATTTTGCCACCAAGTACTAAGTCATGTTTTGCAGAGGGGTCAAATACTTATTTCCCTCATTAAAATGCAAATCAATTTATAACATTTTTGACATGCGTTTTTTTTATTTCTGTTGTTGTTATTCTGTCTCTCACTGTTCAAATAAACCTACCATTAAAATTATAGACTGATCATTTCTTTGTCAGTGGGCAAACGTACAAAATCAGCAGGGGATCAAATACTTTTTTCCCTCACTATAATTGTTACCATGCACCTGCAACAAGCACAGGAGGTTGGTGGCACATTAAATGGGGAGGATGGGCTCGTGGTAATGACTGGAGTGGAATCAGTGGAATGGTATCAACTACATCAAACACATGGTTTCCACGTGTTTGATGCCATTCCATTTGCTCCATCCGGCCATTATTATGAGCCGTTCTTCCCTCAGCAGCCTCCACTGGGCCAACAACATAGCTCAGATGTGCTAGTGCATTTTTGAATGTTGAAATGTTGAAAGTAAACACACCAACAGTAGATGTATTGGTGTCAACTCTTTTAAATTTTTTTACAAACAAGAAACACTTTTTAATTAGAAAACAGAAATTCACTCTGGGTTTAAATAAAGGACAACACCAAAAACAGTAGATAATTCATAAACGAATAGCTATAAATAAAATACATAACTACTTCTTAATCATGGCCACTAAAATGGCCATAAGGCGTGCCTCCCTGGCAGTCACCTCCATCTCCCGCCTCCACATCTGGACCCTTCTGGGAGGAAGAGGAGGAGACGATGACCAGTGGGGTGATGGAGTGGCATCCCCTGCAGCACCTCATCCATCACCACATACCGCTTCCAGTATGCTGCTGTGGCCCGTCCCTCCGAACTGACTCCGGTGGGGGGAGATTTCAACTCTACGTACTACATTTACATTTTAGTCATTTAGCAGACGCTAAAGGTATAATGCCAATTGCAGTATATTTATCTGGAATACTTGCACTTTTAAAACATTTATCTTCACACTTACATGAATGTGCCAGTGAAGCCTAGGAAATAGCTGGGAAAGTGTTGTTGCGAACACGGCATTCGGGTATTCGGACATGGCCACGCTCATTTTTCCTTTAGAGGGAGTTTTCCACTAGAGGGAGTTTTGCCCTTTTCATTTTAATTTTATCTACTTTATGTGTGATGCCAGTACATATGACCTACCTGTGGCTGAATGAATAGGGACATAGGCCTACATGGAAAGCTATTGTATAATGATAATACTGTAGTAATATTTTTGTTTTGATTGCATGTTTTCCAGCCTGTGTTTTCTTGTACTATATGCAAATGTGAGTGGTGTAAGCATGGTTATCAGGCTCAAGATAGAAATCTGTTGTTTTTGGTGCCAACGTCCCTGTGGGCTGATATCAGTCTTGGTGTAAGTGCTCCTCTTGTAGCCTCTATCTGTCACTGTCTGCTGGCGTCTCCATGTCTGTGTTTGCCTGTTACTGTGTAATCCATCCTCAGTCTACCAGGCTAATGTGACGATTGGGTGGAATTCCCTGTCCTCCAGTCTGCATATTGACACACGACATCAGAATGGAAGATTGTCAAACTTGCATTGACTTTCAATAGGAAGAGGAAAGAGGAAGAACCACTGTGTTGCGCGAGAGTGGAGATTTTCAATCTAACATTCTCGTAAGGACCAGACGAGAACTCACGTGACTCTGTTTCACTAACCCATTAATAACACACAAGGTAAATGTTTAAACCCGATAGGCTAGGGCGTACCAAGGGATGGATAGAGACTTTGATCCACTGATGGCTAGCTTTAAGTCCCTTAATAGGTTTAGATTGTAGTGTCCAAATATGTGCCATGATCAGTCCAAACTGTGCAGAGTAAAGAAATGCCCCCATTTTGAATTGTTCTCTTTTGTCTCTGTTTTGCAGATGAGATGCCCAATGGTGAAAAAGGTCAGTGAAGGGTGATGCCCAACAATGTTCTTTCACCTCACACATCACTGGCGTTGAGCAGAGAACTTGGTATGAGATAATTATTATGGGAAACTTTGGTTATGTCTTGCAGGACAGAATGTATCCCATATTAGGTTGGCAGTCTTGGTCTATTGGATGGTGGAAACCATGTTTTTGCAAATGTGAAAGCACATTAAGGTACAACTGAGGCTGCATGTAATGTGGCTATTCCACCTCCGACTTCAGTGTGAATGTGTAAACACGGTCGCTGGTTTAAACACTGTAAATGTGGAGGGTCTACATGTCCTTGGCAATAGAACTGTTGTACTACTGTGGCTCAGTGGTCAGTGGTGACGACCGACTGGTCAGAATCTACACATTCCCCCGGCGGACCGGCTGATCCAGGCCTGTTGATTCAGCTGACGCTCATGCCCCCCCATGTGACCATCGCGCTGGCATGTTATTGGCCGCCTGCCGACGGCAGGCTTTGACCTTGGGAGCAGCGGCAGCATCTTGGGCCTGTGGCTTCGTACAGTGGGGGGCATAGCTCTGCTCCCACACACAGGTTTAGGCTAAATTTATCCCTGGGCGGGCACTGCTATGATTTTATGTACTTCTCTGAATGTATTCAATCGTAATTGTGCCAAAAATACTGTAATTGTGCTTCAGAATGAGAATCGTCTCAGATTTTAAAGTCAAAAATAAGATTCAGTCAGAATTTGCACAAAGATGAAGTCTGAGTAAAACTATCATACAGTAAGTAAATGACACATTTTAACCCTGTAATGTATTTCATCCATCAACTAAATCCCCTCACGGTTAAGCACCAAAACAGTGAATCTGGTTCAGCCAAATGGTTGTAAAAGTCTTCTGAATTTTTCTCCCTATGTATCGTTGAAGGGAAATTTTGTTTTAGGTGATCATCTACACTCAGAAAATATCCCACTGTATTGATATTGTGCACACGTGTACGAACGAATACAGTGTATTTTACTGTACGTGTCCCAATCTGTGTGTGACTGAAGGGAAAATGGCGAATGAGATCGGGCATACAGTGAGTAAGTATGCCCATTTGTGAGAGAGTGAGTATGTTAGAGGCTAGATGTGGAGGCTTTGTGCTATAAAAAGCAGCTCTTCCATCCGTGTTATATTTGTCACATACTCAGAGAGTGTTGCCCCAGACAGTAGTGAGGCGCCCATGCCCACACCTGAGATATCCCTCAAGGTCTCGCCTCCACCCCCAGGTGGGTACCCATGCACTGGTGTCATACTCCTCCTTTCTCCCCTTCCTCCCCCTTTATTATGTTCCACCTTGCATACCCCTCCTTTCTCCCCTCCCACACTCTTCCCAGGTGATTCGTTTGCACACCATACTGACAACACGCGTGTTTGTTGTTTGTGTGTCCACCGTTCTTATTTCTCTTCTTTTATAATGGGATTTCTCGACGGTTCCTCGATGACACACACATTCACACACAAACAATATGCATATAAGTCAAAATAGTCTACGTGCGATCCGAATAAGTCAACTTCCTGATAAGCAGCACATATGATGCACATAATTACGTAGTTGCACTGCTGCTAACACACTCCCGTGCTTACGTTGCTGTGATGCTCTGTCCCCAATACTGGCTTGTGCTTTCTCTACCAAGTACAGTGGGGAGAACAAGTATTTGATACACTGCCGATTTTGCAGGTTTTCCTACTTACAAAGCATGTAGAGGTCTGTAATTTTTATCATAGGTACACTTCAACTGTGAGAGACGGAATCTAAAACAAAAATCCAGAAAATCATATTGTATTATTTTTAAGTAATTAATTTGTATTTTATTGCATGACATAAGTATTTGATCACCTACCAACCAGTAAGAATTCCGGCTCTCACAGACCTGTTAGTTTTTCTTTAAGAAGTCCTCCTGTTCTCCACTCATTACCTGTATTAACTGCACCTGTTTGAACTCGTTACCTGTATAAAAGAAACCTGTCCACACACTCAAACAGACTCCAACCTCTCCACAATGGCCAAGACCAGAGAGCTGTGTAAGGACATCAGGGATAAAATTGTAGACCTGCACAAGGCTGGGATGGGCTACAGGACAATAGGCAAGCAGCTTGGTGAGAAGGCAACAACTGTTGGCGCAATTATTAGAAAATGGAAGAAGTTCAAGATGACGGTCAATCACCCTCGGTCTGGGGCTCCATGCAAGATCTCACCTCGTGGGGCATCAATGATCATGAGGAAGGTGAGGGATCAGCCCAGAACTACATGGCAGGACCTGGTCAATGACCTGAAGAGAGCTGGGACCACAGTCTCAAAGAAAACCATTAGTAACACACTACGCCGTCATGGATTAAAATCCTGCAGCGCACGCAAGGTCCCCCTGCTCAAGCCAGCGCATGTCCAGGCCCGTCTGAAGTTTGCCAATGACCATCTGGATGATCCAGAGGAGGAATGAGAGAAGGTCATGTGGTCTGATGAGACAAAAATAGAGCTTTTTGGTCTAAACTCCACTCGCTGTGTTTGGAGGAAGAAGAAGGATGAGTACAACCCCAAGAACACCATCCCAACCGTGAAGCATGGCGGTGGAAACATCATTCTTTGGGGATGCTTTTCTGTAAAGGGGACAGGACGACTGCACCGTATTGAGGGGAGGATGGATGGGGCCATGTATCGCGAGATCTTGGCCAACAACCTCCTTCCCTCAGTAAGAGCATTGAAGATGGGTCGTGGCTGGGTCTTCCAGCATGACAACGACCCGAAACACACAGCCAGGGCAACTAAGGAGTGGCTCCGTAAGAAGCATCTCAAGGTCCTGGAGTGGCCTAGAAAATAGAAAATCTTTGGAGGGAGCTGAAAGTCCGTATTGCCCAGCGACAGCCCCGAAAGGTCTGTATGGAGGAGTGGGCCAAAATCCCTGCTGCAGTGTGTGCAAACCTGGTCAAGACCTACAGGAAACGTATGATCTCTGTAATTGCAAACAAAGGTTTCTGTACCAAATATTAAGTTCTGCTTTTCTGATGTATCAAATACTTATGTCATGCAATAAAATGCTAATTAATTACTTAAAAATCATACAATGTGATTTTCTGGATTTTTGTTTTAGATTCTGTCTCTCACAGTTGAAGTGTACCTATGATAAAAATTACAGACCTCTACATGCTTTGTAAGTAGGAAAACCTGCAAAATCGGCAGTGTATCAAATACTTGTTCTCCCCACTGTATGTCACCGTTGTGTGTGTGTGACTGTATGAGGTACTGAAATATTGTATTGGAATATGGAATTATCCACAGGAAGTCCATTCAGTGTGAATGAGGAAGTATAGGTTTAATTGTTACATTCAGCAGGTAGCCGTCAATAGATTCCATTGCTTGTGTTACATTGTAATTAAGTCTTGTACAAGCTTGCTGAATAAGTAAAACTCTACTTCCTTGAAGTTTCCAGGACTAGCTATAGATGTGCAATGACCAGATTGGTAACATCCCTACATTTTTACTTGGTAGTTGGCAATGAGATGGAGAACTATTTATAATTTGTATCAATTTTGAACGCTTGTCATGCATTCAGACATGACTGTCAATGGAAAGACCCAATCTGGTTGCTGGCTATCTATGCTCATCCATTCCCAGCCAGCACCTCATATATACTGCAGTGTTTTGAGAGGCTGTCAGTGCTTTTGCTCGAGGCTTGCTGCTCCAGCCTGGCGTTGTTATCTGCCGTACAGAACAACCGGTAGAGACTGAGGGGAAGGATCCACAGCCCATAGAGGTGCTTAAGCCTGTAGAGCCTCAGCCTGTGGTTGCTAAGGAACCAGAACCAGTAGAGAATGGGTCTAAAGAACCAGAACCAGAGGCGGTTGCGGTCAGGGCTAAAGAGCAAGTAGAGTCTGTGAACTCTGAAGTAAAGGAGGAGGCCCCGTCCCCTTGCTCACCCCCACCGCCTGGTAAGTATAATTCACTCAGCCATTCACAGTAAAAGCGCATGCTGTTTACTATAACTAAAGCTATAACTGAAGGCCCAGAGTTTTTCCTGATCAGGTCATGTGGTTAGGAAAAACTCCAGGCTCTACTCATAAATAGTAACAAGCGCTTCCGTTCAATTGTCCCACTCTCAAACCATTGATTGAAGCAGTTTGACTCTAGTCTGTGCTAGAGTCAGATTCATAGTGTTGGTCTTGGCTAAGGCCCTTTATATTCTCCCAATAGATTGTATGGGCCAAAGTTCCATTCAAATCAGGCAATGTATTGATTGAATCTGTATGAATCAGGGTTTTATTTGGATTGAAGCGCTGTTTATAATGACAGACAGAGACACCCTTTCCCTCAATGGCCGCTATGACCCAATGTGATGGACTTCATTGGCATTTACAGGACAACAGCCATACATTGGTTCTTGCTTTGCTTTCTGCAGTGTCGACTAGTGCATTTTTATATACATTAAGTTCTAAGACTTCTAAGGCGAATGTGCCCCCAAAGTTGTGACTGATAGCTTTTTCATGGTAAAACGGCACATGTAGGCTACATGTAAATGCAGCACAGTTCAGTGTGCACTTTATGGCACTTACAGTTGGAGTTAGCAGTTTGCTTGTATTAGAAAATGATGACTGAAAGAAACTTAGTGCTGTGTGAGTGGAGGAGATAGACGGTAAATTTAATCTGTGAGAGCCTTGTCCCAATTCAGCAACCCCCTTACCTACGGTGAAGGAGGAAGCAGAGCCAGTTGTTATGGAGGTTACCCAACCTCCAGAACCAGTTGTTACAGTGGTTACCCCACCACCACCCCCACCTCCAGAACCAGTTGTTACGGTGCAGGTTACCCCACCACCACCCCCACCTCCAGAACCAGTTGTTACGGTGCAGGTTACCCCGCCACCACCCCCACCACCAGCAGGTCTGGAAGAGTGTGTGTCTGTGCGTATGCAAGAACGTGTGTATATAGGTAGGCTACGTTTATGTGCGTATGCACGAACATGTGTTGGTGTGTGTGTGTATGTGTCTATGTTTGTGTGTGTGTGTGTTTTCTGTGTCTTTTCTTCTCAGTACAGTTTACAGACTGTTTCTAGCTGAGGGTCTAGGTTTCATAGTGAGGTTATAATGTAGCAACAAGCCCTTGAACGCTCTCTCTATAACGTCCTTATTTTAAAGAAATAGCGCCCCTTGTGTGCACTTCCAGTAATACCGTATACCCAGGTATGGTACAGAAACGGTATGAAAATCTGGATACCACCCAACACTACTCTCTATAATGTCTCTGGAGGTGGAGCTGAGCTCAGTTACTCTTTTGATCGACGACAAGCAAGTTAGGTCTTAATCTTTCGTATCCCTTGTGGACATTCTTGTGTTCTTCTGGCTGCTGCTTGTCAACTTCAATCTCTCTCTTCCTCTCACAGTGCTTCTCACTTGTGCTTCCAGCTTTCCTAAACCAAGCTTGTGGTGTTACGCATAATTCCTTTATCTTACGTACACGTGTGATCTCTCACATCACCGTCCACTCCCATCCCATAGACACTGGTGTGGTCTCTCACAGGACACGCTTCGATCTCATGATAAACACGTTTGTGGTCTCGTACACTTCATCTATCCATTTCAAAGACATGCATATGTGGTGGTGTTGTGTCGTGTCAGTCCCATGTTCTGTCTTGTCTTGCATGCTTTGTCTTGTGGCTTGTCTTGTTGGCCTGCCGTGCCGGTGATGGACTTGGAGCTTTTTGATAGGTGGGTCTGTGTCAATCACACCTTTATTGCAGATAAAGATGATGACGCTACAACCAACACCCCATCACCACCGCCCCCACCAGGTTGGTAACCATGACAAACCATCCCCCCTTTCCCACCGTTTCAAGTCAGTTACCATGGAGACTCCACTATGTGACAGTGCTCCCATCAACACCCCAAAAGTCATTTTTGCTGGAGACAGTTACTGTGGGGAAGAGTCTAACTATAGAGAACACTATGGATAGATTGTGGATGGGTCTCTCACCTGCCAGTCTTTTAAACATCAGGTTTTTCTCAGACCTTTGGAATATATATTCCTGATGTGCATTTAATACTTGCACATGGCATCTTGCTGGTTAGAATATTCAGGATCAGCTCTTAAACTATTGCAATATATGTTTGTGCATATCACATACATATGTTGTTTACATGCATGCCAATTCAAAAATGCCAAAGCATAATTCCTACAAGCACATAAACCTTTAATTATTATAATTCTCAAATAAAGGTATGGATGTGAAGATCACATCTCACATGTATACTGTATATATACACACAGACCTTGACTTTTTCTACATTTTGTTGTCTTACAGCCTGAATTTAAAATTGATTAAATAGAGAATTTGTGTCACTGGCCTACACACAATGATGTCAAAGTGGAATTATGTTTTTTTATTTTTTTAAACAAATTACTTAAAAATGAAAAGCTGAAATGTCTTGAGTCAATAAGTATTCAAACCCTTTGTTATGGCAAGCCCAAATAAGTTCAGGAGTAAAAATGTGCTTAACAAGTCACATAATAAGTTGCATGGAATCACTCTGTGTGCAATGATAGAGTTTAACATGATTTTTGAATGACTACCTCATCTCTGTACCCCACACATACAATTATCTGTAAGGTCCCTCAGTCGAGCAGTGAATTTCAAACACAGATTCAACCACAAAGACCAGGGAGGTTTTCCATTGCCTTGCAAAGAAGGGCACCTATTGGTAGATGGGTAAAACAAAAAAAGAGCAGACATTGAATATCCTTTTGAACATGGTGTAGTTATTAATTACACTTTGGATGGTGTATCAATACACCCAGTCACTACAAAGATACAGGCGTCCTTCCTAACTCAGTTGCCGGAGAGGAAGGAAACTGCTCAGGGATTTCACCATGAGGCCAATGGTGACTTTAAAACAGTTACAGAGCTGAATGGCTGTGATAGGACAAAACGGAGGATGGCTCAAAGACATTGTAGTTACTCCACAATACTAACATAAATGACAGAGTGAAAAGAAGGAAGCCTGTACATAATAAAAATATTGCATCCTGTTTGCAGTAAGGCACTAAAGTAAAACTGCTAAAAATGTGGCAAAGAAATTAACTTTATGTCCTGAATACAAAGTGTTATGTTTGGGGCAAATCCAACACACCACATCACTGAGTACCACTCCTCATATTTTCAAGCATGGTTGTGGCTGCATCATGTTAAGGGTATGCTTGTCATCGACAAGGACTAGGGAGTTTTTTTGTTTAAAAAGAAACGGAATAGAGCTAAGCACAGGCAAATCCTAGAGGAAAATCTGGTTCAGTCTGCTTTCCAACAGATACTGGGAGACAAATGCACCTTTCAGCAGGACAATAACCTAAAACACAAGGCCAAACATACGCTGGACTTGCTTACCAAGACGACATTGAATGTTTTCACTTTTTCATTAAGGGGTATTGTGTGATGGGTGAGAGGGGAAAAACCAATTTAATCCATTTTGAATTCAGGCTGTAACATGACAAAATGTGGAATAAGTCAAGGGGTGTGAATACTTTTTGAAGGCACAGTATATACACACATACCACATATGCTCATAATGTATACTGTATGTATATTATATGTTATGTATATATGATGATATTATACATGTATTGTTTTGGTTTGTCCTAGACCTCAACTATGTTGATACCATCCCGGTTCTCTTATCTTGAATTGTCTTATATGTATTCATATTTAATTCATTGGAAATTGTTGGTAAGAGTAATTGGAAGTTTCATGTCATACTTTTTCCGATTACAAGGCCATAAGGACAATTTGTCATACTTTTTTTTGTCAATCATCACAAAGGGTCAATAGCAATATTCCTCACCAGAGTCAAATAAATTGACTAGTTAAAAACACAAATTAATACCAATAATACTGTGCTTTCTTTCACAGAGGATGCCAATACACTCAAGAAACTCTCTATTGAGATGCCTAGTAAGATCTCTCTGTTAATCATACAACTATAGCTCTGACCAAACTGGTCATTTTGATCAGAATGTTACAACTGCCTGGATGTAGGAAACATGTTTGGAGACATGTTTATTTCTAGAAGGTGTTTTGTGTGATTTTTTTAAGTTAGTTATTTTTCCAACCTTAAGATATGAGATTGTTAACGGTGAAATATATTGCATTAACACCATAATTGACAAGATTTTATATATTTTTATGAAAAAGGAATTATACGAATTTAAGGATTTTAAGGGTCTCCTTTTCTGCAATTTTTTGTTTGGCACATAAATGTTATACATATTTATGTGAACACATTTGGAACTCTGATCATAATGCAACGATACATTTAGTATAAAACTGTATTTTAAGAAATACAAAGGCATCAAAGAAGATTCAATACTGATTATCCTCCCTGGTGAAACCTAGCAATATACAACAATGTACATAGTTACGGCTTTTGATTAGCAGCTTGCATCATTTATGTCAGAATTCCTCAGGGCTCAGCTTGCTTACTGTTAGATGTCTTGTATTGCTTGCTGGTCCTGTATGTTTGTGTGTGCTTGCTTCCGTGGACTTTACAGTACTATTTCTTATAATATGCTGTAAATTTCTCTCTGTCTTTGTTTAGATGATAGCGTCCATGTGTCAGCCATGGGGAGAAAAGACTCAGGTAATACTATGTAACAAAAGCCATAATAACCATCCTATCAGATGTGAAGTTTTCAATAGCAGAGCTCCAGAATAGCAGTATTCTCTATGGATCAAGCCCACCCACAAAAAGTGTTAGTCTCTTAGCTAGCTCTTTTCATTTTCCCTGCATAGCTGGTCCAATGGAACCTGGCTTGGCATACTTTAAAAGCTCCGTTTTATTTGGACTATGTTGTGCTCCATGAAAAATACTGGTTTTCTAAAATGTCATAGTTCAACTCCTTCGTTCCTCTCCAATGCTTGTAGGACGCTATAGGACTTTTGGACATTTTCATCTTTTTCAAGTAAATTCAATTATTTAAGTGCCCTAGTTGAGTGTTAGTCTTTGAGTCAGGGATGAAATAAACTGGGGTAGTGTAGCTGGGTCTTTTGCAGTAGGTAGCGAGGGTTTGGGCTAAAGGGACTCCCTACGTAGGTCTGTCTATAGCAGTTTCAACACATGTGGAGCATGGCGACTGCTGACATGAGTCCTAGTCCACTTAGTCTTTTGAGATCTCAAAGAAGACCGGATCATCTAGAAAATGAAGAACGTATCAATCGATATACTTTTGCACACAGCAAAGGAGTCCACTCCGAAATGGTATTCATTAAAAACCCGTAGCGCTTTTTCCAGTACAGGTATTTGTTCTATGTTCCATGTTCTTATGCTTTCCATGTTGCACAATGTTATGCTTTCCATGTTGCAGCTGCCATGAACAGCTGAGGAACAGTGTGAATGTATTTCTGTCTGTCTATCTACCTTGGGAAGTATATAACTTTCAGATCCCTTGAGTACAGTATGCGAGGAGTGTGTGTTGGTCTGTTGGTGTTGCGTTTTTGTGTGATGGTGTGTGTCCGTCTCTCCTGATCGACCAGTGTGGTCTCTAGGAGAGGGACAGGCTCCAGAGGACCTTGACAAGCCCATAGACACCCCACCGCTGTCCAGCCTGCTCATAGAAAGTCCCCAGGGCGGATCCATCACTGTGGGTGAGTGCCTGCTGAGTGAGCTCTCCTCTCACAGCTGCTGTAAACCAGAGATGATATACTCGTAGAGACATTTTAAAACCCTTACATGTATTAGATTTGTACTGGTCAAGGTCTTTTAGATTTGACTGTAAGAGGAAAGATCCTCATTCTCTCTGCTCTCTCTTCTCTCTCTCCTCTCTCTCTCTCTCTCTCTCTCTCTCTCTCTCTCTCTCTCTCTCTTCTCTCTCTCTCTCTCGCTCTCTCTCTCTCTCTTCCTCTGCTTCTCTTCTCTCTCTTGCGTCTCTCTCTTTCTCTGCCTCTCTCTCTCTCTCTCTCTCTCTCCTCTCTCTCTTCCCTCTCTCTTCGTTCTCTCCTTCCTCTCTGCCTCTCTCTCACTATTGTATTTATTCTCTCCAAGAGAAGGGACCTCTGGTAACCATGTGTAGGACATCTATCCACCTCAAAGGCTATTCCCAACATGGACATGCTGTGTTTTACATGTTCACCAGGTGGAGACATCTCCTTTGTTGCCAAGGTGGAGGCCAAAGACCTGCTCCGTAAACCCACCATCAAGTGGTTCAAAGGGAAATGGATGGACCTGGCCAGCAAGACTGGAAAGCACTTACAACTTAAAGAAACCTTTGACCGACGCACCAAGGTAGACACCCTCCCATGTATGGCTCTATGTATGTTAACACACACACACACACACACATTGGTCCCCTAGCTGTCCATCCGATTCCTATGTATCGCCCCGCAGATTCACACATTTGAGATGCATATCATCAAGGCCAAAGACAACTATGCTGGAAACTACAGGTGTGAGGTCACCTACAAGGACAAATTTGACAGCTGCTCCTTTGACCTGGAAGTGAAAGGTTTGTTGCACTGTTTGAGTCTGTCATACAGCAAAGAACACACACTGAAACACAAGCAATAATAATATAATATACTGTGTTATTGTTTTGCATTATTGTCTTTCAGAACTGGAACAGTCACAGAGTGTTGATATTCGATCAGCTTTCAAAAGAAGGTAATGAGAGCAACACAGTCTGACCACATTATTTCGATTTTTTTAAACAGCCAGTTAGTAGACTAGCCAAGTTTTCAGTCAACAACAGAGTGATATTTTTACAGTTAGCGTTTAGATTTAGCGTTTGACTTATGAATATCCTTTTTTCTCATAATGATAAATATGACAATAATAACATTAAACAAAAACTTCACTGGTTTCGAGCAAGATTCATTACACATGGCAAATAAACTTGAAAATGTACATTTGAGTATCAGATACGTGGGATACATTGTGGCTCAGTAGGAAAACCATGGCACTTATCACAAACCAACATGAGAACATAGTGTTTGAAACATAATGGCCATGAAATCGGATGTGATTAACCTTTATTAAGGTATTACCAATCAACGTGTTCAACAGCTCAAAGGCCAATGCTTGCATTTGAAACTCCCTCCCAACAATGTGTCAGAAAGCAACGCAAAACATCCCAGACCCATAGCATTATCCCAACGTAGCTGCTCAGTGATGCTCCTGCAACACAGCAGAAACATTGTGGAAATGTTGTCATATGCTGGCTGGGATCGCTCTCGATACTCCTTACACAAACCAGTTCGTTAGAAGCATTTAATTGGAAATGAACCGAAAGGGTTTTTGTGTAAGCCACCAATCATGTGTTAGTCTGGACCTAATGCATTTGATTGAAGTCAGTAGCCGCTGCTTTGCGTTGTTCTTTTAGCATTGTTTATCTAGTTGCCTGTTACTGTTTCTACTCTGATTAAATCTCCATTAATCTCTTCTTGTTAACAACAGCAGTGAAGGACACGAGGATGCAGGGGATCTTGACTTTAGTGGTCTTCTTAAACATAGGTGAGAGTCACTGTCGGTCCTCAAGGGGACAGTCTTATTTTTCATTTTTATTTTTTACTATGCCCTTGTTTTGGGTGTTTACCTCTTTTCTCTTTATTTTAGTTTGCCCCAGCAACCTCCATTGACTCTTTTACTCTTCCAAATTGGTTTCTTATTTTAACACATGGTATATATGTGCATTACAATATAGTATAATATATTAAAGAGTGCAGTATATTAGTTAGTACATAGGTGAAGTACCACGTACTGTAAGAGTACATCATTTCATTAATATCAGGTGCTACAGTGAATCACATACAACGTTACTATTTAGTACACTATCTACTCTCACATATTGATAACTTTTTGAGTTTCTGTTTTCATTTGTAAATACAAATCTACATTTTTTTCTTGGTTCAAACAACAGCATGTTTTTTCAATGTACTGCCATGAGTACAATAGACCTAGGCAGACCGTGACACTTCACTGAGGTAAAATTACACATTTATTTGGGCTTGTCTCTTCTTCTTCCCTACATATTCAGAAACCAAAGGTTAGTAGAGAGAATACCCTAGGTAATTAAACGATTAGACCTTACTGCGGGGTAAGTACTATAATCCTGTAGCGTCCCCAGCATGGAATGTAGCTCTAGGATCTGGAACAAGCAAGAGTGTTGGCCTACTGTAGCACGGTAACACTTCATTTACAGCCGACATTCTCAAATGCTCCATTAACAATCAGTAAGGATGGAAATGGACTTTGCGTCATAAAGTATCTCTGCTGTTTGGGATGACCACTTTTTTGATCAACAGTAGAGTTCAATAATACTGTGTTTATGAGGCAAAATGACTCCCATTTCGGATTATTAATGATCTGCTAGTGGACCATTTTATGAATGATGCTGTGAAATAGTGTTATCGCTACATTGTCATTTTATTTCAACTTAGAAATACAAGGCACATATCACAATGTTTATTTCAGTCTACACAGTAATTGCCTGAAAATAAACAAGAAGAGAGATGCATAAGAATGAAATAATAATTTCATGCTTTTTTACCTCCAAAGCTTTCCGACATTTGGGAAAATGTCCATGAAAGAACGGACTGATTGAATGATCTTTATTTAGCTGCCTAATGTATCTACTCACGCCCAGGGCAACATGCTTATTAACCTGGATCTCACAGATCTAACATCCCCTATGGACGCCTAGCCTTCCATCTCTAACACGGTCAGAGCGTCTCTGAAGTGGTGATGAGTGAACACACTGAGACACAAGGCAAAGGGATGGGCAATGTGAATAGAAAGAGAAAGAATGTAGACAGTCTTTATCAGCAGCAAATCTCGGAGTAAGAGCTCCCCATATTCCTGCATGCAGAACCTAGCTCAGTAGTTTTTTCCCCAAATTGTTTCATTCTATTGAGGTGTCATGTTTATCCCACCCCCAAGGAACAAAAGTAGCCTAGTAGCATTGATCAGTTTATGACCTTCTTTGATATTCATTAATACAGCACTGATAAAATCCTGACTTTAATTTAGTTTCTCCTGCAAAATCTCCAGACTAAAAGAACTCGACCCTGGTCAAAACCCCTACCTGAAACATATTCAACTCCCTTGTAATAATCTGATCCCTCTACTTGCCTCAGCAGTAAAACCCTTCCTATATGATATAATACATATAATAGACTAGCCACCCCCTCTCCCCTCTAACGCCTCATCCAGAGATGATGTCAGAGGACAGGTACAGTGCTTCAGAACACGCCCATCCCTTTGTGTGACATGTCCTGAGGAACTCAGTGGGGAGAGAGAGAAGGGAGTGAGAGAAAGTGTGTCTGATAAAAGGAGAGAGAGAGCGAGAGAGAGGGAGAGAGAAGAAGATAAATGACTATAGAAACAAAGCAGATCAGTAGAACAGATGAGGGGAAACACTCTTAAACTCATTTAGTAGGTAGTTCCTATCTACAGTAGATGCAACAGAGAGTAGTCTTCCTTCACCACAGTCACCGTCCCTTTTCTAGTACCCTATCCCATTTCCCCACCCAATACCCCCCATAGGGAGCAGTTCCTCAGGACACGTCGCGATAGCCCATCGCGTGGCCCCAGCCCTCACACCCTCCCCTCGTGTCCTGCCCCAGGGAGCCCAAGCAGGAGGAGACCCCCGAAGTGGACGTGTGGGAGATCCTGAAGTCGGCCAGGCCAGACCAGTACGAGAAGATCGCCTTTGAGTACGGCATAACAGACCTGCGGGGTCTGCTCAAGAGGCTGAAGAAGACCAAGAAAGAGGAGAAGAAGAGTGAAGGTGCTGAATTGAGTGTTTGTCCATGCGACTGTGTATCACTGTTGGGATTATGCTGCACAGATGCACTATGGATTTAGATTGTTTAGCTCATAATCAGCTAATCTGTGATTTTTTCAGGGGAAAGGCACACGTTTCAGTGGTTTTCTATAGGATGTGTAACCATTGTCATGGAATGTTGTATTTTTTGCAAAGCTTTTGCCAAGAAGTTGGATCCAGCATACCAGGTGGACAAAGGAGGGAAGATCCGCTTAGTGGTGGACCTTGCAGACCCCACAGTAGAGCTGAAATGGTACAAGAACGGCCAGGAGATCCGTCCAACTCCAAAGTATGTCAAGCTTTTTCTTCTTTCTTAATGTGTTAGTCTTCTATATGTTTTTCTCTATTTCGTCTTTTCACAAATGAAAGGCATTTTTGGGAGTTCCTCATGAAATGTGTTTCATTCGTGGTTTAGTCCTCATTGCCAGTCCCCTGGTACTTGTAGTTTTTATCTGTTCCTTGTCACGTCTCTCAGCGTTGAAAAGCAATGGTTCACATGCTAGTGTTTCTGATGGTCTCGCGGTGTACACAAGCAAGCAAGGACGCATACACCCACACGTGCGCATCAAAATACACATTGTTTTACACCAATAATTGCTTTCACATAATGACACACACACATAGCCCTGTGTGACCCTGTTATGAACAGGGGTTTTCCTCTACTGCCTCATCCCTTGTAAACCAGGGACAACGCTGACCCTACATCCCCTTTACACCCATACAGAGCTCCCATTGTGCCCAGACACACACAGCCACAGCCCAGATCTCTGCACTGTAAACCATTGCCAACTGATGCCCAGTGAACAAATAACGTTCTCTCAACACTAATGTGGTGTTAATAAGATGCCACATGCATCTCACCAGCGCATCAAGAACGTTATGTGTTTGCAGGGCAGTGTGTGGCCCTGAGCTACATTTGAGTGGAAATGTACTGTTTGATGTTTTAAATAATGGTCCTTTGCTATTAACTACAGGTCCTTCTCTGTAGAGGGAAATGGCAGTACCTTCTTCACAGGTCTTTAACTGACTCTGGCTTTGTAACATTCAATGGATGATCTATTATTTTGATAGCTGTGTACCCCACCAATGTTAGTGTACCATAAATATAATATGGCGTAGTTTAAGTGTATTGATCTTACCACATCGTTAATGGGAATGTATAACGAAAAGTGACTTTTGTTATTTTCTTAGCTCTCTCTGGAAATAATTTGTATAATTAAGTGATAATGCCCGAGTAGCCAGTGTTTGGAGGATATATTGCCCGGGTGTTGTTAGGCCTGAGACAAAGTCGACGGCCGGCAAACCGTGCCAATATATCCTCCAAACACCGGCATCGAGGGCATTATCACTTTTATACAACGGGTTAAAACATATTCAAATAATGATTTACATATTTTCATTAAAAACATTATTTTGATGAATGCATTCATACTATTTCATCCTTCCACAAGATATAGTCCCGACACAAATCTAGGGTTGCTACCCAAGCTGGCTGGTCGTTCATTCTATTGGTTCGGTTGCCAGAGACGCGACCCAGTCGTTCAGTCTTTTTGTTCTGTGTCTATGGACGCAACCCAGTCTTCGTTTTAAATGTTCCATTGCCATACTGGCTGGCAACGTTCTTATCCCTCGCTTGCTAGCTAGTCAATTACGGCTCATTTACAGTCACGTCAAACAGTGCAGCCAGAATAACAACAGTAGCTGCATTTGCATTTGTTTAAGGTGTTTTCTAGTGACATTTATTCGGACACATCCATAACACTGAGCAAATGAGGCGATTTCACCTGGCATAGAAAATGTGCTCTCTCATCAGGACAGTGTTGTTCAGAGGAGCTAGCCAACAACACAGCTAACACATTCACTTAAAACTGAAGCTGGAAAGACTGCAAACTAGCTGCACTTCGTTTCGTTGTACCTTTTTTCAATTGAAATGTTTTTGTATATATGCATAAAAATGATGCCAGCTGATTCATGATTTCGACTGGCTGAGAAACGCTGCCTGCCTGTCTGTTTCGTCCTGACTCCCGACACTTTCATTACAATGGGACAGCTGGAGATTGTTTCAATATTCAAATTCAATGTTGCAGATGTCGGAGAGACAGACAACAAGGTTTATACAAATCTCTGCTGTTAAAAACTAAATGTAAGTCTAAAAGAAATGTGAGATAATGTCTAGATGCTTTTCATAGTGGAGATCATGTTTATAAATTGCCTGGCTAGGCTGATGAGACAGTGGATTGCGCAGTCAGATGGAACAGAGTAAATAAGCATTTTAACGTCATAGATTTAGCCAGTGGTAACTTGTGGAAAAGATACCGGCTGGAATGCGGTTTTAACCAATCAGCATTCAGGATTAGACCCAACCGTTGTATAACTACTGTTAATACACATACTTTTGAAATTGTCGGAAGGTAATCTCATTACTCAATCTAACACCTGTATTAATCGATGTTACGAGACCTCTATGTACCCTCAAAATGGCAAGTCTGTCCTTAGATTATAAAAAGTGAAGGGTCAATCTCAGGCTACTCTCAGTAGAGGTTGTTCAAAGCCAAGCCAAGTTAAAGCCATCTGGGAGGTTATTTCAGTTTTCTGGTCCCTTGTCTCCAGTGGTGTATTTCCCAGAATTCCCTGTTATAAAGATCTCTCTCTCTTATTTTGTTGTAACACTATTGGCTGTTACAGTCCCCTCCTCTATCCTTCTGTCCTATCTGTCTGTCTGTCTGTCATGGTGCTCGTCCCTTCTCTCTGCTATAACCACTTCCTCCTCTGGCTCCATTCCGGCTCCACTGCTGACCTTAAGTCAAAGGAAGTAAGTCCACCCGTCCTACATCTCTGACCTCTGGCGTGACCCCAACCCTCTGTCTACTCTGTTCCCCTGGGTGTGCACTGACAACCCACACTGATGCATGTTGGGATGTGTTTGTTTGTGAATGGGGGCAGGTCTCTGTAAATAAATGTGGCTGTATATCTGCACATTACTACGACTTCAATGACAAAGGTTTTTGATTAATAAACTAGCACAACTTTTTATTCTTAAAATGATCAAATAAAAAATTATAAAATTATACGTATTTCTGCTTTTGGAAGACACAAGTAAGCAAAGGCAACTGTATTTAGCTCAGTGGATGATATGAAGTCTTGAAATAAAAAAAATATTTCTCTCCAAGTACATATAGTCACAGTATGTGGATATACAGTGATTTTATTGATTGATGGACTTGCTGCATAGGTTTATCTTTGAGCAAAAGGGCACACAGCGGATCATGGTCATCAACAACTGCTGCCTGAATGATGACGCTGCCTATTCTGTAGCCGCGGGAGAAGAGAAGTGTACCACAGAGCTGTTTGTCAAAGGTACCCCTCTCTATTCCATCACCCTTCCATCATCCTTCTCTCTTAATTTTTATGTCTCTCTGAGTAATTAGTGTGACCAGAATGTGGTCTCTCCACAATTTCACACTCCACTGTTTCTAATTATATTGATGCCTGCCCCTCTTACCTTTCTGCAGAGTTACCAGTGAAGATTACTAAAGAGATTGAGGCAGTGAAAACGACAGTGAACGAGAGGATTGAGTTGGAGTGTGAAGTGTCTGAAGAAGGAGCTCAAATAAAATGGTAGGGCCATGTCCAACTTAGTGTGTGTGTTTTCCCTTGTGTCCCTGTGTGTGTGTGAGTGCCTCTGAGGCTATAACCTTTTGTCTTCCCCCTTAGGTGTAAGAACGGCGTGGAGGTCCCGACCGGGCCCCGGTCACGCTACCGTGTCAAGTCTGAGGGGCTGAAACACTGGCTGATCATTGACGATGCCTCAAAGGAGGACACAGGAACCTTCTCTGTCATGGCCTCTGGGGGCACCTCTGAGGCCAAAGTCCAGGTCGACTGTGTGTATTTCACTTCTCTCTTTTCTTCACACTTTCTCTCTTACTGAGAAACTGTAGATCAACTATATTGATTACTATTTTTACTTTGTTCTATCCTCTTATTGCTTGCCGTTCTTCCGTTCATCAGTGAAGCCACTGAAGATTATTCAGGATCTGCAGGACATGACAGTGCTTTTGGGCCAGCCCCTGAAGATGCACTGTGAGATCTTCCCTGGGAATGTTCCAGGTCGCTGGTACAGGAACGGACAGCTGATCCAGTCCAACGACCGCATCAACATCCTGCAAAGAGCCAAGTACGTCACCTCCCTCCCACTCGCCCATCTCCTCAGCCCCATACCTGTGTTCATGGGGGTTTCATACCTGGTCAAGTCATGTGGACAGGAAAGATTCTGGGCCCAAATCATGATTCACCATTAGGCCCATGTAACCTGAGCAGGAAAAACTCTGGGCCTTAGCCCTTCCCTCTGTCCCCCTGCTTGTCTCTAGTGTCTTTTTCATATTGGTTAAGCTGTCTTTTCAGGAGCAAGCCTACAGTATTCACTTGTTTTCTTGTTTTGACAGGAACCACCGATTAGAAATTGCGAACAGCACCATTCACGATGCCGGGGATTATACCTTTGTGCCAGAGGGATACAGTCAGAGCCTCTGTGCCAAAGTTCATATCATTGGTACAGTCATTTTAATGATACAAAACCATCCGTGGGTTGATAGGAATACTATAGAGCACTTACTTGTTTTCTTCCTTGTCCCGTTCCTACAGATCCTCCCAGGGTGCACCTGGAGAGCTTGAACTTCCCTGACAACACGGTGACCATTGTGGCAGGAAATAAACTTCGCGTGGAAATCCCCATCAGTGGAGAACCAGCACCCAGGGTGGTATGGATGAAGGGAGAGAGGGTGAGTGCTGACCTGGGTCAAAATAGGCTTCATTGTGCTTAATTGTTGTTGGAAATACAGTCTACATACTGAATGTATGGGTACAACACAATCTACTATTTGCCATCGTAGGTAATCCTTGACTCGGGCCACCGTGTGCGAGCTGAAACCTTCACGGACCACACCAGCCTCACCATCGACATCGCAGAGAAGGAAGACACAGGAAACTACAAGCTAGTCCTGCAGAACGAGGCTGGGGAAGCAACGGCTAGCGTCAAAGTCAAGGTGGTGGATATCCCAGACCCTCCTGAAGTTCCCCTAGTCCCGGAAGTGGGGGGAGACTGGTGCTCTATGACATGGGACCCCCCGATCTATGACGGCGGCTCACCCATCTTAGGTAGGTGTGTTTGGGGGATATATGCTAACAAGTTGGATATTCTGGTGTGTGTGTGATATAGAACGATGCTTTTCCCCAAAGGCTACTTCATCGAAAGGAAGAAGAAGCAGAGTTCCAGGTGGATGAGGCTGAACTTTGACCTGAACAAAGAGACCACATTTGAGCCTAAAAAGATGATTGAGGGTGTCCCGTACGAGGTGCGCGTCTTTGCTGTGAATGCCATCGGCGTGTCCAAACCCAGCGAGCCATCCAAAGCCTTTGTGCCCCTGGGTGAGTTCTGAGTACCCACTGTTCGCTTGGCAATGTAAACCTTTGTGACAAAGCCAGTGAGGTGACACCTACAGTACAAAGGCATTATCCTGTTATATGAGCCAATACAGTTTATCCTGTGGTTATATCATACCACGATAGTGAGAGAAAAATGAAAGAGCCGGTGCTGTGATACTGTGTGATAGTGCAGGCCATTGTGTGGGCTGCCCTTCCCCTTTGCAGCTGTTCCTCTGATACCCCACTATTCCAAGCATTCTGCATTTTGACTGTGCCCTCCACTGGATGTGGCCAGAGCTTTAGGAGATATTAAATATGTCTTTATAATGGCTGCCAAATCAACTAGGGCTTATAGGTTTAGGAGATCAGCCTCCCACAGGGTTCAATAGGAGTTAAACGTGATGCAGAATGTAAGAATAGACGTTAAGAGCCGCCCCCTAATGAGATCTGATGAACAGATTGATGGCATACCAGCGCCAGCTGGAGGGGTTTCCCACTCATATGGGCATGGGGTGTTTGTTAGGTATACTACATTGTATGCATTATACTGTACTGGAGATCCACTTTTGACAAGTCATGAAACATATGCCGTACAAGCAAGGACATGTTTGTGTGAAGTTCAAACCTTGTAACACTCTCACACTGATTGCCCTCAGCTGTGACCAGCGAGCCCACCATGCTGGTGGTGGATGATATCACAGACACCACGGTGACCATGAAGTGGCGTCCCCCAGACACCATCGGAGCTGCAGGCTTAGACGGCTATCTGGTGGAGTATTGCATCGAAGGAAGTAAGAAACTTTGTGTTTTTTAAGTAGAACACACTAGACTTTTCATGATCAGGAGAAACTCCAGGCCCTGTTAATAAGTATTACCTGCTATGTTAAGTGTATGGACATGTTCTCCACAGCTGATGACTGGAGAGTAACCAATAAGGAGCTGACAGAGAAGACTAAGTACACTATCACTGGTCTCCCTCCAGAGGCTAAGATCCTGGTAAGGGTAAGGGCAATTAATGCCGCCGGCGCCAGCACTCCCAGAACACTTCAGCACTCTATCCTGGTCAAAGAGGTCATCGGTGAGTCCTAGCCACTCTCCACTTCTCTTTTTGAAGTCTGTATTTATTATTTATTAGCAAGGCTTAAGCAACAGGGCTAGGAACATGACATTTGATACACAAGTCCAAAGGACAAGTGTTCATGAAAGATTTACAGTGCCTTCGGAAAGTATTCAGACCCCTTGACTTATTCCACATTTTGTTACGTTACAGCCTTATTCTAAAATTGATTAAATAAAAAAAATCCTCAGCAATCTACACAGAATACACCATAATGACAAAGCGAAAACAGGTTTTTAGAAAAAAGTATGAATGTATTATAATAAAAAAAACAGAAATACCTTATTTACATAAGTATTCAGACCCTTTGCTATGAGACTCGAAATTGAGCTCAGGTGCATCCTGTTTCCATTGATCATCCTTGAGCTGTTTCTACAACTTGATTGGAGTCCACCTGTGGTAAATTCAATTGATTGGACATGATTTGGAAAGGCACACACCAGTCTATATAAGGTCTCACAGTTGACAGTGCATGTCAGAGAAAAAACCAAGCCATGAGGTTGAAGGAATTGTCCGTAGAGCTCCGAGACAGGATTGTGTCGAGGCACAGATCTGGGAAAGGGTACCAAAAACTTTCTGCAGCATTGAAGGTCCCCAAGAACACAGTGGCCTCCATTCTTAAATGGAAGAAGTTTGGAACCACCAAGACTCTTCCTAGAGCTGGCCGCCCGGCCAAACTGAGCAATCGGGGGAGAAGGGCCTTGGTCAGGGAGGTTACCAAGAACCCGATGGTCACTCTGACAGAGCTCCTCTGTGGAGATGGGAGAACCTTCCAGATGGACACCCAACTCTGCAGCACTCCACCAATCTGGCCTTTATGGTAGAGTGGCCAGACGGAAGCCACTACTCAGTAAAAGGCACATGACAGCCCGCTTGGAGTTTGCCAAAAGGCACCTAAAGACTCTCAGACCATGAGATACAAGATTATTGAGTCTGATGAAACCAAGATTGAACTCTTTGGCCTGAATGCCAGGCGTCACGTCTGGAGGAAACCTGGCACCATCCCTACGGTGAAGCATGGTGGTGGCAGCATCATGCTGTGGGGATGTTTTTCAGCGGCAGGGACCGGGAGACTAGTCAGGATCGAGGCAAAGATGAACGGAGAGATCCTTGATGAAAACCTGCTCCAGAGCACTCAGGACCTCAGACTGGGGCGAAGGTTCACCTTCCAACAGGACAACGACCCTAAGCACACAGCCAAGACAATGCAGGAGTTGCTTCAGGACAAGTCTCTGAATGAGTGGCCCAGCCAGAGCCCGGACTTGAACCCGATATAACATCTCTGGAGAGACCTGAAAATAGCTGTGCAGCAACATTCCTCATCCAACCTGACAGAGCTTGAGAGGATCTGCAGAGAAGAATGGGAGAAACTCTACAAATACAGATGTGCCCAAGAAGACTCCATGCTGTAATCGCTGCAAAATGTGCTTCAGCAAAGTACTGAGTAAAGGGTCTGAATACTTATGTAAATGTGATATTTCCGTTTTTTTATTTTTTATAAATTAGTCCAAAAAATCTAAAAACATGTTTTTGCCTTGTCATTATGGGGTATGTGGGTAGATTGATGAGGGGAAAAAAACTATTTAATCAATTTTAGAATGAGGCTGTAACATAATGTAGAAAAAGTAAAGGGGTCTGAATACTTTCCGAAGGCACTGTAGATACAAAAAAACACTTTTCCCCCATAGTTTCAGTATTTAAAAAAAAAGCGGAAATCACATTCCATCCACTTATCTGACCTGTCCTCTTCCCAGAACCACCTAAGATCCGCATCCCCCGTCACTTGAAGCAGACGTACGTTCGTAAAGTCGGAGAAGCAGTCAATCTCGTTATTCCATTCATGGTAAGGCAAAAACAGCAAATGGCTCAACTACCTTCAGTGAAAGCCCTTTAGTAAATCATATTTAGTTAGATTCATGATCCTATGCGATATGTGACATGTAGGGCAAGCCCAGGCCAAAGGTGAGCTGGCTGAAGGAGGGCCAGACGGTGGACCCCACGCAGGTCACTATCCGCAACACAGACTGTGACAGCATCATCTTCATCCGCAAGGCAGAGAGGAAGCACTCTGGGAAGTACGATATGAAGGTGGAGGTGGAGAAACACGTGGACACAGCCATCGTAGACATCCAGATAGTAGGTGGGTCCAGGGACACTGACAGGAAGGATATCCTGATCTCACTTACAGTTAAAGTTGCTTAGGCATAGATCAATTAAGCATTTGTATCGGTCATGTTACAGATTGAATCAAACAGGAAGTAGACAAATAAATGCTATAATAAGGAAAGATCTCATAATAAAGAGTTGATCGAGTTGAATGTTTTTTAGCTTTGTTTTGTCCTTGATTCCCTTCCAACTTTTTCACAGCAGCTAATGTCAAGCACATGCCAATAAGACCCAAACTGATGTTAATGATGTTAACTAATTCATCTCTCCACTCAGACCTCCCAGGGCCTCCACAGTGTGTGAAGATAGATGAGGTCTGGGGGGGAAACGTGGCTCTGGACTGGACCCCTCCAAAGGACAATGGCAACGCCGCCATTACAGGCTACACCATCCAGAAAGCAGACAAGAAGACCATGGTATGAGTCTGCTGAATGCATCACTCAGTACTGTACTGTATGGAATCGGTATGAGGGATAGATTTCTACAGGAAATGTACCTCTGTATGTACTATGCATATGGGATCCAAGTGTATGTGCTACTCAGTGTGATCCCCAGTATGGTTTGAACTAATCTGCTCTCTGTGTGACAGGAGTGGTACACCTGTATTGAGCACTACCACCGCACCTGCATCACCATCACGGAGCTGGTGGTAGGGAACGAGTACTACTTCAGAATCTACTCTGAGAACATGGTGGGTTTGAGCGAGGGTGCCACCCAGACCAAGGACAGTGCCCTCATCGTTAAAGAAGGTATGTGTGAGCTCCTCTGTGGGGGGGAGATACCGTATGGAGAGCAATGGAAAATATGACCAGTATGTCATCCCCCTCTACTTTCTAATATTATGGACCAACTCATTCAAAAAGCAGATGGACATCAACCTCAGTCACTTTTTTTTTCATTTTCTTCTTTGTCATTTGTCACAAAAGGTAGTGATACGTAGTGATAAAATATACATTTGTACAGAATTGGACCAGTTGCTTTCATTCAGAGATGGCTTATACACTACATATCATGTTTCATTGTACTGTACTGTTAATGCGGCTGTTGCTGTCTCAGACTGCAGATGATGAATTAAAATATTGTCTCTCCTTCAATCATGATCACAAGGGAAATTCCCCCATGATACAGCTCAGCACCTGTATCATGCACAACCCCATTCTTCCTCCCTTCCTCCCCCTGCAGGCATGCAACTGAAGAACCCTGAGTACATCGACCACGACTTCAAAGAGCCTCCCAAGTTCACCCAGCCCCTCATCAACACCTTCGCCATCGCTGGCTACAACGCCACCCTTAACTGCAGCGTCCGCGCCAACCCACGGGTAGGTATAGCCCGAGTCCCAGATCTGTTTGTGCTGTCTTGCCAAGTCCATTTCAGCAATGGAGTTGGCAAGACGGCACAAACAGATCTGGCACTCAGACTAGGGTAGGTGTGTAGGACCGTACTCAGACAGTGCCTACACCAACCCTCTTGGAATGTTGTTTCCAACTAAACTCCTGGACAGGGTTGTGGTATCATTGCTGCTGATGTTCAGTCCTGCTTATTAATTAGTGATTGATTTAGACATGGAAAACCAAGTATGTCTACTGTATTGACTCTGGCCAATCAATGACATTAATTAATGAATTAGGAGCCAAACCCAAAGACTGTGAAGCCCTGAAGCCCTGAGGCTGGGACATCCAATGCCCTTGCCTAGTGGGTTATCTTAGGCCTTTAGTCGGCCTGTTCCCCATACCCCTCCAGCCTGTTCCCCCTACCCCTCCAGCCTGTTCCCCATACCTCTCCAGCCTGTTCCCCACCCCTCCAGGATGACCCCATATGGCCCAGGCCTCAAGCTGTATGCTGAAAGCTTTACACCTGCAGCCTGCTCTTTCTGACCGCCTCTCAATCACGTTAGCCTTTACACCTGACAGCTATCCTCTCTCTAACAACACATCTAGTCTAGTCTAGTCAGCTGCCTGAAGTTCTTTGTTGAGAGGTTAAAAAACAGATTAGATAAACAGACAGAGGACAACATTTGTTTAACACTTGGGCCTTATTACCATGGGCACTATGTAAATGTAAGATATGACTGTTCATACACTGTTCTGATTAGGTTATCTCTAACTTGAACAATTTATAGGTCCTCTCACTGAGAAAACAGTAAAAATCCACAGACCAGTAAAAAATTGCAATGTATTGAATACTTTTAAAATTATGTACTACAACATATTGAGTTTGACAAATGGTTTTAACGATACAGTAGTGATGCCTTTTATACTACATGATAAACATTATGGGGAGTAACTTGCGAAACAGCCCTGACTTAATTGAGTATTGATATTTTAGAGGCTTCTGTAGGAAACTGGCTAACCTCCACTGTTTTTGACTTCAGCCCAAAGTTATTTGGATGAAGAATAAGATGGCCATCATTGACGACCCACGCTACCGCATGTTTAGCAACCAAGGGGTCTGCACCCTGGAGATCCGGAAACCCAGCCCCTACGATGGGGGCATGTACTCCTGCAAGGCCATTAATGACCTGGGTGATGCACTGGTGGAGTGCAAGCTGGAGGTTAAAGGTCAGTTTGGGCTTTGGGGGTACCTGGTAACCTGTGGTGTAGGTTATTCACCTGTGTGCAGTATTAGGTGTCTAGACTATTGGTGATGTAGATCAGTACATAGTTTGTTTCAGTGAGTACTACCACCAAGGGCCCGTCCGTATCAGCTCTGGACCTGTAAGTATCCGTTGTACATATATCGTATATGATATATGCTTATACAATATCCAGGGGGTTGTCATTACATCACCCCTGCTACTCCAATGAGGAACAACGTATTATATCATGTAGATTAAATCAATCTATGCATTTCCTTTTCATTTTAGACCATTTTGAACATGTTCATTCCAGTCACAGGTGTTCATACAAGACTTCAGTAATGTCACTTGTATTCAGCCGAATCCTGTACATCCGACTACCACTGTTATATTTTAATTTCCTACAACAACTTCAAATTCACCACGTCAAATGTAGCATGCTTCACCAATACAGCATGTTCCAATTCTTCCTAAGGCGTCATCACACACCAACACCTCACAACTCAAACACACATCAATACATATTGTTCTAGATGTAGTTCCCTTGTTAGATTAAAAATAACTAGTGGCTCCATGTTTAAATGTTTCCCCTCAACAGATGGTGATGTTCCTTCAAATACGTGTTTAACTCCTCATCTAAAATGAGTTCAATAACTGACCAGTATTCCCTGGAGCACACATAACTCCCCCATGTAAACATTTGGATAACCCCTCTTCTCTTCTCTCCCCCCCAGTCCCCACTCAGGAATAGTGAATGTATGTTCTCATCCAAGGTAAGCTTTCATATGGTTTTGGCATATGAAGCTTATATCATTCATTCTGCATCTGTCAAATGCCAATAATACAGCTTTTCTCAGCAGTACTAGGTAGTCTATTTAAGTTCGCACCACCCGTCTGAAAGAGGACCAAGGAAAGGAACGCAAGAGTTCAGGGCTTGCCTGCTTTAGTCAAAATGGATGTGTGATATGTACAGTAACATAATAGATTGTTGTGTATCTGGCTCTAGACACTGTATGGGCAGTGTTCATTGGAGCCAGTTACTTTCCAATAACACTCTAGGGTTGCTGTCTAGGGTGGCTGTCTAAAGTCAAGTGTACCCCTAACATTTCAGAAGTATATTTTAACGGTTGGTGTGACGTGACTGCTTGTATGACATGTGTTTCCCTGGTAACCGTGCCTGTTCCTCATCTAACATATGCCACACACAAAAGGTGAGTAACCTTCAAAGTGGTGCAAATGGTCTGATCTTGACATCAGAGTAAATACCAACATCTGCAGAGGATGGCTCTTTGTTAAAGGTTAAAGGTTGACATTATGCTTACATTCTTTTCCAGACGTCGTTACTCCAGGATCGTGTCCTGTACATACGTGTTATGATATTTACTGAGGTGATAAGATACAATTCATCCATAGATCACCTTCTCCTGATTAATAAATAGATTATATATCTATAGTAGGCCTATATTTGACACACTAGGGTTATTATCATTTGTGTAAATGCACCATCTATTATGTACTAGAGAAGGCAAAATCCAGTAAATGTTCCTGATATTTGAGCTTCTTAGTGAATGGCCATGTCATGGCTCCTATAGCTCTGCCTATGTAAGCCTGAGCAGATCTAGATTTACTCACAGACTCAAAAGTGACATGTCTTGCACCTTCCCTTTACTGACGCTATCTCTATTTTCTCTCCTCTCACTGCTGTCCACTTTGGTATCTCTTCTTTTTTTACTGTATGGTGTCTCTCTTCTGTTTCTTTGTTGCAGACTCACCCTCTTTTCACTGTTGCAGTGTCTGTTTCAATGTTGCACACTGACCCTCTGCTATTGCTGTTGGACTCCTATGATCTTCTCTCTGTTAAAGATTGATAGTCTTCTCTCTCTCTCTCTCTCTTTCACTTTCTCTCTATCCCTCCTAACAACACATTGAGTGTCTCTCCTTTCTCCCCCAGGGGGCTTTACCTTCTCTGAGCTCATGCAGCGTGGAGTGCCTTTACACCTGATTGATAAGTACATGAACGAGACCAAGGCCGTGGTGCAGCCAGAGAAGTAGTCGGACTGAGCAACCGCTGATACACCTAGGCTGCCTAGAAACCTGTCGTCACACCACTAGTGACCTGCCTCTCACCAGCAGTCAAGGGAGGGGCTGGAGGGAGAGGGAGGGATGTACTAGACTTTGGCATGGCATGCTGTTTGCGGGTATGGAGCTAGTTACCATAAAATAAGCCAAGTCATCACCAGCTTTGTGTCATCTCCTAGTATTTAAAAGGCTCTGTTTAAGCTCAGTTGCATGTTGGCAGTGTTTTGGCTGTAGCTTTTTATTTGAGATGAGTAGTGTGGGAAATGTACAGTAGGACAAACTGTAATGTCCACCTATCTGGACATGTTTTGTCTCTGTTGGGATTGGGAAGTGTGTTTGGGGGGGGGGGGGTAATGCAATTTGGGGGGGGGGGGGCAATGCAATGTCTTGTGATTAAAGATTGAAATTCAAAAGATACAAATATTAAAACATATCTGATCAGGTGATTTGCAATGAGAAGTGACAGTATTTCATCAGTCCCTTTAACATGCTTCACATTAGGATTTGAGTATGAAAAGTATAGTTGTCTGATTAATGTTGAGATTTGGGCTTTCAGACAGTTATCCCTACTTTGTTTTTGCCTTACACTGCATGACACATTGTGCTTTCTGTGCTCATACTGTACTTGAGGCTTGGGTATATTCTTAGCTGTCAAGCCATCTGCGCATGCTTTCATCTTCAATTTGTAATGTATGACTCCTGGAATAAAATAAAAACATGTAACATATCATCCTTTATTGATGTGTAAATATTTTCTAAAACAAGTTTCTACAGTACACAATAGGAAAATAATTCCAGTATTAAGATGTTTAAACAACACGCCATATTCACTCCAGAGTGCACTCAGAAATTTTGCAACCGCAGGGCAACTACAGAATAAAATGATACAATGTTACATTCAATGGAGCCATGAAGCTGCAGTAGCCTACTGCAGTTGTAGTTCACTGCTCCTAGCCGTCAAAGGACTACATTTCATTTGAAATTCCCGGCCTCATTCCTTTCCGGAGACTTGCTTCCTGCTGAAACGCAATTCTCAATCACAAACGGAAAAAAATATCGACAACTCATGGTTCCGCTCTAGAAAAAGGACTATTCACACATAACTGCCAAATGAGCAAGTATTTTCTGGGCGGTCGCGAGAAGATAGCAGTGCCTGAAACCCACAGGAACGTCAAGAGTATCGCTGGGTGATAGGCTACGTTTCGTAGCGCCGAAGCTGAAAACAATGCCACATTTCTTGTGGCCGGAGCCGCTGTCAGCCGCACAACTCAAGCGGCTAGAGGAGCACAAATATAGTGCCTCGGGTCGATCCCTTTTCGAACCTCCTTGTCAGATATATTGGAATTGGCTGGTCCAACAAATTCCAACCTGGGTAGCGCCTAATACTCTGACTATAATTGGACTGGTAATAAATATAGTCACAACTGTAGTGTTGGTGTTTTACTGTCCAACCGCAACAGAGGAGGTAAGTGCTTTGCGACCTTGGGGGGGAAACTTTCGAGTAGCCATGTAGCTACACCCCATGACGGCATTGTAACTCTCTGAGATCATGTGTAACAGTGTTGCAACTCGAATCCATGTAACGTTACAGCGCTATTATTACTGTACAACTGCTCAAATCATCAGAATATTCGGTGGAAAATGTGCACAGTCCACTATCAAATGTTTTGTTCCTTGAAAGTTTGTTGTTGGCTAATAGAGTATTGTTGTTGACTTACTACATTTGCTTGATTTAAAATGCCAAATAAGAGTTGGTGTCAAAAAGTTGCCACCCTGTTTGCGTAGCCACTCATAAATCAAGCGAATAGTAATTAAAGGTAAGGAGTACGTGTGGCAGAATGTTTGTTCAAGGAAAACTAAAGTAATATTAACTTTACCTATTGCAAGTTTGAACTTTGATTGGATCATGTAAAATAAGCAAATATAGATAACAATAGGTAAACAACTTCAACCATAGTCAGCAAACCAAAAACAGGGGAATACCTAGGTTTTAACCATGCCACGTGTTCATACTATGACCTGTCGTCCACTTAGGTCGATTATCTGAAGAGAGAGAGGGTGTGTGAATCTACCCATTGCCTGTTTGGCTTCTTTTCCTTCCTTTGTATAGGGTGCTTTCAGGCGCATGCCTGTCAGGTGTTCAGATATGTGTTACAGTATGTTTATCAGTTCTATACCTTTGTCCACCCATCCCACAGTACAGATTGAAATCTCACCACTGACACAAAGTCCAGATTCCATCAAGCTCCAGGCAGGTTTGTGCAGCAGACAATTCAATGTCACTGGCCAATTGAAAAGATGTCAAGGGTGACCCCGTATGCCTATACTCAATACAGAAGTTGCCTGAGAGCCATTTAACTAAGATGACTACCTGTATACAGAAAGGGTTTTTAGGACAGGGACAGGGGTTACTGAAGAGCAGTTTGTTGTTGTTGGCAGAGGAAGGGACTGGAGAACAGAAGGATATCTAGAAAGAGAAAACATTACAGTGTTTTAGGAGAGAGAAAAACGGTCAAAATAGCTGTGGTGGACAAACCAATGGGACAAACACACAGTTAGGCCAATACAGTACAGTGTTCTGTCGAGAGAACACAGTTAGTACAGTGTTGTGTAGAGAGTTAACAGTTAGACAAGTGCAGTGTTGTAGAGAGAGAACACTGTGTTGTGTAGAGAGAGAGAACACAGTGTTGTGTAGAGAGAGAGAACACGGTTTTGTGTAGAGAGAGAGAGAGAACACGGTTTTGTGTAGAGAGAGAGAGAGAACACGGTTTTGTGTAGAGAGAGAGAGAGAACACGGTTTTTGTAGAGAGAGAGAGAGAACACTGTGTTGTGTAGAGAGAGAGAGAACACGTGTTGTGTAGAGAAGAGAGAGAACACGTGTTGTGTAGAGAGAGAGAGAGAACACGGTGTTGTGTAGAGAGAGAGAGAGAGCACGGTGTTGTGTAGAGAGAGAGAGAGAACACGGTTTTGTATAGAGAGAGAGAGAGAACACGGTGTTGTGTAGAGAGAGAGAGAGAACACGTGTTTGTAGAGAGAGAGAGAACACGGTGTTGTGTAGAGAGAAGAGAGAGAACACGGTGTTTGTAGAGAGAGGAGAACACGGTGTTGTGTAGAGAGAGAGAGAGAACACGGTGTTGTGTAGAGAGAGAGAGAACACGGTGTTGTGTAGAGAGAGGGAACACGGTTGTGTAGAAAGGAAAGAGTTGTGTAGAGAACAGAGTTGTGCAGAGAGATAATTACAGAGTTGTATAGAGAGATAACAGAGTTCGGTCAGTACAGCACAGTACATTGCAGGCGCGTAGGCACGGGTGGGCCCAGGTCACCTACTGCGGAGCCAGGCCCACCGTATCAGATTAGGCAACAAAAAAATACAAGTATGCTCTCTACTGTCAGTGTTCTAAACGGGACATTATTTGCCTTTTTACCTAAACATGCAAACACCATCAGCTAGAATTCATAGCAAGCAGTGCACTGGAATGGCATTTAGATTAAGTGGAATGACATTCACTCATGGGATGGGTGGCCAAAAATAACTAACTGAAAGCCACACCCCCAATAAGCCATGAATATGACTGCATTGAGGCATATGTCACTGTGCTTCTATGGCTATACAGTGCATTCGGAAAGTATTCAGACCCCTTGACTTTTTCCACATTTTGTTACGTTACAGCCTTATTCTAAAATGGATTTAAAAAAATACAATTCCTCATCAATCCACACACAATACCCCATAATGGTATTTAGAATGTTTTGCACATTTATTACAAATAAAAAACCGAAATACCTTATTTACCTAAGTATTCAGACCCTTTGCTAAGAGACTCAAAATTGAGCTCAAGTGCATCCTGTTTCCATTGATTGGACATGATTTGGAAAGGCACACACCTGTCTATATAAGGTCCCACAGTGCAAAAACCAAGCCATGAGGTCGAAGGAATTGTCTGTAGAGCTCCGAGACAGGACTGTGTCGAGGCACAGATCTTGGGAAGGGTACAAAATAAATTCTGCAGCATTGAAGGTCCCCAAGAACACAGTGGCCCCCATTTATTATTATACAGTTTGGAACCACCAAGACTCCTAGAGCTCCAGAGTTCCTCTGTGGAGTTGGGAAAACCTTCCAGAAGGACAACCATCTCCGCAGCACTCCACCAATCAGGCCTTTCTGGTAGAGTGGCCAGACGGAAGCCACTCCTCAGTAAAAGGCACACGACAGCCCACTTGGAGTTTGCCAAAAGGAACCTAAAGGACACTCAGACCATGAAAAACAAGATTCTTTGGTCTGATGAAACCAAGATTGAACTCTTTGGCCTGAATGCCAAGCATCACGTCTGGAGGACGGGTGGTGGATGGGTTAATAAAATAAAATAAGTTAGCTGTTTTCCAAAATAAAAAAAGTTTATTTAAAGATAATAAATTGTCCCACCCAAATTTCATTTCTGGCTAAGCTACTGGTACATTGTTGTGTAGAGAGATGATAAACACTGAGTGTTGGTTCACCCCTGATGTCCAGATGGCTGGTAATACTTGAAGTCCCGGTGGTAGGAACTCACCCAGTAGAGTTCATCTTGCCTTTACCATACTTTGACGTGTGTATGGTGGGGGTTGGGAGGGTCCCCTGAATAAGTCCCCTGTGTAAAAAGCATTCCAGGCTGGATGAAGACACGTGTCTCATGTGTTGTTTGTGCTTGGCACTTCATTTCTTTCAGTCATTAGCTGCATGTCCTTTATACTGATTTGCCTTTCAAGGGAAAACACGTTATTTATGCTTACTACAGCTGTTTTCTAGAAAATGTTAAACCGAGAGAATGTATTATAAGATGTCTGTTAGAGAAAACAAACCTGTGTTGAAGGAAATAGTAAAACATCTCAACTTGTCAAACACAAGCAACTCTCTGTTTTGCAAGAAGTGCTCAAAATAAGATAACTTTCCCCAATGTGTGTCATGGCTTTCTTCAATCTTCACTGATTTGATTTGGAAACGCACCCTGCGTCTCATGTAACCAAGTCTGTTTGTTTACTCACAGTCAGAAGACAAAGACCGAGACCTTTCCCTTCAACGGGTGATGGTGGAGGAAAAGTTTGTGTCCTAGTTGAAATAGAAACCAGGTTATTCCATCCCCTTGTTTAATCAAATTTCTCTCCCTCCATTTCTCGCTCTCCTTCCCTCCCTCCGTCTCCCTTCCTCTCTCCAGGCTCCAGCATGGGCCTTCATCCTGAGTGCGTTGGGCCTGTTCATCTATCAGTCGCTGGATGCCATCGATGGGAAGCAGGCCCGGAGGACCAACAGCAGCTCTGCGCTGGGGGAGCTCTTTGACCACGGCTGTGATGCTGTCTCCACAGGTGCGGCCCCAAAGTTTTTTTTTTGCCAGTTTTAATTTGTGTTGCTTTACAGTACCTGACCAAGTGTATTTCAAGCAGTGGGCTCCCCTGTACTTTTGTCTAGAGTCTGGACTAGACTGCATTTAGTGTTTAGCATCATAGCAACCAGTGTATCATATTGACTGACAACGTACATTATTCTATGCCTCAGAAGTATGATACATCGTTACTCATTAGTTCTCAACTTTCTCCCTCTCTCTCTCTCTCTGCAGTCTTTGTTGCCGTGGGAACATGTATATCCTGTGGGATAGGAAGCTACCCTGATTGGATGTTCTTCAGTGGCTTTGTGGGGATGTTCATGTTCTTCTGTGCACACTGGCAAACCTATGTTTCCGGAACACTGCGCTTTGGCCTGTAAGTAGGAATGATGCCCAATTATATTATTTGTTTACCTGTTGCTGGGCAGATAACGACTACTATTTGTTTTTGACGTAGTACTTAAGTCTAGTCCATCGTGCTTCATAAAATATACAGTCTGGTTATGATCTATGAGTTGTATAAATTCTCTCCACCCAGGGTTGATGTGACGGAGGTCCAGATTGCCATCGTTGTCATGTATGTGATGTCAGCTTTTGGTGGAGTGGCCCTTTGGGACTACAGGGTATGGCTCCAATACACTTATCCATCCATGCACACAAACCTAACACACACTCCCATACCCACTCATACACTCTTTCTCTCTTTCCTTTTCTGGCATCTAAGCCGTAGGATTTGTAGACTTCGAAATTTTACACCAACATTTGGCACTATGTGACAACACAAATTTTACACCAACATTTGGCATTATACAGTGGGGGAAAAAAGTATTTAGTCAGCCACCAATTGTGCAAGTTCTCCCACTTAAAAAGATGAGAGGCCTGTAATCTTCATCATAGGTACACGTCAACTATGACAGACAAAATGAAAAAAAAAAATCCAGAAAATCACATTGTAGGATTTTTTATGAATTTATTTGCAAATTATGGTGGAAAATAAGTATTTGCTCAATAACAAAAATGTCTCAATACTTTGTTATATACCCTTTGTTGGCAATGACACAGGTCAAATGTTTTCTGTAAGTCTTCACAAGGTTTTCACACACTGTTGCTGGTATTTTGGCCCATTCCTCCATGCAGATCTCCCCTAGAGCAGTGATGTTTTGGGGCTGTCGCTGGGCAACACGGACTTTCAACTCCCTCCAAAGATTTTCTATGGGGTTGAGATCTGGAGACTGTCTAGGCCACTCCAGGACCTTGAAATGCTTCTTACGAAGCCACTCCTTCGTTGCCCGGGCGGTGTGTTTGGGATCATTGTCATGCTGAAAGACCCAGCCACGTTCCATCTTCAATGCCCTTGCTGATGGAAGGAGGTTTTCACTCAAAATCTCACGATACATGGCCCCATTCATTCTTTCCTTTACACGGATCAGTCGTCCTGGTCCCTTTGCAGAAAAACAGCCCCAAAGCATGATGTTTCCACCCCCATGCTTCACAGTAGGTATGGTGTTCTTTGGATGCAACTCAGCATTCTTTGTCCTCCAAACACGACGAGTTGAGTTTTTACCAAAATGTTATATTTTGGTTTCATCTGACCATATGACATTCTCCCAATCCTCTTCTGGATCATCCAAATGCACTCTAGCAAACTTCAGACGGGCCTGGACATGTACTGGCTTAAGCAGGGGGACACGTCTGGCACTGCAGGATTTGAGTCCCTGGCGGCGTAGTGTGTTACTGATGGTAGGCTTTGTTACTTTGGTCCCAGCTCTGCAGGTCATTCACTAGGTCCCCCCGTGTGGTTCTGGGATTTTTGCTCACCATTCTTGTGATCATTTTGACCCCACGGGGTGAGATCTTGCGTGGAGCCCCAGATCGAGGGAGATTATCAGTGGTCTTGTATGTCTTCCATTTCCTAATAATTGCTCCCACAGTTGATTTCTTCAAACCAAGCTGCTTACCTATTGCAGATTCAGTCTTCCCAGCCTGGTGCAGGTCTACAATTTTGTTTCTGGTGTCCTTTGACAGCTCTTTGGTCTTGGCCATAGTGGAGTTTGGAGTGTGACTGTTTGAAGTTGTGGACAGGTGTCTTTTAGACTGATAACAAGTTCAAACAGGTGCCATTAATACAGGTAACGAGTGGAGGACAGAGGAGCCTCTTAAAGAAGAAGTTACAGGTCTGTGAGAGCCAGAAATCTTGCTTGTTTGTAGGTGACCAAATACTTATTTTCCACCATAATTTGCAAATAAATTAATTAAAAATCCTACAATGTGATTTTCTGGAGAAAATAAATCTCATTTTGTCTGTCATAGTTGACGTGTACCTATGATGAAAATTACAGGCCTCTCATCTTTTTAAGTGGGAGAACTTGCACAATTGGTGGCTGACTAAATACTTTTGTTCCCCACTGTATGACAACACAAATTTTACACCAACATTTGGCACCATAAGACAACACAACCAATCTTTAACATGTACTGTATAACCAACCAACCACACAAAAC